TACTAATTACTCCCTTTACTAACTGCCTAGTTAGTACTCTACTGTGTCTGCCTTAATTGGTCGTAGCTGTAGGTAACAGTCTAATTAACTCGTAATATATACCTTATAATCGCTACGCTCGGAAGAGTATTATATATATAGTAGTAATAAGTAAATCTAAGTATTACGTAGAATATAAGAAAGATTAATAATTAGTATAGCTTTTTTTTTAGGTAATTGACCGTGAGATTAGTACTACGGTGGGTGACCACGTGGGAATACCTCATGCTGTATGTTTTTGCCGTTTAGCAATACGGGATTATTGGGAAGAGGGAGAAGAAGAAGTAACGCCAACAGCGCTCAGAATGGGGTTTCGCCCAGGGGTTTCCTTTGTTTGTATTGGTTGGAATCAACGGCAGACATTATTGTCGACAAGACAAGCCTCCGTTCAAGTATACTTATACTGGCACTCCTTGTGCCTCCTATTTCGACACCCGGAGCGCCGGCGATGATGGTCGAGCCGCTATGATCACGTAGGATGGACGAGGAAGGTTGGATCCTGAGCTTTGCGCTTTGCCGTTAATGAGCATAGGTCCTCCTGTTGGTGGTGGTTACGGCATAGGTTGTTGTCCCTGCGACCGTCGTGACGACGCCCGTGGAACTTGGGCCCGATGGTCGATCGGGCTACGACGGGTGTTGTTGACGAGGTAAGAGAATCCCAAGCTCTGATGAGCAAGATGCGAGACTTGGGTGGAAGTTGGGAGATCCCGGAGCCATCTAGTCGTCGTGACTGCGAGACTGCCGTCACTGGCGAAGCAGGCGGGAGGCGTCGGCGAGATGCCTGTGCTAGGCACTTGTAATGATCCTTTCAAGCTGCTCTCTCTGTGTAGGCAGTCACAGCTGAAGTGACCGCAGATACCGCAGACGCCGTGGATGGTCGGTTAGGGATAATATCCAACCGCGTCTGTATCCGCTGGATTCGGGGCGAGAAATCCGTGACCGCTGAGTTCGTTCCAGGCATATACGGCGTCGAATGTCATTTCTCCGTACGCACAGTTGGTGCTAGCTACCGGCTGACCACTGGTTGTACTGGTGGAGGTTGCGTCGAGTCTCGCGTATGATGTCCCAGCTTGTGTTTCTGGCAAAGCTTCAGCGCTACCTTCATATGAACCTGCTGGCAGACTTGCCGCTGGACTCCATCCCAATGAGGACGCAAGCAGGAGAGCCGAGAACATCGACATCTTCGCGAAAAATGGGATTGTCTCTTCGCGTGCTGGAGAAGATTAAAGGACCAGAAACAAGCAGCAACACTTCGCAGCCGGCAGCAGTGTGCCTATTATTCACGGCAGAAGAACTTGCGGAAAGAGCAAGACACCGGTGCCTGTTGCGCGGAACCTACTACCAATCGCTCTCTCTAGGCTGGAGAAATGAATCTTGCTTGCGTCTCATCTATATCCTTCGCAACCAAACTTAGCTAGACCCGATTATACCAAGAAGTCGGATAAGACGAGGGAAAAGAAGCGGCTCCAAAGGTCGCATTAGAAAAGTCTTGGCAGGCTAGCATATCACATGCACATATTTTTGCAGGGCGAGGGCCCATCTAGAGCAGCATACAGTTCGGGCAGCACAGCATTGGCCGTGGCAGCTTTTGGGATAGTCCTCGATATGCGGAGACGCTGTAGGTCTCTGTTTCTTTGAGTGTCTTTTTGGAGCGCTCATGCCGGCAGATCTTGGCCGTGTTTGTACACATACTGAGTGGCTGATGACAAGCCGTCCAGACGTCGCGCTGCGTCCAGGACAGTCGAATTGTTGTACATCTCGTCGTGCGGTCCGGCAAAGACCGTCAAACCGTCGAACTTCTCTTATCTCGTCTATCAGCACATGCTATGCCATGCGAATGTTGACTTTCGAAAACGCCAAGGGATGCAATGCGTTTCATACGCAATCCACAAGATCATCCAAAAGGACTGAAACCACCTCCAGGGAATCCTCCTCTCTGACTGCCACCACCGAACGGCGAGCCTCCAGATGCGAATCGGTAACCGCCACCTCCACCGCCACCACCCATGCCGCCGCCGCCGTTCATCATGTTGAAGAGCATCTCGGGATCGATCTGCACACCGCCTCCCCCAAATCCACCACCCATGCCGCCGGGGAAACCTCCTCCGCCGAACTGTTCGCTCGGATCCATAAGATCTATTCCACTGTCGTATCGCTCGCGCTTTTGAGGATCGATGAGTGTCTCGTGCGCCTCTTGAATGTCCTTGAATCGGTTCTCTGCTTCGGGATCTCCAGGATTCTTGTCCGGATGATGAACAACAGCGAGTTTCCGGTAAGCCTTCTTGATGTCCGTATCTCCTGCGTCCTTGTCAATGCCCAAAATCTTGTAGTAGTCCTTCCTCTTGCTCTTCTTGAGCTCGAGTTCGGCATTTCGAATCTCCTTGGCGATGCCGGGCTCCTCAGGTGTCTGTTCTTGGATAGCTTTGTAGGCCCGTACGGCTTCTTCCCAATTGCCGCTCTCCCCGAGTGCCTTCGCCCGAGTTTTGCGGGCCTTGGTGTAGCTTGGATCCAACTGGAGAGCCCTGTCGCAGTCGTCGATCGCGGACTGCCATTGCTTCAATTTGATGTTGCACATTGCTCGGTTGTTCAGAATTTTCGCTGCTTACTTGTTAGCCTGGACCTTGTGGACACATCGTCATGCCTGAGCGAACATACAGTTTGTACCCTTGTTGTTTGCATCGACTTCCAAGGCAGAGGTGTACACTGCGACAGCCTGTTGGTATCTTCCGGACTTGAAGTGGCCGTTGCCTTCTTCCTTCATTTTATCCAGCTTCTGCACCATTCGGAGATATTTCACCGCTTCCTTGTAATCTGGATCGCAAGAAAGCGCCTGTCGGAAGTGCTGAAGAGCTTTGTCGTTCTCGCCCTGAGCGTAGAGAGCTCTGCCTCGCAGGACTAAGGCCTCCGGATCTGCGTTGTTCGATCGAAGGAGTGACATTGCCACGTTTTGAGCGTCTCCTAAGCTGTTCACAGTACCCATCTTCAAGTGGGCCTCGCCACGCATTAACCTCCACTTCCGAGGTGGCTGAACGGACGATCCGAGGCCCTTTTCTGCTTGGTCGAGTGCGAACAGAGCCATTGATCCGCTGTTGCTATTGTCCAGACTCTCCTGAGCAGTCTCCAGATGCTTCTTCATGCTCAGCGCCGCTGCTTTGTCTTTCACAGTTGCCGGTGGCTGTATCCGCTCATACACCTCCAGTGCTTCCTGTGGTCGCCCTAGAGATGTGTAGACTTTCGCTAATCGGTGCAAAATTTTGGCATTGTCTGGCTCCAGCTCGTCCGCTGTCTTGCAGTCCTCCAACGCTTCGACGAATCGATTGGCGGCCATGTACGCCGCTGCACGGTTGGAGAGATATGTTGAAGATGTTGGATTCGCATCGATAGCTGCGTAGAGCCCTAAGTCAGCCCGCAGAACACGGATGTAAGAATGTAACTGGCAACATACCTTTTGTGTACTCGTCGATAGCACTGCCATACTGTCCGGCCTTGTACAATTTATTGCCCGCGGCCTTGAACGCCTCAGCCTCATCGTCCCTAATTTGGGGCTTCTCCGACTTGACTTCGCTCTGAGGGGGCGGACTTGTTGGTGTTCGGTGCGGCGGAGGAGTGGGCCGTGGCTCTTCGTGCTCTTCCCGATGCTCGCCGTTCACGCCATTGGTGGTCGGAAACGCACCTGGAGTGTCCGGAGCGGGCGTGGTCTCCATGCGGTCTGAGGAGATGGGCACTCCGCCGTCTCGCGAGTCTCGCGGGCTGCTCATGGCCGTGGAAAGCGCGCTCAGTCGGCGCAACTCGTCTGGCGGAAGGTTGAGCGGGTGCGAGTCGCTGTCTCGACGAGCACGTGAGAAGGACTTGCTGCTGCGCGGCGACTTGGGCCGCTTGTCCTTCTCCCGCTCCCGCACAAAGTAACCTTTGGATTTCTTTTCCCTCTCTTTCCTGCCGCTATCCTTTTCCGGGGATGACGGCGCAGAGGAAGGAGCGGGCGGCAAACGCAGATCCGGATTGCTACCCGTACCAGAGCCAAGTCCAGCGGTTTCAGGCGGACTCGCGGGCTCGAAAGGGGAGGTGTCGGAGGTGTTGACGGGCTTTCTCTTGAAGAAAGAGGGCATTTCAGGGCCGGCCACCTCAGGCTCAGCGCAGATGTCACGACTACACGGGCTAGCACACCCGCTCTGCAGAAGTCGTCGTGTGTGGCACACGGGATAATCCTGAACACTAGTGACACTGGCCTTCGGCGGCTCGCAGGGTCGTCCCGCTCGCTCGTAGAAGCTTCGAGAGTGAAATTGACGACCCCTCGGCGGAAAAAAATCAGTCACGTGCGTCCTTGGCAACGCCGTTCAAGTGAATGTCGTGACAGAGGAGCGATGCACATGTCGACATGCACTCGAGAGAATGGATGGCGAGAATATGGAAGTGGACAGGTAAGCGAATCGAGCGGGTAAATTATATACAGTTTTCGGCCAACCACGTCCAAGGTATGATACATTCGTTTACATCTAGAGCTCCACCCAGCGCTATCGAGAGTAGGGATTTATAGCATACAATGCACATGCAACATCCTTTTTAATCATGCATGTGCGCTCAGGACAATAATCACGCTGCTTTTCTCGAATACACCCCTCGCTCGCGCGAATGTGGAGATCTGCACATGCCGCCCCGTATAAAACATGTTCCAACAAAGAAGGGAAAGTCTATGCCCGCTGCTGTCTCCTCTTCGGGTTTGCTGGCTTCTTCTTGGGCGTGGTCTGCTTACCGCTCTCGCCATTGATGTACGAGATCAATTGATCGAGATTCCTGGTATCGACATCGGCATTGGCTCCTGCCGATGTCCGCGTCGGCTCGACTGTGGTCTGTCCCACTGGCGGCTGTGGTCGCGTGCCCATGGAGACTCTTGACGTACGACCATTCCGCAACAAAATCCGTCTATTCTGCAAAAGGTTGGCCTGCTTGGCCTGATTTACAGCATTGTGTGTGAGCGTCTCGAGCCACATCTCGGCCTCCTTGGTATTTTGATTCTCCGGGCCAAGCTCTGCCTTGAAAATACTATAGCTCTCACGCATCTTAGCCACCGCGGTCTTTGGCTCCTGGTCGAGGGCCAGCGCCTGCGCAAATTGAAACAAGAGTGTCGCCGTATGGATAGAGTTCTTGCCAGCGACCTCCTCGCAAATTTCGAGAGAAGCCTCGAACCACAGCCTTGACTCGTGAAATTGCTTCAGTGCCTGCAGCATGACTGCTGCATTGTTGATGGTGGTGATCGAGTCAGGGTGACGGATCCCGTACACCACCTTCCAGAGGTCTAGTGCATGTCGTACATAAGCAAGGGCAGTTTTCGTGTTGCCAGTAGCATGCTCAAACAAGCTGAGGTTGAGGTATGCCAGGATTGTTTCGGCGTCATCGACTCCGAGTGTACGCTCAGAAACAATGACAGCCTTTTTCGCCAGCTCGACAGCTGCGGCCTTCTCATCGAGACCGTAATACAGAGTCGATAGGGCGTAGTAGACACGAGCAACTTCTGGGTGCAAGATGCCATAGATCTGCTCGTGGAGGTTCAGGCTTTCCAACAGCAGCTCCTGTCCCAGCTCCTTCTGGTCTTGCTGGATACTCATGCGGCCTGCGTCAAGAGCCTCCTCTGCAAGAATGCTCTTTGGCGAAGCCTCCTTGACCATCGGAACGATGTTGACAATGTTCTCTGGGTGGAAAGTGAAGGGCGGTAGCGTCGGCGAGGTTGCAGCACCGCCGTTGGACGAGACATCGTTGTTCTTCTTCTTCTTCTTCTTGCCCCCTTCGGCATGCGCTTGTGTGCCATTCGTCCGAGGAGCAGACAAAGAATCGGATGAGTCTTTGGCCTGCAGGCTTGTCTGTGTTGCGGCCGCCTCCTTGGTGAACAGGTATTGCTTGGCCTCAAGTTGGAGACCGAGCTTCTTGGAGACCTCGCGCAACATTTGGAGCTGTTTGCCCTCCTGCACAAGTTCACCATCAAGATCGTACCTGTAGCGTAAAGAGACCTGGCGTCTGATCTCCTTTTCCAGTGCATCTGGGGTCTCTTTCTCGAATTCGAACGACACGTCCGGGAATAGTGCCTTGAGTCCTTCTTCAGTCTCCGCGTATGGGCCAGAGTTTAAGTTCTTGCCCAAGAGGCAGTTGAGCATATGTGCTACGCAGCTCTGCGCAAAGCAAGCAGGTAAGGCACGAAGCTGTTTGTTGCAGAGGTGCTTGAAGGCCCTGCTGACCATTTCCTGGTTGCAGAGCTGTCTCAACGCCTGCAGTCTCTTGTTCTCCGGTTTCTCCGCAGTTCGTCGAGCGATCTCCCCAACGTACCGCACGTTGATGCCGCGCCTGTGCATTTCGCGAGCCAAGCTCTGTCCATCCATTGGGAAACCAGCGTCGCCTTCTTGCAAATCGTGAACGAGTCGCGGAATCACCTCTGAGGTGAGGTGATTGCACACAGCGCGTACTTCCAACTCGTCCTTCTCCCAATCCTCCTTTTCTTGCTCAGTTTGGGGCTTCTGCCCACTGAACACGTCAGGGTTGAGGGAGAATGAAAAGCCTGTCATGTCCACTGCCTCTTGCTGCGGCTTCGCCTGCTCCTGATCTGCATCATCCTTTTCGTCTTCACTGTTGCCCTTTACCTGCTGCTGCTGCTCGTGATCTCCATTTGTCTGCGGTAAGTCTTTCTTACCTTCTGGTTCAACAGCGTCACCCTGCGCACTGCTACTCGTCTGGTCCTTGTTCGCCCGCTTCTTCTCCAATTCCTTGGCAATGTACTCCCTCATTTTGACGATTCTGTACGAATCGACCAACTCTGGTCGCAGCACAGTCATCCGATGGAGATAGCGATTCTCGTCCGTCTCATCGGAGCTGCGATGCTTCTCGAGCCAGGCCACATCCAAAGGCGTGATCCTGTAAAGGTCAAGGACGTATTTTCTGCCATCGGTTCCGAGGAGGCCCTTGGTCTCCACACTGGCTTCGAGCTCATGCTTCACGCCTTCCTTGTCCCAGACTGCGTGTTTCTTGACACGCATTGCCTTGCTTAGCTCACTGAATGGTTGCGCAAATCCCTCGTGAGTTGCAATTACATCCTTGCCTTCCACGCCACCATAGTCGATTTGGTGTTCGCCGGGTTCCCGCTGCTTGAAGATACCAGGGACAATGCTCTGGCCAACAACACGCTTCCCAAGGTAGTCAACTACAACAGTACCGGGCGTAAACAAGCCACCAACGTCGAGCTGGTTGACAGCTTTGACACCTTGCACATCTTTTCCAGTTGCGACTCTGGCCGCTTCGTCGCCGCCATCACTAGCAAACGTCCCAACTCCGTCTGCCCCAAAAGAGTAGAATACGTTGTTGTAGACGAAGATTTGCGCATCTCTTGCTTCAGTTGGATTCAACGGCTGGACCTCTCCCCTGGCCACAAGGCATGCGCCACGGACAGCTGCCTCGTTGTACTCGGCAAAAAGCTTGCTGGTCAGGCGCTCGCGGAAGACACGGTCCTGAACGTTCTCTTTGGGAAGTTCGCGGGTGGATTGGAACTCTTCATTCCAATCCCGCAGTGTTTCCGCGTTCTCTGCCCCGCCAAGCAAGAAGGCCTCCTGAGTACGGGTCAAGTCAGCCTGATGCTGCTGTACCGAGGACGAAGACACCAGCCATGGAGCCGCCGGAGTGCTGTTGGACAAAGCATAAGATGCCAGAGGGTCTCTTTTGCTGTTGAAGTCCTGCAGACGCTTGAAGGAGGCATCGAACGATGGAGATATCTCACTCAAGAGATTGATGAGCGAATGGGCCGCGGCTGACTTAGGAGAGCTCCGTGGTGAAGGGTCAAATTTGTTGTTTGTTGACTTGTTCACATAAAAGCCGGAGACATGAGAGGTTATGTAGTGCTGCTCGCCCTCGTTGGTGGTCACCTGTAAGTAGAGCAGGTGTCCGCGCATGCGGAGATGGTGCGGCGGTGGGTTCCATGCGGACAGAGACAAAGTCTTCACCGTCTTGGGAGCAGTCTCGCGCAGCGGCGCCGTCACGGTCGACACGGATCCAGAAGCATTCAGGTCGTAATGGGCAATGGGATTCGCTTCCTCCTGTTCGCTCACAGAGCTGGGCAACTCCACGCTATCACAGAGGCTCAATCCAGCATCAACACCCGTCACCAGATCACTTTTGTATCCGGAGGCACCCACCAGCTCTCTGACTCGCACAATATGCATCCGAGCCTGAGCCTCCGTATACGGGTCTTCCACGAGCTGACATTCTGGATCCGAGACAATGTCCGGCACTTCCGAGAGTTCAACAAAGTCATTGATACGCTTCCCGCGGTGTTCGAGGTGGAAACAGGAATACTGGAAAGTATTCGGAGTGTCCACAATGGACTGCCGTATGTCTTGGACCTGCTCTTGACTCGAGACTGTTATTTGCATTTGTCCAGGAGCGTGGGGCAGCTTGATCGTGAGCTGGAAGACGCTGTCGTTCGGCGGTGTTGCATCGGTGTCTTGGTTCGATGCATCTTCAGATGCGCCATTGGTGGTAGCGGGTGTCGCGTGAGCTCCATTGGATTCGGTTTTCTCTGGTGCGACAGACGATTCCGAGGCTGGACACATTCAGTCAGTAGCTGCCGGTCCCGGAATGATGATTGCAGGTGATGACGAAGAGAACACGATAGATGATTCTGACAAAAACGTACTCTGGTTCAAGCCATCGTTGCTTGCGGCCATGCCTATGGAAGCTGCAGGTGCTTTCTGAAGGGGCCCCGATCAAGGCGGGTAGTAGAGTAAGGAGAGACTGGGGAGAAGAAGAAGCTCGGCAAAGACCTTCGAATGGGTAATGTACAGGAGGGGCAATACTGTACAGGAGGATGACGGCGATGAAGCAGACGAGAACAACCCACGGTTAGGGAAATACGTGAAGCTTCTCAGTTTAGATTTAGTTTTTGAAGCCGGGTCATTTCCGGGAGCAGCTGGAAGCTCGGATGGCCGCTCCGCTTGCACTCCTATCCCGATCCGTACCCGCCCGATGCTGTTGAATGACACCTACACTGCTACACTTCACTCCTGTACTTCACTTCCTTCCGCTCACCAGCTCGACCGCACACAGATTTTGAGAAGAATACAGCGTGTGATCACCAGTATGCAATGGACGATCCGCAGTGAAGGCATCCTGGTCGCAGGACCAGCGGCTGTCGACAGTCAGGCGTCTTGTGTTGGTAAAATTCCCATCTTTGTGTATCCAGCCGCCGGCGATGGTTATCTGTCGAAAAAGGTGCATCAGCGAAGGTGTCGCCAGTGACCGCGTTGAAGAGTCTTGCGATCATGAACAATGATGCTGCGAGCGGACCTCGTACCGCGAGCGAAACACTAGCAATGGCACAGGCACAGAAGCTGCACAGCCTGGAAGCTCCCTCTCGAGCGTCATCCATAGCGTTATTATCACGACCGAGACAGTGTTGAACAGCCATGTCTCTCCACAATTCATTATAGCAACCGCAGACATCATCCCCAAAGGATCTTCCGCCGACTTTCGACGATGGAGCACCGCAAGTCGGCCGACATCCTTTCGAGTACGGAGCCCAAGTATGACCTCTCAAGGAGAGAGTCCGCCAGCAGCAATCATCGACACAATGGATGCAGCCAAGCTGAGGTTGGAGACGCTGCCTGCGCTTAGCGAGGTTGCATTCCGATGGAGCAATAATCACTCACTCCAACGTCAATCATGAACCAGATGTGGCCGTCACGGAAACAAACAACTCAAGCGAAGCGTCGATGCATCGAAAGCCTCTTGCTGGTGGTGGCGATGCCCGTACGTCCGGCTCCAGCCCGAAGCTCCCATGGATAGTTTCAATTTCAATCACTCTGAGCGCATTCTGCCACTGGGTCTGGGACGCCTCCCGGCTTCCTCATACTCTTTGCGCTCTCAACGTAGTAGCACGGAGCGGAATGCTTTTCCTTGCTGCTTTGCAATGCAAGTCCGACGAGGTGTTGGGTGGCCGACGCACAAGGAAAGAAACACTACGACTGCAACGATATCGATAGCCCACGCAGGAAATGGATCGAAATCGAATTCGACTCCCGCATTCTCAATGCGCTCTTTCGCGTCACAGGGCTGGGTCTCGCGCCTTGGCGTCTCCGAGAGATCTACCTTACCACATGCTGTCTTGGCTGTCCTGGCGATTCAGTCTACGTTCTTGCAATGCGCTCTATGCGGCTTCATGAGGGTCTGTCGAGGTGTGCGCGACCATTATGGGCCGCAAGCCTCTTCATCGCTCTCGCGTGCGGTATTGCTGCGGCTGGAGGCGGTGTCTTGTACGCTGAGGGCCGCAGGATGAAGCGTGTTGAAGGAACAATACCATCGCCTGCTGTGCAACAGGCGCTCTCGATCAGCGCTCGACATGTAGAGCTCGGTATCCACCCGTAGCATCGTGACAGCGACAGTACAACACCGTCCATTTCCAAGTTTTTCGAGTCGCTGCCGCGATCAATTCAAAAACTCTACACACATTGAGCTATTGCTTCTCACATACATCGAGCTGTCATCGCAGCGGATATAATACTCGATCGTGCATCCAAAAATTCGATTCCGTCACAACGAAAATGAATCATACGAGGCGTCCCAGCGTAACGGATCATAACGGCCGCCAACGCACTCTGTCGTACATCCGCTTGCTCGCCAAAAACACGCGCGCAAACAGGCTATGCAAACATGGTGCTGCTCTTCGTCTTCTTCATTGCCTGCAGGCTCTCCGTGCTCGAGCTGTTGGCAGAATCCTCCGCTCCACCGAGCTCAGCCTTTCTTACACGTTCCCGCAATGCAGCCATTCCGCGTTCGGCAAAGTCTTTGCGGCAGTACTTGCACATCCGTAATGCGCACCAGCTGCAACTGTAGTGTTCTGCACCGTCATCAATGTGACACACGGCGCACTCCACCGGCGCATGCTTGTTCCTACTCGGGATCAGACGGGCATGTCCTCGATAGCATTTCATTTGCGCCAGTGTCAACGGGCGACTGTACGCAAAGCCAGAAGACTTGAAGTTGTGGCCCTTTCTGCGCCCCTCGCCCTCTTGAAAAGTTGCCTGGGGTTTAGTAGAGGGAGGACGGGCGGAGCTAGGTCTTGATGGTCCAATCGTTGCGGTCCCGTAGCCAGAGTCGGAGCTATCGACAGCCGGCCGCATCGCACTGGCAGATTCTGCGCGGCGACGCGCCGTGCTCAGTCCATTCAGGAATGACTGAGCCGTCTGTAGACTTCTTGCTTCCTGCTGCATGGTTAGCAATGGAACACGAAATCAAGGGAAGCAAAACATCACACATTGAAGAGCTCCAGCGCACTACTCTTGCGCCTCATCTTGGCGACATTGATGTTCTCAGGCACCTCAGGCACTTCTGGCGTATCGATCTTATCTCTCAGTCCGTACTTGTGCGGACTGTCTTCTGGAAGCGGCGAAGGTGCAGGCAGCGTTGGTGAGACGGGCGAGAGAAGATCACCATCGTCGTGTGCGGGAGGAGGTACGTCCACGAGATCGCCAGCACCATCGGTCTGCGAATCTGGCAGATCTGTCGATTTGCAGTCGCGGATGGTCGTGGCCGCGCTGAGGGGCATTGCAGCTCTGTCTTCGGTCACGGTCATGGTGGAAGCAGAATGGAGCTTGGGACACATATCGGGATACCGGCTGCCGCCGTCGTAGTCATGTTGGTCGAAAAAGGGGTCTGTTGGAACGCTCACTCGGCCGTCGTCCTCGGTTGCGTAGCTGTCGCCCTTCTTGTGGCCGTCGCGGTGCAGGATGGACATGACGCTCGCGGTGACATCCCGGGGAAGAGGGGTCTTGCTGTCGATGCGCTTGAAGAGGTTGAAGGAGCTCTTGCGGGACATGGGCATCCTCGCGTCGCGACGCATGCCGCTGCGCGCCGACTTGTCGTCGGGCACGGGACTGGCGGAGACGCTGGAGGGCTTGTTCCCCATGGTGAATGGAGTGGTCGGGGTCGGCGGCAAGGGCTCGCGATTGTCGAGTGGCACCTGTGTGAGCGTAATGGGATTGGCTGTGCGAGCGTCACATATTCGCTGCTTCAGATCTGCAGTGGTGATTTGGGTGCAGCCAAAGCTGCTGCGCAGAGTGAGCGTGGCTGGTCGGTGTTTTGCTGGAGAACGTGGCGAGCATGCCGTTGCTGTGCCTGTGCCTGTGCCTGTGCCTGTGCCGGTGCCGGTGCTGGTGCTGGTGCTGGTGCTGTTCATCGCGCCGTGGAGGGCAGGCGTAATTTCACGTCCTTGCCGGCTGTCGTGAGGGCGATGTGGAAGGGAGGAAGGCAGCGGCGGGTGTGGCTTCTGCAGCAGGTCCTGCTTCGCCATCCTCCTTCCCGTCGTCGGGCCTTCTGCGTGCTTTCCATCAGCTGCGACATGTACAAAACCTACATGTATCGAAGGAGCGTCGCAGCGCCCCCCCCATCCCACAGGTTGGTCGAGGCAGGTGCAATGATGGACTTACTCCGAGGCCCGGAACCGTCTCCGTTGCCTATCGCAAGCCGGTTGGAATGACTAGTACATGTAGCGCGCTCGCGGAGGGCTCGGTCCTGGTGTGGGTCTTGGTGTTGATGTTGGTGCTGTGTCCCGCGCTCGTCGCATCTCAGTTCAATATCTGGCGGGGCCTTCCTCGTGGTCGTGGTCGTGCTCGTGGTTGTTGGTGGGGGCGGCGGGAGGCTCTTCCCGTTGAGCAGCATGGTGGTAACGACGTCGAGGCGGGTGTTGCTCTGGATCTTGAGTCTATCATGCGTACGCCTGGCCCCGGACGGCAAGGTAGACATGATCAAAGTATATCTAGATTGGCCGGCGGTTGGATATGTGATAGCTCTGCGATCAGGATGCAATCTTCGGCAGTGAGTAATCATAAAAAGTGGCTCCAATACTTGCCCAAGTGGGTGCGAAATCACTACCTTAGGTCACGCTCGCTCGTTCACACTCGCCCTGTCGTCGGCTGCCGGCCTTCTGTTATACCTGCGCTCCTTGGAAACTACTACATGTACCGGACGTCCGACGAGATGGCTGGCTCATGACCACTGCCATTGGCTTGCGACACGTACGACATGCGGAGCCACGACGAGCGGTGGCACTGCGAATTCGCATCAGAAGTCCAGGCCAGTCCTCGTTCACACGGCGTCTGTGAAACTCGTCGGCGCATCGTCCATCCCTGCGCGCAGGTTTCCGTACTGCGTACCTGCTGCTCGCGGAACCATCATGCTGCGACGGCCCCAGGGGCAGATGGACCATTCATCAATCAAACAATCAGAGTTCGCCGACTGCATCCAGTCCAGCTTAAAACGTGAGGACGGGTCATCCAGCGAGAGGTGGACGTTGAGATTGACTTGCTGCAGGCACATGGACCGACCCGGGCTCAGAGCATAGAGAGCCACGCTGGACTGGGTTCCCTTGCAGAGCGCAGACCACCTGCACCTGCAGATACCAAAAGCAGTCCGCGACGGCGCTGTCGCCATTGACATTGCCTGCCGGTGCTTTTATTGCCATCACGCCGTCGGAAAGCAGAGGGTTTGAGCCATTCGGGACGTGCATCTGCCAACGCGGCACAGCGTCGCTGCATCGCTGCGCAGCTGCAGCGGCAACGAGAACTGGCACACGACGTGTAATAATAAGGCAGCTGATGGTGATAATGATGATAAGGGGTAGTTCGATGCAGTCCGACAAGGTTCACTCCCGAGAATTACTAGATGCATCCTCCAATAGATCGACATTACCGCAGCTGTGGCGCGCCTGGTGGTGACCTCACTGACATGCGCGCGCCGTCGCTCCACGCAACACCCCTTCCAGCACTTCTTCGACTTGCGCAGAGCATGAGGCGCATCTGCACACGGCTTCGCGTGCGATGGTGGGAGGAAGGCTTATGAGGATCCCTTACACTGCGCCTCTACCGAGTCCGACCATCTTTCCGGCGTCCGCATCGACCGTCGACGGCGCAGTCGAAGCGCTTCAGAATTTCCTTGCCGTTTCGCCTTCGAAAGCCTCAGACGACGACGCTCGCAAGACCTTGATCCTTTCCGGCGCTGGAATCTCGGTCGCGTCCGGTCTCGCCGACTACAGAGGCAGCCACGGCACCTACACGCTGAACAAGACTTATCGTCCGATCTATTTTCACGAGTTCTCCGGAAACCACGAGGCGAGAAAGAGGTATTGGGCGAGAAGCTTTCTGGGCTGGACAAATCTGCACCGTAGCAAGCCCAATGCCGCTCACCACGCTGTCGGCCAGCTCGGTGACTTGGGCATCGTCAGCCGCGTCGTGACGCAGAATGTGGATTCCTTCCACAATAAAGCACATCCCAACTTGAGAACGCTCGAGCTGCACGGCTATTTGAGGAGTACGGTCTGCCTGACCTGTCGGACGGAGTACGATCGGGATCGATTCCAGGATGATCTCTCAAGACTGAATCCGGCATGGGCAGCTTTCCTCGCAGAGATGCTGGAAAGCGGAGCGTTGACAACCGAAGATCCGCATGAGCGCCGAAGGCTTGGGCTGAAAACCAACCCGGATGGTGATGTGGATGTTCCCGGTGTAGACTACAATACCTTCAAATACCCAGCCTGTCCCAAGTGCCTACATGATCCGAAGCTTTCTCGCCAAGGCGACAAAGTTCTCGTTGACGGAGATGGGGCTTGGGCCGCAGGGTCGACTGCCGGAGTATTGAAGCCCGCCGTCATTATGTTTGGAGAATCGATTCCGAATCCCGTCAAAGCCGCTGCGGAGTCTGCAATCGACGAGGCGAGCAGATTGCTCGTGCTGGGCTCTTCACTTGCTACTTACTCGGCTTGGCGGATTGCGAAGCGGGCGAGAGAACAGGGCAAACCGATTGCGGCCGTGAATATGGGCGGATTGAGAGGCGAGGAAAACTTCTTCGCAGATGTACCGTTTCATACCAACGGCAAGGAAGGCGTCCGATGTGACCTACCACTGGAAACAACGATGCCCGCCCTTGTAGAAAGCCTTACCCATGCACAAAGACGTGGTCGAGTTTTTCAACCTGCGCCTTGGGCATAATGAGCCCCTGGCCCTTTGTCTTGAATGCACCAGCTTGGCACACTTCGCACGACACATTGCATTGCAAGGCCGATGTCATGGAATGTACATCAAACATAGTCTTAAGCAATCATGGCAGCTTCCGTCCCATTTGCTGCGGCTCCGCCGTTCACACTCGCCATGAAGTCCCTGTATCTGAACACATCTCCTTTGCCTTTGGGAGCATGTAAGCCCCTAGAGCCGAATGCTCTCCTGCTGGTAAACTCGCCCAGGATTCCATCGACTTCTCGTTCACTCAAGTGAATTGTATCCTCGCCAGGTTGCGGAGTCGTGTGCAACAATGCATCCCTCAGAGTGCTCATGTCGATTTGTCCACTATCGTCCAAGTCAAAAGCCTCAAATGCGGCACGCAGTTCGTCGTTCTGAGACAAATCTGCCGAAGGCCCCGAGAGCACGTCCAAGTATCTAGCCAGGTTCAGCTGTGCGGGCCCGTTGGGTGGAAAGAAGTCTTTCAGGGTCGCGGGCGTGTTGTCCATGCCCATCTGGGAAAGCATCTCGGAGACCGCAGCGGAGTTGACGAATCCGGAATTGCCACTGTCTAAGACCTCGAATGATTCTCGCATGCTGTGGAGCAGTGGCTGTGGTATGTGATTGTAACCACCTGGCGCATTCAGTTTTGGTGGTGACGATGGGGGCTTTGCGCGAGCAGCAGAGGCAGGAGGCTTGATTGTGGTGGCTGTCGAAGACGTCACTGTTCTTTGCGCTGTCGGTCTCAGGTTGGCGGGACTGGGTGGCATGTAGAATGGTGAGTCTTCCAGTAGTTCCTCTGAGGACGGTCGAGCTCCGTCCACTGGCGCGCGCCATGATGGTGCGACGACGGGAGTTTCTGGCTCTTCAGGGGCAGGCGATACACTCGACTGCCTCAGAAGCGAGGGAGAACGTAGCGAGGGGCTGAGCGGTGCATCGTTCTGGCTAGCACTGCTTGTCTTCCGGGAGGGCGAGGCGGGAATGCTGAGGCTACTCGAAGGTCTTGCGAAAGGGCTCGATGGACGTTCTGAGGTGTTTCCTATCTGGCTCGGACGTCGTACGAAGGGGCTGGTCTTCTCTGGAGACAAGCTGTTGGGCTTGGTGGGAGAGAGGGTCGAGGGGCCTTTCGTTGGCGAGGTGCTCGGTGCTGGAGACAAGGTGGATTGGCGCTTGAATGGATTCTGTCGGATAGACTGCGCGCCTGTGTCAGTGCCTAGAGACTACGCATTATCTGCTTTCAACGTACCATGCTGGACTGTCCCTGTGTGCGTGCTTGCGCTGTCCGTTCTTGAATTGGCGAAGGTTGGTGTTGTGTCGAGCTGTTGTTTGTTGACTTGACGCCAACGACGCAGCAACGCTAAGCTTTCGGAAGCAACCGAAGCGCGTGCGGGCAGGGACAGTGTGGGGCAAGCTTGTCTGGAGAAACAGGGCAGGCTGTGTGCAGGGATCCTGTTTCATCCGTCACTTTCGGGTCGTCTGGTGTGTGGAAGTTGTCCACCTGGTTGAGCAAAAGCGGTCTCTCGCGGCCGACAGATCATGGCGTCTGTTCTGCCCGTCCGGACGAACACAAATTCCACTAGCTCGACGGCCTCCAAGACGCGCAAGACCTCGGGCTCGCTCAACTCCATTCCCTCGTCCAGCGTTCGTTCGGCATCACATAGTGAAGGCGGAAATCACTTGATCGTCGGCCATAGACATACACACTCCAACACCTCGTACCACTCCAGTGGCAGCCAATCCCAGCTCTCGGCGACCCAGTCCGCCCAGCGAAACGTTCGATCGCCGCAAAAGCCATACCAGCGTAGAGCCAAACCAATCAAGTCGCAATATCAGCCAAGCAGCACCGAAAAACATGTCGAGTATATTCTCGTGGCCTCATTTGACATCGATCGAGGCAGTATCATGGAGCATCAATATCCTGGGCCCGTGGGTGGAGACGAGCACATGCTGGCTGAGTTGATGTTACCGGATCAAGCCCATATGCGGAGCCAGGACTGGACCATATTCTTTCTACACAAGGATTCTGGTGCCGAAGAGGAAGAGCAGGAACCGCATCGTAGATGGAGGACGCGAAGAGAAAGGCATCAGTCGGGCGACGAAGAACAAGACCTGAGCGGCGAAGAAGCTGAAAATGACGATTCGGACGACGAGGGGGATCTGGAGAGTGACGAGGACTCCGAGAACGTGAGCTTGGATGGCCCGCCTTTAATATATGTCCTCAACCTCGTCAACACTAAACACGACAACACCATCAAGCGAGGCGCCATGGTCAAAGCCATGGCAATCTGCACGCGCCATTCTTTCCTGCACATATACAAGCCACTACTTCTCTTGGCACTGGAGCAGTACTTCGCTAACCCAATGGTTGAGACTCTGGCTAGTCTCTACGATGCTGTTAACAGCATGGATCTATCACTTCTCCCGAGGCTGAGCCCATTCGAGAAGTCTATCCTGCAATCGAGTGACGCCAAGGACCTGTTTCTGGAAAAATTCGAGACCATGATAGCTCAGCGTATGGCGGAAAGCAGAGAACAGGATGCTGCATCAGCGATAGAGCATCAGCACAGCGCTGCCCAAAATCAGTCCAAGTCTAGGTACGGACTACCGCGAGATACCCACGAGTTCGAGAGCGTGATAAACTACGCCAACGTGCCTGTACCAGTCAAAATCCCGACGGCAGTCAGTCCGGAAACAGTTGGGGATTTCAGCCTTATCAAGCTGATCACCACCTTCAGCACTCCTCACGCGGCTTCCATCGTTCCCTTTAATCCAACGCATCCTCACCTGACCACGTCTGGGCCCACGACTCACCCAATTATTGTGCTGCTCAATGCATTGCTCACTCAGAAGAGAGTGATCTTCCTAGGCCACAACCTACCAAGCTCCGAAGTTGCAGAAGCCGTGTTGGCTGCTTGCGCTCTCGCTTCTGGCGCCATTCTGCGCGGCTTTACTCGGCACGCGTTTCCCTACACCGACCTCACCAAGATTGATGACCTTCTCAAAGTCCCCGGATTCATCGCCGGTGTTACTAACCCAGCCTTTGCCCACAAGACTGAATGGTGGGACATTATGTGCGACATCAGCACAGGGAGAATCCGCATCTCCAATCACATCGAGCAGGCGCAACTTACCGAAGGAGTTGTTTTCTTTCATCAGAACACGCATCAAACAAACACTGCAGCGGCAGGTGGCCAAGGAGGTATCAGCGCCTTGGGAGCCAGTCTGTCCGCGGGTTTGGGTGGTAACAACGCTCACAGTGGAGCTTCGGCGGGCGATGCAACCGGTGACGGTGCTTTCATGCAGAGTGTGCTGGCCGCGATCAATGAACGACATGGAGAGAATGCCATTCGCGCAAAGTTCAGGAAATGGGTTGTCAAGTTCACGCGACTAGCTGCCAGTTTTGAGGAGACCGTCTATGGCGCCAGCGCGTTGGACATTCACAATCCGGACAGTCCCAAGACAAATTTTCCGCCTTCAGAAGATTCACCCATAGAGGCTTCAAAGGAACTGCCCCCTGAGGTAACGGGCCACGGGTACGTATGGCCCTCTGCTCAAGCAAAGAACAACGAGCTCGCCTCCAATGCGACAAGAATTGAAGGCTGGCGGAACACCCGAAGCTATTACAATTTCATCCAAGATCTGGCTACTTACTACGTCCATCGTCCAGTCAAGCAGCTAGATCTACAACACTTACATGATAGATTGGCAAAGCTGCGGCTAGGTCATGAGCAAAGTGCAAACATATATTTCGCACTCTGTAACTCGATCCATTCGGAACAAGAGATCAGTCAGCTACTCTCTGTCATTGCGAATGGCGTTTGGGAGTACAAGGCTGCATCGAACAGTGGTCAGCCTGGATTAATGTACATCGGCATGGGACTCTTGCATCCACGCATGGAAGTAAGGGAAGAGGTCGCGGAGTTTCTTGGCCGAATACGAGAACATGAGGCCGGGCGACACTTCTGGTCCCAACTCGCCAGGTTCATACGTATCGCCTGGGAGCGTACTATGAACCTAAGAGTCGAGAGATTGGAGAAGCTGGAACGCTTGGATGAGAAGTGAGGAAATGGTACGAATGTTACGAAATAGAGCGTACTGTACACTAGGACGAGAGGCATATGATGTGACGATGTAATAGGATGTAGGGTAGCTTCCTGTAGTCAGATTGATGCACGTGACCCGTCGGGTCACTAGCTTGGCAGTTAGGTACTGTCGGCACGAACTTCCCTCCGAATTCATCAACCCTCACAAGTGCCCAACCCTCACACTCTCTACGATTACGATAATGGCGACGAAACGACAAGCACCTGATGACGCCGACTCGCGGCCTGCCTGGAAACGTCATAAACCAAATGAGCACCAACGCAGACCGAACCATGGCAAGAAGTCGTTCAAGAAAGCCCACCCGGTCAATGAGCTCAAATCTTCCATCCGCTCTTTACGGCGCCTCCTCGACCGACAAGAAAACTTGCCAGCAGACGTGCGCGTAGAAAAGGAACGGGCGCTGCAGACCGCGCAGCGTGAACTCGCAGAAGCAGAGCGGGCCAAGAAGCGGAGCGATATGATTGGAAAGTACCACAAAATCCGATTTTTCGAGCGGCAGAAGGCGGAGAGGAGATTGAAAAAGGCCAGAAAGGATATGAAGGCTTGTGAGGAGGGAGGCAAGAAGAAGGAGGAGTTGGAGCGAAAGGTCGCGAATGCTGAGGTGGATCTGAACTATGCGCTTTACTTCCCGCTGGATCAGGACTATGTGAAGCTGTGGCCGACGAAGAAGAATGGGAACGGCGAGGAGGGTTCTGCGACACCAGAGGTGGAGGGTGCAGAGCCGGCAAGACAGGGAGATCAGCAGATGTGGGAGCTGGTGAAGAAGTGCACGAAGGAGGGCACGCTGAAGGATTTGCGGGAGGGCAGGCTGAAGCAATCCGGAGCTGATGATGCAGAGGTGGACCGTTCCTCGTCGAAGAAGCCCAAGAAGGCGGGTGAGCTCATTACGAGTAAACGTAAGAAGGTCCTCACCAAGAGCAGTGGTTCTCGCGACAGGGTCGAGGGCAAGACAGAGGCCACTGAAGACGATAGTGGCGATGAGAGTGGCGGGGGCTTCTTCGAATAGTGGATCTTGCGCGTTCTCACCTACCTGACTTGCATGATACCCAACGAGCGAAAGTTCCAAGGATTCGACGTCCTTCAAGCAACATATGAAGTGGCTTCGTGCACTCATTGTATCGGCTAGCATTTCGCGTTTACCAAGTCAAGTCTACAGTACCCTCAATGGTCACTACGTACGAGCTTCCCTAACCCACAATTCCACACGCTCAGCGACGTCCCCAACTAGTCGTTCGTATCTTTCGTCTACGAAGAACAGGCCACAGTGTGCACCCACTTCATCCACGTTCTCCATGAAGACTCGCACCCAGCATGGATCGCGCTCGCCGTGTGAATCCCTTGGCGGTATGACACAGAAGTTACGGTCTTTCTTCGGTGGTGTGGGCACAGTCTCTCCGGTCCTTTGTGGACTGAGCAAACTACTATCCTGCGTTGTCGTGGACGGTGCGGTAGATGGAGCGAGCGAAGCCGCCCGATGCTGGGCTTCGGGTAAGCCCCGGAACAATGGTGTGGTTTGGGTTGCCGATTCGTGAACCTCATCCTTGGGCTCTATTTCCGCTTCGGGCTCAGGCTCGCCTCGGAGCCTTCTCCCCTCTGCCTCCATTCGCAGCTTCTCCTTATGAAGGCGCAACTCTTCCTTCTCCGAGTGGGACATCTCAGACTCTGGCTTCTGCTCGAGGGATTGCTTGGCTTTCTTCACCTTGTCTGCGGTCTTCTCTTCCTTGCGCCTTTGTTTATCTTCTGACCTCGCGTGGCGCTCGAGAATCTTCTTTCGCTCCTTGAATGCTTTTTCGTAGGCCTTGACTGCCTTCTCGCGCTCCTTTTCGACAAGTTTTCGTGTGTTCTTATCCTGGATGTAGCTCAAGTCACCAAGTGGCGGGGGTGGTGAGGGTGATTCCGGTATCGCAGGTAGCTCCGTTGACGAAATTGATGCTGGGCTTGCAGTATCGTTCTTGGCATCTTTGGAGCTTCCTCCGATCTCAAGGGACTCCATGCCATCACTCCATTGCTCATCGCTTATATTTTCGACACCAGCTCGTGTGTCCTTCTCTGCATTAGACTTTGGACTTGCTGTATCGTTTTGGTCCCTTGTCGCTCCACTCGAGCCGGGCAAGCTTGATTCCAGAGACTCTCGTGAGTACGAAGCTCTGGACGACGGTCGGCTGCGATGGGGGCTTGGAGGTGGTCGCCTGCTTGGCGAGGTTGGCTTCTTGGGACGCCCAGTACTCGCAGTGTAGTAGTTCACGAAGCGAACGCGAGGTGGCACACCGCCTTCAACGACAGACTGGCGCACGCGAGTGTCTGGTTCTTCCAAAGCTCTGAGCTTGGCGTAACGAGCCTTCAACTCTCCATAATTTGCCATTGCGCCACCAAACTCAAGATGGGAAGACACGAGCTTCTTGGTTGATTGGTACAAGTCATCCGAGTGCTTGCTCAGAAAATGCCACGCGTTACGCCATCCCTTTCGAACCGGTAGAACCACGTCGTTTGTGAAGGCAGGATTGAAATTCGGATCTTGCTTTGCAGGGGCGAAGAGCGTATCGTTTCGTGAAGGAGGTGTGCTAAGTCCATCTTCGCTTTGGGTCTGAGTCGCATCACTCGCAGCCTGCGCATCATGTGTCTCTTCTGCGGGCTTGAAGATGCTCGAGAGGCCGCTCTTCACAACGCCAGGATGCATACCAAGGAACGGAACGTCGAAATTGATAGTGCCAAGGATACGATGCTTCAGAGGACCGGCATTGAGGGTAGGAGATGGCATGAGCGCTACTTCGGCTGCCAGTAGGCCGCCCATGCTGTGTCCCAGTAGAATGACATCCGTTGAGCCCCTCTCGTGAGGCTCGAGCCACTTACTGGAGTCATTGCGTGCAACAGTGATGTGGTTTCTTGAGCGGTAGCGGGGATATACTTTGGTATGTACCACATGTGTCTCCGCGAGCAGGATAGTCAAGAGATGGTGGACTGTCACGTGTTAGAGTCCCACTCGTGGATCTATGGGCGAAGTGCTGATTGCGACGGCCTAGTTGCGTGGAGGATGGGTCTGCTCACCGTGTGCAGGGAAGCTTCGAAAACTGGTCTCATTGCCCATGAATCCATGAATGTAGATGAGGAGCAACCTCCTGCGGTCACTCTGCTCGCCCGGGGCGGGAGAGAGCGACTGTTGAGAGGACGAGCGGGGATCATTACGCGCAAGGCCAGAACCACTCGCAGAGCCTGAGTCCTGCGCATTCGACGCTGACGCTGAGGCTGATGCTGAGGCTGAGGCTGATGTTGTTGCCTTATCAAGCGCCCGTTGTTGGTGAGCTATGAGCTCGTACGGCGGAGGAGCATCTGACGGCATCGAAGCAGAACTCGCCTGGCGCGGTGGGAGTGGAGGTGGCCTTCGAAGGTCATGCCCGTTTTCTGCGCCCATTTCCGAGTCGCCGCTTATTGAGATTGACCGAGAGACATGTGCTCCGTCGTACCACGGGCAACGCGCATCGGTCGTCTGGGTACATATCGAACACGGGCAAGCTTGAGGCACACACCTCACACACATGTAGTCCCCAGTCGACAAAGCTCCAGCGGTTGTCCACGTTGGCCGGTCCCGGGACGCGCCGTATAACCGAATGCGAGCACGAATGCGATGCCACACCTCACCTGTTCCTCCTCCACACAACGCGAAGTCGACTCAGCACGGCCCCAACATCTTGGGCTCGTATGCCGTCGTGCGCAATGCTGAGAGAGCATGGAAGCTGCTGTACGTCAATATTCAACGCCATTTACGCGGGGCCACTAATCATCTCGTGCTAGGTCCGCTGGTCACAGCACTCCAGCGGCGAGACGGAGAGGTTCCTACTCGTTGATGTCGTGGACCAGAGCCTCACCCTCAATCATGTTCATCAACGGAGTCGGAAGCAGGTCGGCTACTTTCCCGTAGCTCGGTACGGTAGACTTCCAAACTTTGGTGCCTTCTGGTGGTCTCAGACCGATGAGTCGCTTGTCGCGCTCGGTCTAGTCTCGGGCAGCGCCTGTCTCGTCAAGCTACGTGAGGATGACCAACCCTCGGAAACGGTCGCCACGTTCAAGCTCAAACAGCAGCGAAAGTGCAACTCCATCGCTCTCAGCACCGACAATTGGCTGGCGGTGGCGTTAGATAAGACCCGCTCGGACGTCTGCCTCAACATATTTGACGCTAATAGAGGCTCACAAAGCCCACCCGACCCGGTCAGAAGACTCTGTCCCGCAGAGGTCGTATCGAGCGTTCGATTCTTCCCCAGCCAGCCACAGGAGCTCATCGTTGCAGCACAACGATCCTATGTTCGACTCTATGATCTGAGAGGTATGCGTATTCACACCTTCCAAATGTCATGTCTCTAACTGCAGATGTAAGATGGTTACTTCGGCGGCAATAGCAACCTACAGACCGCTACTCGGAATGTCAACAACGTAGCCATCGACCCGCTGGACGAACACTACTTCGCGTCCGCTGGACCGACAGACGAGCCGAACATCACGGTATGGGATAAGCGCTGGATATCACAGGCATCTGCTGGTGGAAACGGAAGCGGCGCTGTCTTCGACTTCAAGCCTGTCGTTGATAACTCATCAAGAACTACCGTATGGAGTCTGCGGTACTCGGGTCAGCAACGCGGGCGATTGGGTATCTGCTCCAGCCGGGGAGAGCTGAAAGTGCTGGACATGTTCGAAAGCCCAAGCTCTAGCTTGAACGACTCCGACTATGCACCGCTAAACCCGTATGGCGGAACGGCCTGGTCCTGTAACCGCTATGTCTCCCAATCTCGCAGCGTCGAACGACCAGTCGAAGACACATCAGACGAAATTGAGAGCATGTCCAGAATCATCGCTTTTGATTGGATCTCGACAGGTAAACTTGCAGAGCAGTCTGTACTCGCTCTTCGACCCAATCGTAAACTAGACGTTTTACGCGTTCCTTGCACAACTCCACAAGCTAGCCTCACAGCTCGAGGAGACTTATGCATGGCACTCGAAGACATCTGCATTGCTCAGACGAAAGCTCGTGGAGAAGCGGTGATGCCTCAAGCGCCGTACGAGCAGCAGAGGACGGCAGAGGATTTCGGCCCACTGGAGTACAGTGGCGAAGCAGGCCACATTGATGACGGCAGCGCAAAGGTGTCATGTGCCGCGGATGATGTACGTGTCGCTGCCGTACTGGCTCCAACAACCATTCAGCGCGAGAGGTGTCGGCAAGGCTATTTATTCGATTGTGAGAAGAATATGAACATTGTGCAAGGTAACTGGCAATTGGAACGTCTCTGGGAGATCATCAATCGCTTCCGAGAACACGCAGAGAATGGCGGCATGATTGCGGAATCTCTGGATCTCAGCTTTGTGGGAGTTTCTGGAATATGCTCGGAAAATATCGGCAACATCTCACGAAGAACACTTTCTCCATCGATCGGAAAGCTCGAAGATGCAGTGTACGCCCTGAATAGCTCACGCGAGTTGCCTGCGTTCGAAGGCGAGCGCACGGAGCTTCCTGAACATCGACAGCTGTGCCTCGAAATCTGTGGCTGGAAGTTCACTACTGCAAATCTTGAGGCTGAGTGCTCAGAACTGATCGAACGCGGGCTCTACTATCAAGCTATTGTCCAAGCTGTGCTCCATGGCTACAAGCACACTGCACTCAACCTTTTGAGATCCTTGATCCGCAGCAGAACCGTACCCAACATCGGACTGGGGGCACTTTTGGCCTCCGATAACATAAACGAGGAACAGCGAGAGGTTCGTAACCCCTTCCCGTAATTTGGTCCTGCTTGCTGACAAGATGCATGCATGTAGATGTGCTTGTGGATGTCGGCTGACACCGAAGATCCTGCCCTAAAGGCTCTTTTGACCTTTCTTACAACGGGTAACTGGCGAGACGTTATGAAGACGAACTATCTCCATCTAGGATATCGCGTTGCACTCGGCTTGAAGTACCTCAACGACACCGATCTGAACGGCTTCATCGAAGGCGAGACTGCAAGAGCGGTCAAGAATGGCGACTTGGAAGGCATATTGCTGACCGGTCTGGGTGAGAAAGCCGTGGACTTGCTGCAGACGTACGTCGCAAGGACAAACGATCTTCAGACTGCAGTACTGGCAACTGCTTTCACCAACCCTCTGTATGTCGATGATGTGCGGTGGGAGTTCTGGAAAGAGACGTACTTCATGCAAATGCAGAGTTGGCGAGCCTTTCCGGAGCGAACAAGGTTCGTCGTGGAGCACTGTCGCATGGCGAGGACAAGAGAGGGACAGACGTTGATTGAGCCTGCTCCTGCTCAGGCTGTGCTGCAATGCAATCACTGCAAGCGGTCCCTGGCGAGGCGCGATGGTCGCTCAATAGTGTCTTCTCGGCCACAACAGACTGGGAGCACAAAGGGAATACCAGGACCTGCAGCGAGCGCAGGAATTGTGTGTCCAAGCTGCGGGCGGCACATGCCCCGCTGTAGTATTTGCAGGATGTGGCTTGGCACCCCAGATCCTGCTAGCCGGGGAGGAGCAAAAGAATTGCAAAAGCTGGGCGATGTGATGGGAAAGTTCCTGACATTCTGCGTCAACTGCGATCACTGCTTCCACGCAGATCACGCAAGAAGCTGGTTCACAAAGCATAAGGCCTGTCCCGTCCCAGACTGTCGATGCATATGCATGGTGAAGTAATGGACTGCCATGCTTTGGGCTAGCTGTGCTAGGAGACAGAAGGCTTGGTTGGGTTGACAGTCCTGAGGCTGGGGCTCACTTGGGAAGGAGAAATCGAAAGCAGTAGTCATAGCCTCATCTATTTAGCCAAGCTTGTGAGCAGCAGAGTGCCGACAGCACCCTGTGCCATGTGATTGATTGTGTTATGTTTCGGTATGGAGCCATCGTACTGTGATAGCTACTCACAGACTGGCGCGGATCTGGCTCCGCGAGCGGGTGGGGCACGTCTCGCACGGCGTCATCGTCATGCCCTGTGCGTGTCTGCACGAGCGACATGACACCAGCATTTGGAGATGCAGGTCGCAGACAAGCAGAGCAGCGCTGTGTGGTAGGATTCTAGTGCACTGTCCGAGGAAGTAATGTCTAGCGTGCGGAAAACAAGGACGACATGGAGTTCATTGCTGGCGCGTGAAGTGACAGTGACGATATCAGAGCCGCGCGCCAAGTCTAGAACACCGGTTACCAGTCACAAGTCGTCGAGTAGACGTCGCCGGCCAGTCCGCCTCACATGTCATAGCAAGAGATGAATTCGACTGACACCGACACCGACACGCACACACACACATACACATACACACACGCACACTGACACCCACCCGACCAACACTCCCGAGCAACCGATCGCTTCACTTCTCACTTCCGGACGCTTCCACTCGATCCTACCGCTGACCACACGTCACATCCCCGAATACTCCAGTCCGCCCATACCGCATGCAGTCTGATCTAGTCGCTCCATGATCCAACAGTAATAACAGCACTTGCTGCCAGCAGACCTTCGAAGTCATCAGCCAACTCCACCGAGTCGAAATCATGGCTGAACTGCACGATGCCTTGAAGTACCTTGGGCCAGTGGAGTGGAACGATGTGCCCCAGGACAACCTCCAGCAGTACCTCGCCCATTGCTTCACTGCTGGCGAGCTCATCTGCAACTCGGTCCCGCCCAATCCCAATGGCACCGCATTCAAAGAAGCGAAGCCTCACCACCGCAAGCCCAATGCCGCCAAGTCCCATAAAGAAATCCATCCTTCGGCTGCGCGGTCGCATCCGCCGGACGAGGAGCATGGAAAGCTCCAAAAGAATTGGGGAAAACCGATGAAGTTCAAAGCCTCGGACAATCCGCTTCAGGTATCCGTGTACAAGATGGCCGGACACGATAGACATGGGGCATGGTTTGCACGGCAAAGCGTGCATGAGGGCCTTGGATTTGATAAGTTCAAGCGGGCTATGATGCGCGAGTTCTCAGAGAGTCTGGCCGTCTCTGGAGGTCCAGGCGCAGGCGCTGTCCGCGGACTTGCAGCAGACCGCCGTCTTCAAAGGATAGACGTGGACGGTGTCGGCAGACTGGAGGTATACCAACTCAGCGCTCAATTTCCCGGGCCAGTGACACCACGAGACTTCATGGCAATGCTACTGGAGAGTGACGATGTCCTGTCAGAAAGAAGTGCTGCTGAATTGGAAGGCGGTAAGAAGCATATTCCCCGGCACTTCATGATTCTATCGAGACCTGTTGAGCACCCGGATGCGCCTCATCGCTCTGGCTTCGTGCGAGGACAATATGAATCAGTAGAGATGATACGCGAAATACCTCTCTCGACATCAAAGACCAAGTCAACACCGAATCTACTGGCCAATGCGGGTTCTGAAGACCAAAAACCCAGGGAGCGTGGGCACACGGTTGGTTTTGCTGAGTCGCGCGGCGAGGAAGCAAAGGGCGAGCAGATGGACAAGCCACAGGATCCAACAGACGACGCTGAACTAAACCCAGTAGAATGGACTATGATCACCAGATCAGATCCTGGTGGGGGCATTCCTCGATTCTTGGTTGAACGAGGCACGCCTGAGACAATGCTTGCTGATGTCCATAAATTTTTCGATTGGGCTTGTAGCCTGGAGCATATTCCTCATCCGGACGACGACTTGCAAGAGCAACAGAAGACATCAGAACGAACGACAGAACAAGAACGGAGTGGAGGCATCGCACCTGTAGCTCTTGATGGTAGTCAACAGGTGACGTCCGTGGAGCAGGGTCGCTCGTCGATTCAAGGGGCTTCAACAGAACCAGTCCCCTCCAACCAAGACAGTCAGGGTACGGAGGGTCTGTTGAGCAATATTGGCAAAGCTCTCGAAGCCGGTGTGGAATCCTATGCACCGGTTTCGGTCTCCGGCATGCTTCACCAGCGACTCCATCCAACTGAACAGGAGTCGTCAGACGACTCGTCCGATGCGTCATCAATTGACTCGTTCTTATCCGCAGAAGAAATGACACGAATGACCACGGCGCCTGAGGAAGCAGGACAACAAGCGAACGATTCTGCCGACACTCTGAGCTTGGCCAGTGGCGTTTCGGATTCCTCGAAAGATAAGAGGGCTCTGAATTCTCACGATAAGGAGGTGCAGAAGCTGGTGATGAAACGGGAGAAGCTTGATCAGCAGTTGGCAAAAAAGCGCATGGCGGAAGAGAGTAAGCTGAAACAGAGCCAAGAAAAAGAGGAATCAGAGCAGAATAAAGTTAGGGAGGAGATGGAGAAGAAGCTCAAGAAGACGGAGGAGAAGCATCAGAAAGAACTCGAGAAACTTGAGCGGAAGAAGGCAAAGGAAGCTAAGAAGGCCGAGGAGAAGCGTAGAAAGAAAGATGATCAGAACAAGATTTCCCTGGTCACTCGGGAACGAGATGAGTTTAGGAACCAGAGCGATCTGCATCGAAGGGAGAACACGCTACTGCGCGAGCAGATTGCCGAGCTACAGCACCAGAACACAGTCATGGCGCAGAAGCTCGGCAAGATCGGAGGGCCCGATGTCTTGAAGACCTTGCAGGAGAATTCTGGTCACAAGCGGTCGAAGAGTGTCAAGAGCGTCGGAAGTGCTCAGAGCACGGATGCCTTGCCGGAGAAGAAGGCGGACGGCAAGGTGGCTTCATCTGCATCCTAGGTGGGTGCCTTAGCACAGTAGCGTCTTACGAATTACGCGTCAGCAATAAATTACATCTTTCGATACAGAACGGCGTCGAATGCAAAGCTTCTCCGATTGCGTTCTCCAGCTCAATGTCGAAGAAAGGGCTTTTTAGCAACCTGCCCCGAAAAATCCTGGGCTACCCTATGCCTGGAGCAAAGCGTGCACAAGAAATCCCGTGTCAGACGCTGGACAGAACGAAACCTGTGGCGATGGATGGTCCACGTTTTCATTTTCAAGCATCGCGCCCAAATGGCATTCTTTCGCTATGGCCATGTCGGTCTGCAAGAGACGACGCCCTGAGCCATTCGCTGGCTGGGAGGTCTGGCGAACTTCTTGATCGGAAGAAGCCGACAACAATGAGGTGTTGTGATTGCATGTGGTCACTGAGGACTAAGTACAATGACACCTTCGGCTGAGGAAAGCGACAGCTGAGGCCTAGAAGGCGAGGTCTTGCTGCTCCTTTGCCTGTAATTCCGAGAAGGAAGAACGGGACATGGCAAATCGATGTCCGGCTTGCCGCATGCCTACCCACGCACCGCATTGAGACAAGCACGCTGAATGAGGGCGTGTTCTCCCTGCGACAAAGATACCTTACCTTATGTGCGAGGTCCTCTTGATGTCCTCATGGCTGTCTTCATCCCCGCCCTTGTCGTTGCTCCTGCCGCTGGCCCACTGCAGAGATGACTAAGCGCACCTGAATGTGACGCTAATAGGCATATTAAACCAAGCTACCTATTCTCCCGTGACCGCCTTGCTCTTCCGCACACACGCGAAAACAACCAGCAAAGGTCGCATTATGATCTGCGCCAAACCAAGAAGATGTCCATAACAGCTCAAACTTGTGAACGGCTCTCAACATGGGCATATCCAAGACCTCTGAGGAAAAAAGGCAGCAATGGAGCGCGCTGGCAAGATGCTTGCTTGCTTGCTTGCTTGGTCCGACCCGACCCGACCAGGACCCAGCCAGTCAGTCCGTCCGTCGTCGAAAGTCCAACAAGAGCTTGATGAAGGAATAGAATAGGTAGGTACCGAGCGAGCAGCCAATTCCATCTATCTATCGTACGGACCAAGAATGCAATTCCGGAATTCATCAAGCACTGCTGCCTTTTGCATTTGCATTTGCGATTGCGATTGCAGGCTCCGGGCGAAAAGCGCCCACCGGACGACAGACGACAGACACTAGACGGCTTGCGGCTCAGATTTGGGTCCGATGTTCTCGACTTCGTACGACATGACATTTCTTCTCTCTACTACGTACTACGTGGGCCGCGTTCTTTGTCGCGCGAATCGCAGGCCGGAGTGAGGAGATTGACGGACGTACGTTCTCCCCGTTTACGAGGGAGATGACATCTCGATTATTTCCCGAGAAGTGACGGATAGGAGCTCTCGAGTGAGGCAACGAAAGACGGAAAGTAGTGCCAGAAGAGCACGCTGGAGAGTAGCAAGAGCGGCAACAGCACGAATTCTCCCAGTATAGGCACTCGCGAGTCTCACGTTCGGAGGTTAAGAGAATCTGTTGGTGGGATGGCGAGGAGCTGAAGGCCGAAGCTTTTGGCGTGGCGCATGCTGAACGCGTCGATGGTGGTTCGGAGAGTAGTAAATATCTAGGTAGAAGATAGGTTTCCCGCTGCGGCACCTTGTCAATTATTAGCAGTGAAGCTCACTTTTTGCCCTCTCTTTCGGTTCCCGAGCTAGACAAGCTAGATTTAATAGAGCGGGCCCTGGAGTCCAGTGGTAGTGTGATACGATAAGGTGTGCGCGCATTCCAAGGCTGTTGTCTTCTAAGAATTTTCCAGCGGACATAAGGAGTCGCATCAACAAGTCGAATGAGAGCAAATCAGAATGAGCGCAAGTCAAGATGATTCATATATATATAAGGACGCTATATAATAACCCCATCTTTCGGCAATGAGAATCCAAGACATAGAATCCTCGCCTTGGCTGGGGTCAATAAATCCCGCCGGCAATTGCAGGGATCATAGCCGAATTGTGGCCCGGGAATTTTCTCCACGCTCTCTGATTTGATTGATTGATTATTGAGTGTACCAAAATACCATGCGCATGAAACCGGTGCAATGTCTCGGACTTTATCGGTTGCTTGCTATAGAATGATGATGGATAATGGCCGCGGCGGGCCATGATGACTTTTTTTTGCAAACCTCACTGATAATGAGATTGTTCAGCGCGCGAAAGCCTTGAGAAGGAGGAGGAGGAGTGAGGGAGGGAGTGAAGGAGGGATCTCGCACGGATACGGATCTGGTTGGGAGGGACGGGACTCGGGAGGGTTGGGTTGGGCCCCCCGCTTGAAGTTAACGAATGTCGTGCATGCAGCTGCTGGGGGAGTGCTGCGTGGATTTGGATTTGGAGTGGATTGGATTGGCAGGCAGCAGGTCCCGCGCGTGTTGCTTCCTAGCGAGATCCACCCTCTCTACTATGGCGCCCATTTCTCGATCGCCCCGGTGCCTATGCGTTGGGCCTATGCGTTGAGCGTATACTTGGTGCGTATGCCTATGCAGCGTGCCTAATGCCTCGCGCCCACGCCAGTTCTCGTCGCATACAGCTAACAATGCAGATGCAGACGCATTGCACACCGAGTTCTAGCAAAGACGGTGGAGTCTTACGAAGAGACAGAAGGCTGTCGCCATGAAGTCCGGGAATGTTAGCTATAGCTGCGTCGTGGGTACAACTTCGGTCGTGAAGCTGAAAGCTAGCAATCGGCGAACGACTGTTTGACGGTGGCTAATGCACGCAGAACTGCGGTACCTGCGTGGAGGATCGGGATGAGACGGGAGCCGTCCTCGCGCCGAAGACACGGACCGGCTTGACAGGCTGCAAGTGCGTTGGACGTTTCGAAGGGAAGGGAACTGATGGAACTGAGATGGAAGCACCTACATGTACGCGATGAAGCAAGAGTGATGTGTTATAATGATGATGATGGAAGCTTGAGGATGCTCTGGAAGGCGCAAATGAATAATGGAAGGAGCGAACGGCGGGTGTGATGAAGTGCGCAGGGTGCCAGGGGAACGGCTTGGGGGTCCCGGCGCAAACTCTGAAGCCCAGCCCGAAAATCCAATCGCGAAGGCAGCTCCAGGGCGAGCGGTGATTGGTCGGGTGGACATTGGCTCTAGACTTTTGTTATAGGCATTTGTGCATTGGTTTCATGGCGCTGGTACGCCGTACGGCCAGCCAGCTGTGGCGGACGAACGGGTCTCGGGTCACAAACTCACAGGGCGATAAACGTCGTCCGTTTGTCGGCGGGTGTGCATCACACATGCACAACGATCGAATGGAGGGTGGAGCCGCCGCAGCCCCATGGTGGTGCCAGGTGATGACTGAGGTGATGATGGAGACTGGAGCCGCACAGTTCGGATTGCAGTGCGGGAGAAAGGTGCACAGGGCAGGAACAGGGGACAGGCACAGGGCGATCGGGTGCGGTTGGCGCTAGGGAGGATGAAAGTGCCGCCCACCGTCGCTAGTCCACGCCACGCCTCTCTACTAGAGAGTCAGTTGCGGCCTTTCCTTTCCTGTCTGTCACGCCGCTCTCTGTTCCACTCCACACCACCACACACCGACGAGAGGCTGCTTGCCTGCTTGCCTGCCGGTTTGCCTGCTTGTTTGCCTGGCTGTTGGCCTGCTTGGTTGCCTGCTTTGCCTGCCTCTGCTTCTGCTTCTGCTTCTGCTTCTGCTGCCGTCCTTACTGCCTTACTGCTGGTCACTGTCACTGCTGGTCACTGCTGGTACTGTCACTGTCACTATCACCATCACACTGCTCCTGCCGCCGCTGTAGTGCTGCTGCTGCTCGCATCTGTCGTCGGCCTGGAACTGGAAGTGGAAGTGGAACTGAAACTGGGAAGCGGACACAGTCGCCCTTTCCTCAACTTCAGCTCTTCGGCGTCCATCGCTTCGGCCAGCGACACGACGCGCTTGATGCGTCGGCCGTCCCCTCCTTAACATGGACGCGCATTCACCCGTACGTATCGCATCCTCTACCGTCTCCCGCGGATGCCCTCCCAATGCATACCAATGCTGTCCGCCGCCGTACTGACACACACGCCCGCTTGCAGCAAGAGGTGCAACGCCTATCCGCCCTCTACCAATACCACAACGCTCCCGAAGTCGCCCCCGCGCATGGCCTCGAGTACGACGACAACGTCTACCCCTCCTCCGACAAGTATCCCGTCATCCGCGAGCGTGATGCCTACGATAGTCCCAAATATGGCTTCGGCGGAGACAACAGGCCGCCGCGAATCATCTTCGGAATGAAAGTCCGCACTTTTCTGCTCGTGGCATCGGTCATGGCCTTGATCATTGTGGGGGCTGCAGTAGGAGGTGCCGTGGGAGGCCGACAGTTGCGAGACCAGGCGCAAGGTTACAACATGTTGTAAGATTCCACACTGCCTCCCGGTCCCATTCCTCACGCACGCACTGACTTCTCCCTGCAGTATGAACCAGACATCATCCAACTCACCGACAGCAACCACTTCCGGATCAGCTTCCTCATCAACATTTACAGCAGCCACACCGACCTACGAACCTCTCTCGGATTGCCCTGAATCCAACAACACCGCCTACACTTCCTCCTACGCTCTGAGATCTTCAGCGACCAACGCAAAAACAACTTTCACCAAGTACTGCGATCTCTCCAATCCCTTGATTCTCCATGGCTCCGCAACGCTAGCCGAGGCCTTCGTCTACAGCTTCAGCGACTGCGTGGAGCTCTGCGCAGGCTACAACTACTTGCACAACGATGGCAACTGCACCGCCGCCGTCTACCGGCCCACCGGGAGTCGACCGGCAAACTGCTGGGTGGGCAGTACTGGATCCGTCACGGCCAGCTCGCTCAACTTCACCTCTGGCACGGACGTTGCGCTTCTGAGCGCTTAATGTGTTAGTCACACTTATACCCCAATTTTTCCCCCCGGGAATGCGATGCGATCATGTTGCGACGAAAGTGCTTTTTTGGAATAGACACAGCGGGGCGTTCAGAGTCGATGGCGTTGAGGGAGATGTGGTACGTCTCGGGAGAGCGAGGCTCCCATTTCGGGGCTTTCCCTTTGTGTATTTGTGGAATGTCTAAAACGACCCATGGGGGGATGATGTCGAGATATTACGTCTGTGGCAAGACGGGAGGAAGAGAGTGAACCGCAATTCAAAACGGCGAAAACGGTAGATAGCTCGCCAAAATGTCCCCAATGCAACGAAAAGATGTAAACTCTTCAGAGACTGGTCGTGCTGCTCACATCTTCCACACGTCCATTCCTACGCCGCAGACGAGGACTTTCCGCACTCCTCCCTTTGGATCCCACATGCTCTCCATGCTGGATACATCCGCCACAGCCGTGAAGCTGTTCTGCACCAGTTGAACGTCCAACCCGTCCACCCCGCTGGCGGCTTTGTCGAGATCGATCCGGATCCTCCACACTTTGACTCGCTGGTCAAGACTCGCCGACACGAGCAGAACCCCACCGTCTGATGAGGATGATGATGCAGTACGACTGTCCTCATCATCAGCAGCAACAGCAACAGCAACAACAACAAGAGCCGTCACGGCCGCCGCGTGAGCCCGTGGCACCAGCAATGTCCCCTGGAAGGCTCCCGACGCCGACATGCGCGTGATGCCGATCGCATTATCGTCGCCGCCCGTAAAGATCAACACGGAGCCATCGTGCAGAGCCGCAGCGCTACGGACGAGGCTCAAGATGCCGCTCTGATGCACTCTGTGCCGAGAGGTCCAGCACATGCCCTCCTCCTGTTGCGTGTCGACTTTCCATGTCGTCAGGTGCCCGTCCGACGCAGCGGTGAGGAGGAAGTTGTCGTTGTGGGGGGCGGCGAGCTGCAGGCACTGAGTCAGGCAGGAGGTCAGGTAGCTGCCGCCCGCGAGGAACTGCCATGCCTTGTCGTCGCTGATGTATTTCCATGTTCGAATCGTGGAGTCGGAATACACCATCGTGATGCGGAATTCCCCCGCGTCGGAGCCGTGGGGTTGTACGTCGAAATTCATGATGCGCAGGTCCGAAGTGCCGCTCCTGGGATGTGCAGACTCGCACCGGACACCGATGTTCATCATCGGGGTGGGCAGGTCGTCGCGTATCCTCCAGACAAAGAACTCTTCGAAGCCGCCACTGGAAAACAGATATTCTCCATTGCCCGACCACGCCAAGTGCTGGATCCCCGTGTTGTGCTTTTGTAGCGTGTGGAGGCACCGGAAACTGCCGTCTTCGTACCTGCTCAGCTTGATGTCGGTGTCTTCAGCACCAGTAGCTATCAGGGCTGAGTCCCTGGGTGATACGGCAGCCGACTTGATCTCTCTGCCATGGCCGCCCGAGTTGATGGTCTGAAATGGCAGCTGGGCTTGCCGTGCGTAGTACAACTTCGACGCCTTCGTCCACACGAATATGCCTCCTTCCTTGGCAATTTGGAAGCTCCAGTTCCGGTGCGCGCCACCACATTCCACCGCCATGACCTCTTGCTGGGCGTCGATGTCGTACACCACAAATTGCTTGCCCCTGAAGCCCCAGATCCATAAGCCTCCTTGGTAAGGGCGTCCGAGACCTTCTACGTTCGGACCAAAGGGAAGGGTCAGCTGGTGGATTGTCGTCAGATGGATGTCCTCGTCGCTGATGGTGAGCCTGTGTGCAGCGTACGTGCCATCGCGTCCTGTGGAGAAGACGGCAATGTCCATGCTGGGCGGAGCGAGCTCATGTTGCAGGCAAGTGACAGTCTCTTTCCCATGGACAGCCAGATGGAGCGCGTTGCATGAAATTGGCTCTTCTTGTTCCAGCTCTGGCAAGACAAAGATGGCGATGGCACCATGTCGCGAGCCAAGTAGCACCAAATTGTGTTTCTTGTGTTGTACATGTACAAAGCTGGTCACGGTGAAGCCTTGTGGAAGTCGAAGCCTATATTGCGTCTGCAGAAGAGGCCGTCCTGAAGAGCATGTGCAGGCTAGGAGGCCGAACAGCGCCGAGTTGGTGCCCATATTGGTGACTAAGAGACCGATGTGCTCGCCAGTGGCGTTGACATCTTGGGCGAAGATTCCTGCTACCTTGCGCCCTGTCTCGACGATATTTGAAAAGGTATTGAAGATTTTACTGTAAGCATAAACAGCCCCGTCCGAGCCGGCTGCGAAAGCTAGATGCGGAATGCTGGCAACGACCGAGTACCCACATAAACCGCTAATAGGGGGAGACACTTCTTTGATAGTATGTTCTCCGTGGAAACCTATGTCAATTATCAAAGCCCGCCCCTTATCTGTGGTAGCGAGCAACCCGAGATCGTCAACAAATCCATACGACCGCACATTGTCTGCTCTTTCGGTATCGCGAAGAGTGATCTCTGATCGAAGAAGGTTCGAGTTTGCGCTATTGGTGGCACGTATGGCAATGGACCCGTCAGCGCCTCCCGTCACGACTTGACAAGTGCCATCAAATACAACAGACCAAATGTTCTTCCCTGCGTGCGCCTTTTGTGACTCCAATTGCTCCAGTGTGTAGGTCAAGCGATTTCCGCTATCGTACCGGGAACCAAGACCCCAGGTAATGCTGGACGCGTCTTCGCCGCAGGACACCAAGCACTTGTCTACCGGACACTGCGCGGTAGTAGAGACTGCGGAGCTCTTTTTCGGGTCCGCAAGAAATAGGATGTGCCAAATCCGCGACAGATGACCCATTACCTTGCCCAGTAGCGGAGGTGGATGAGCGTCTTCACCCGCCTTCGCTCCGAAACCAGTCTGTCGTTGATCTTCAGCCAGGGTCGCACTCTCCACGGTCAAATCGGATATGTCCCAGATGCTCACCGTTCGGTCGTCACTGCAGCTGGCCAGTAGCCGGCGGACTCCTGCGCACCCAGCTCCGCTACTGGATGGTGAGATTTGTACGCCGAACACCGAGCCTGCGTGTGCTGAGAAAGTGTAGTGTGTCTGGCAGCTGGCAGAATGATACCCGTCATGTGCAGAAAGAAAGCAGGACCAAATGAGAATGTCCCCAAACGCAGTTCCCGATGCAATGAGACATTTGGAAGCACTTAGCCATACTACTTGCGCACAGTAGAGGATGCAGTTGGAGCCGGTTGTCACGAGCTCCAAGCGCGACTCGAGGGCTTCGTTGAGAGTGGCGAGGACGAGGGCATTGTGAGCAGTCACGAGAGCCACCTGAGGTCGGAGCGCATCGGAATGTTCCGAGAAAGAGGCATCAAGGATCCAGTCGTCGGCCTCTGCCGCTTCGCCCGCCGTAAGTCGGAGGATGGTATCGTCGGCGAGGCCGATGCTGAGCTGACGGACAGATCGGCCTCCCCACACCAGCACTGCGCTGGCATTCCCGTGGCGGTTGACGATGACTCCATGGATTGTTTGGCTGGGAAAGATGGGGACGGTCGCGAGCAAAGCCTTGCTGGAGACTCGATAGGCCTTCAGTAGAGGACCCTCGCCGGACAGGATCACATCTGGGCTCCAGAACGCGAGCGCCGTCACCGGGACTCGGTGCGTCTCATGCTGCATATGAGCCGCGCTGAACGCTGGACGGGACGAAACGGAGGATGGAGGAAGGTGTGATGGGTTTGGGGAGGAAAGACCGCAGACTCAGAGCTCCTACCTTACATTAGTAATATATGGGATGGTGAGGTCGGGAAGGCCCGTTTCGCAGCCTCGCTTGCACTTGCTCTCTTTGTTTGCCGAGTCGTTGCTGTGGTTGCCTCTGGTGCTTCGCTCACGACGACTGCTGCGCTCTTTCCGTATGCACAATAATGTTTAGCACTGTATCACCCCCGAAACCATGCGAGCAGCCTGATTGGAGGCGATAACAGCCTGCAGAGTCCATGAGACGGCATGAACATCTGTCTGGGACGACGGCAGCCTACTCCGCGTGACCGGCGCATGCGACCATATCACATGTGAAGTGGAAAGAGCTTCGACATTCCTCCTGACTACAGCTAGACATCACTTGCACACAGTGGAATGACCACAATCATGGCATCCCCTAGCAGATCCTGGTTCCCGAGCGCTCCGTCAGTCAAGAGCCGATTGCTCACCCACTCCAGCCACGAACTTCCACGCTGGCGAACACCATCACCTATGTCAGCTTCCCTGATCCCTCCGCCGGTTGTTCAAAGCACCCACGCTGGCCCCTCGCAGCCACCTGTCACGGAGTCTTTGGTTGTGGAGAAGCCCTCCGCGCTGGAAGAGAAACAGCGGGAGCTCGAGGCAGATCTACAGTTTCTACTGGATGCACAGGCGGAAGGGTTGATTCGAGGACTGGAGGGCGGCTCACTTGACGAAAGAAGTTCTACTGGCAGCACAACCCCGACGATACAGAGCGTACGAGGGTTCTCAAAGCGGCGACAACGTCAGACTGCACGCCGCCAGCCTGGTCTGAGGAGCGCTCGGAAAGGCATCTACAACAGCATTCTCGCACTCTCCGCCCTGAAAGACGATGAGCTACAGGATGTCGATACTCAGATGCAGCAGAACGAAGACACATTAGAGCAAATCGATGAATGGGAAGAGAAGCGTCGGGGTCTACAAGAAGCGACTGGAAATGTGCATTCCGGCGAGGAGACGGTTAGAGTCCAGCGCCTGAAGCAGGAGGCAGATGTGCTCCAGGCAGAAATCAACCAGGTCGAGCTGCAACTAGCCGAGATGAAGTCGCGGCATCGCAAGCTTGTGAGACAGGCTGCTGCAGTCGAGAACGCAGTGCAGGCAAAGATGGCGTCGTACAGTTCAAGTCTGCGAATGCTGGAGCAGGATGTGGAGAGATTTCTGAGTCTTGAGCCAAGCGACCCGAATGTCACACCCATTTCGCAGGATGGCAAACAATCCCTGTGGCAGCTGCCGCCCAAACGAAGGAACCTCGAAATTGCGAAAGCGCACTTCACCGAGCAACGCGATCTAATAGCAGGAGAGCGAAAGCGACACGAGCAGGAGAAGTCTGTGCTGATCGAAGGAGCAACATTATGGAAAGACGTCGTTGCCGAAGTCACAGTATTCGAAAGGCGGCTGCGCAATGAAGTCGCTTCTCTCGGGCCGTCTTCACCCAATTCTCAGTCTGCGTGGGAAGATCCCCCTGCTGCAACTCCTTCTGACGGCCTCAAAGAGATCCTTCAACATATGGATATTGTCATTGACTCGCTTGAGAAGAAAGTTCAGACTGCCGATGAACACCGCTGGACGCTGCTAATGGCTGCTATTGGGGCCGAGCTGGATGCCTTGAAAAGAGGAAAGGAAATGCTTGTTGGCTTAGCTGGGACCGGTGATGATGAATCTCTTGAAACGAATGGCTATGACGTTAACCAAAAGGATTCTGGAGAGGAAATACACGCTTTGGATAAGAGCTTTCAGACCGCCAGGTGTGTCTCTGATGCTCAAGATCATGATGAGCCTGATCCGGAACTGCTCTTCTCAAGACTGGACACAGATACCGAGTAGCGAATCATGTCGTGTCCGTATGTTTCAATATGTGTTTACACATCTTTCATCGTCTTCATAGAGGCTCTAGCTACATTCGATGGAAGTAGGGGAAGAAGTAGGGGAAATGCCGACTTGCTCAAGCTCAGCAAAGACATGCTAAAGCGTTAAATCATCTAGCGGCAGCCTGGTCGAGCCAAACCTTGCCGAGAAAAAAATCAATTTGCTTTCAAGATTGAATCGTAGCAGCTATAAAACATGAGACTCTTCTAGATGGTCCGTGCGGCCCGTCCGCTGACGTCCTTTCTCTTTCGCAACTTCATCTCACATGCAGGCAGCATGCACATGCGCTCCAGCTCCTTTTTGAATCCGCCCCGCAAACACAACATGCAATCTCACCATGCGGCACGACTGAGAAAAATCACCCAGAATGCCCCTTAAACCGTCCATTCGCGAGCCTGCGTATTCCTTCACAATACCCTCGCTACACGATGATCTCGCTCTGGACTGTCGAATCTACCACCCCGAGGAGGAGCTCGAGTCGGGAGCAGCACGCAATGCTGATGAGGATGAGAGGCCCCGCAGCAGCAGCATGAAGAAGGGTGCCGTCTTGGCGCACCCGTATCCGCCTCTCGGGGGAAGTTACGATGACCCGGTCATCTTGTCGTGTGCGAAGACGCTGGTCGGCGAGGGCTACGTCGTGGCGACTTTCAATTTCAGGTAGGTTGGGGTTTGGGGAAACTATGGCTTTCTTTCAATTCAAGCGTTCGTTGGATAGTTTTTTTTTTTGGCTAGAAATCGCGCTGATGGATGGAACAGAGGCGCTGGCGATTCCGCCGGCCGCTCGAGCTGGAGCGCGAGACCTGAAGTGGAAGACTATACTGCTGTAGTCGGCCTGCTCATTTACTACATGCATTGTTTGGGGAGTAGGAGTAACGCGGCCCGAGAGGCTGGGAGTACTACTCCTCCTGACGACGATGCACGGTCTCATGGGGTTTCGCCGCCGATCCATCTCCTTCTGGGAGGCTACTCCTTCGGCGCGAGCATCCTCGCACGCCTCCCACCTGTTTCGAAAATCATCAAACGCTTCGAGTGGGCTGAGCGCGGCGTCGCTGCTGCGGAAATTTTCCTGCGGGCGAGGACGCTCGCGCAACAGACCCACGCGCATAGGGAACAGGGACCGTCTACATCATCGAGAGGGCGCGCGCTCACTGCAGACGAGCCTCCCGGCAGCAGTCCGCAGCCTTCCCGAGCGTCACCTGTCACCGTTGGAGGGGAAGAGACGGATCCCTCGGAGCGTCGAAGGAGTCGAGACGTCAAGCACAGTGCGGACATGATCCGCGAGGTGCCGAAGAAGATCAGATCGCATATCCGAAAGCATAGCGGCAGCGGCAGCGGCAGTGGAGACAAGAACGGCGAGCTTCCCACTTCCTCATCAGCATCAGCATCGAATCCTACACAGCCAGCTGTGGACGTGGCGTACCTGGTCATCTCACCGGTCCTAGTGCCACTGACAACGACACTACTACCTCCCGGTTTCTCCTTCTCAGCTCATGAGTCCGGCCTCTTTTCCCTTACGCAACCGACTCTGTTATTGTTCGGTTCGGAAGACGGATTTACTTCGTCCAAGAAACTCCGTCAGTGGTCTACGAAGTTGTCAAACGACTCCAGCCATTGTTTTGAATGGGAGCAGATAGATGGCGCAGGCCACTTTTGGCGAGAGCCCGGGGTTATGAGGACCCTACGGTCTACCATAGCGACGTGGACGAAGCGGTCGAAATCAAGACAGAATCAACAAACTCCACGAATTAGCGAAAACAACCCATCAAAAGCCGACAGCAATACATCTGAAAGTTTCAGATGATGAACATCAATGGATGTGTCCTCAAATCACAAATTTTCAAGCAGTCTCCTCGCCAGTCGATTCATACTGTTCAAACTTGCCTTTCGAGCTCTCAAACTCCGCCAGGATGGTCTCTCTGCGGTCCCCGCGAACGTTGAACTGTGCTTCAAAATCATTCGCACATACCAGAAAGCCTTCACAGTATCCCGTCACCGGATCCGTATCAGGTATTCCGTTGGGACCTGGCGAGATATCGAAAGCCCACAGAATCTTGCTCATAGCCAAGAACATATTCCGCTCTGCGATGTGAGCGCCAGGACAGAATCTTCTACCTGTGCCGTACCCATAGTGATCTCGGTTCTCACAAGGACCTTTGCCGAGCTCCGTAGCCAGAGTCGTGCAGCCTTTGAAATGATCTGGATCGAAGTGTTCAGGATTCTGGTATAGATTCTCATCATGATGCATTCCCCAGGCATTGACGATGACGACGGTCCCCTTGGGGAGGAACATGCCGTCAATCCAATCGTCTTCCGTCAGGGCGTGAGGGAAGGCCAGAGGTGTGACTGGTCGCCAACGCATTGTTTCTTTGACACATTGGGCGACGTACGGGAGACTCTGGTAATCTCGCCATGTAGGACTGCGGTCTGAACCGATCACACTGTCGATTTGCGCTTGCGCTTTCCTCTGAATTTCTGGATATGCGGCCATTGCTTGAACAAAAGCTGTCAGCATGGAGGCCGTTGTATCGCTGCCACCTTCCGTGATAGAGCCGCCAATGAACCAGAGCTCGTGATCGGAATGTGTCAGGCCGTCCAATCTGTTCTCACTGTCTGCTTGGTCGAGAATTCGGTCCATGAATGTTCCGCGACTACCGCCTTTGCTACGACGAGTGCGGATGTCACGAAGGAAGTCGGAGTAGAGACTATTCATTTCTCTCTGAACGTGGGTGGCACGGTCAACCCAATTGAGGAAAAGAGACTGGGGCAGATAGTGCATGAAGGGATAGACATCAACCGGTGGGGTGGCTCCAGTCTCCATTACTTTGGACCAAATCTCCAACAGGCTGTACAATCTGGTTGAAGGGGTGAGTCGAACATTTGTAGTCCTGGGATGGTGGCACTCACCTCTCCATGTGTCTAGTCTGCCAATGCGGCGTCCTGATGCCCCACACGAGAGACATGATGATGGAGTTGCTGAAACGCTTGGGATGCAACATGTGTTGCTCCGGATCCAGCAAGTAATCCCTGATCATCTGTCTCGCCTCTGCCTCTTGCAGAGGAAGATGCTGGTCTTCCACCACCTTCTCCATGAAGCTGCCGTGAAGCAACTTCCTGGTGTCCCTCCATTGTGGACCATACTGCATCAGCAGGACATGGTCCCCGCCGCTGACGAGATGGGCTACGTAGGACGTGGGTCGCTCGGAGTACTTGGAACTCCTCTTGTCCAGGAGCTCCTTGACCAGTCGACGGTCGGTGATGACCACCGCTGTGCCCGTGCCGAGCTTCAGACTGAAGATGGCGCCGTACTGTCGCGCGAGCTTTGTGAAGTAGAAGTGAGCGCCTTTGGAGGGGATGTGGAGGATGTTGCCGAGGAGAGGCACAGTGGGAGGGCCGGGAGGCAAGTTCTTCTCGCGCCGTCCCACGTAGAGCAAGACGTAGATTAGACCAGTTGCGAGACAGGCTACGAGGGCTGAGATGGTCGGGCTCATTGCGATGGTAATTGATGTATAGGGTCAATTGACTCCGACACTCTTCGGCCCATGATGCCAGATGGCAAAGGTGGACACTGACGGGACTGCGGGGTGGACAGGTAGAGGGGAGAGGCCGAAAAGGGAAGGAGGCACGGGAGGCAGGAGGCAGGAGGCAGGAGGCAGTAGTGCAGTGGAACATCAGTACACAATAATGTGCAAGTATGTAGACAACAACTGCCCTGAAGCTTGGCTCGGCTCGCATCCGAGAGAAGGTTCATCCCTCTACAGAAGAGGTATAACAATATTAATAATTTGCTCTCCGATGATCAGGGCAAGGTTCAGGTTCCAGTTCGGGAACGTCATTTCGTTGGAGCAGTGCACGGTGTTTGTATTTCACTGCCCACTAGGGTTTTTGTTTTTGACAACTTGGTAACTACCTTACTGCCTCAGGCGCTCGACTGATCATTCCCGTCCGTCCACCCCTTTTCTGTCTTCGCCAACTCGCCTTGTCGCCCTCCTCCTCTTCTTCAATCCTTGTCAACACCTGCCTCTTGCCTCCGACGCGAGGCGGCAGCATGAGTGCAGCATTGTCCTTTCGCCCTTGTGAGTAGGCGCCCCGTCTCCCTCCCACCACCACCAGCACAACTACTACGGCATACCCGCAATGATACGCACCTTGATCTTAGCACTCGGCCCAGACATTATTACTATTCCTCACTCACGGCCGGCTCGGTTGTTGCGCTCCATAGCTTCCGGCCTCGCTGTTTCAGATCAATCCTTGCCTCTGCTCGGGATGGCAATGTTTCTGCCGACAACAAACACTGCTTTGGTCATGGGAGGCATTGCCATCACCCTCGCTAACCATCCGCTATCGCCTCATAGAAATGTCCTCCGAACCACGACCAAACTCCGCCGTCCGCAACCTCCGATCAATATTTGAGAACAGAGCGTCCGAGAACTCCCCAAGCGCACGAGGCCGATCGCCAGCTGGCCTGGGGGATCTGGACACGGATCGACCAACATCAAAAGTCAGAGCCAGCTTCATACCTGTGGAACCGGCCAAAATGTCTTCCCAACCCGCCGAACGGCCTGATTCGGAAGTAAAGAGGGAGAGCAATGCGGGACTGCGGCGATCTAGCATGAGTGAAGGTCACAGTGGTGATGCCTACAATGTCATCAAGGAATTGGTCAATACGGAGCAGGACAGACGCGACAACGAATCGAGCGTGGCCGACACGATTCCAGAGATGGCAGTCGAATCCGCTGGTCCAACTCCTGCGCGGGAAGTCAACAACACCTTGACCGATGCGGCGACGGGCGGTGTGCAAGCTCCTGTAGGGACAGAGAGCAAGGAAGCCGAGAATCCAGATAAACATGTGACGGGCGCGGAAGAAGAGCCGGCAGAGTTGAAGCCAGCAGACCCTGTGAGCGAATCTGCTGTGAGCGGTGGAGATGCTTTGCCTCCTGTCGCAGAGGATCTGAGGAAGACCACTACTGCGGCGAAGCCGGCTTCGATTTCCACCAAGACCGCGAAACCTGCGAGCGCGATCAAGTCCCCTACCAACCCTGTGAAGTCGCGTCTCTCGCCTGCACCATCCAAGGCTCCGTCTCAAAGAGTTCCGACCAAGAAACCAAGCCGCACCTCCTTGACCGCTCCAACTGCCGCCTCTGTGGCGCGCGCTGCTGTTGCTAACGACAAGGGCGCATCTGCCACCGCCGGCGCTACAAAGCCTAAGCCCAGAGATGTGACGAAGCCTGCAGACATATCATCGCGCTTGACCGCTCCCACTGCAGCCTCACGCGCGAGGCTGGAATCGAACTCTGCAAGCTCCAGCAATGCGAAGCCCACACCATCTAGCACAGCTACATCTAGACCAAAGCCGAGCGCATCAGCTCGCCCTACACCTCGCTCATCACTCGCTGGTCGTCCCGAATCGCGCGGATCTCAGGCCCCCAAGAAATCTGCGCCTGTCGATGGCAGCTTCCTGGAGCGGATGACAAGACCGACTGCTGCGTCAGCCAACAAGACTCATGAGAAGCCGGAGGTCAAGAGTCCACCAAGGAAACAGATACCATTGCGTCCGAAGACCAACGGACAACCCAAGGCGAAAGCCACCAATGACAACGCCCACACCGTAGAAGCCGTACCTGAGCAAGGTGCGTGACTGTTTACTGGAGAAAAGTTGCAAACGAATGCTGATATGTCCGCAGAATCTTCGGTGGTAACACAGCACGAGAGCAAAGATACCACCGTCGAACCTGTTGAGCCCGTCGAACAAGTAAGCGGCGCCGCGTCGGCAGACGCAGGCAATGAGACCCCTCTGGCGCATATCAACGGCCAGAAAGACCCCGCGACCTTGGAGACGACCCCCGCTGCCGTTAGCGGCGAGAACGCCATTCGGTGAAGGACCGTCCGTCACGGCCGGAGAATCGCAAATTGCATCGAGAAGGGAGACCTTCTTGAGGGAGCCGTTTCAAGCGGGCGTCTCGTGTACTTTCGACTCATTTCACAGCAAGATACCACTGCATTGTCTGATTTGTAATTAGCGGGAAAAGAGGAACTCTGTCTATTTACTGCAAACTCCACTGGCCGTCTTTCTCCACGATCTCGACGGAACGTTTTTGATCTAGGCTTGTCCTGCCTGCTTCGAGGATTGCACCCGTTGCGATGGTGTTCTTCAGTGTCGGAAGACCTCTTCTATCGAGGTCGTCGAGTGTCACTTTGCCGTCTTTGAGGGCCTGGCATCCGTCTACGAACTTCTCAAAGGATACATAGCCGTAGCCTCCTTGGCCGGCGAAGTTGCCCTCTGCAGTGACAGTCAGTTCGATCTCGCTTCTCGCATCCGCCGGATGTCAGGGGTGACTTACCCTCGTCTGGGGCGTATTTCATGTAGAACGGGTTGTACCATGTGAGACCACCTTCATCCTCGGTGACATCGTACCCTCGCTTTGCCTGGTTGACTCGGACTTCCCCCTTGGAGGCCATGTAGTGGAAGTACTGATTGGAGTGCACGCCTGCCTTTTGAGGCGCCGTCCACGAAGCTGTGTACACGCCTGTCGCTCTTCTCCCCGAGCCATCTTTCTTCTCCCAGTCTACCAGTAAGGTGATTGTATCTTCTGTCTCCGGCACGCAGCCCAGATCGGTAGCAATGCCTTTGGACGCGCTACCCGTCACTCGCGTCGGTCTGTACTCCGGCACCATCGATTCGTTCACGTCGATGTGGTGGGAGTTGAGGTAGTAAGAGATATCCGAGTCTCTTCCCGCCCAAGCCTTGAAGGTCTCGAGCTGCGATTTGGGCTGGGACATGTAGGAGTAAAAGTAATTGAACTCTCCCAGAGAGCCCTTGACGGCACGATTGCGAGCATCGGCGTAGGCCGGGTCGAAGCGTTTGTGGTGTTCGATGTAGACGAAGACATTGTGCCGTCGGGCTTCGGAGAGGAGGTGTTGATGCTCGCTCAGCGTTTTGACGGCGGGTTTCGTGATCATGACGTGGATGCCCCGTTGGATCGCATAGAGGGCAATCGGGTAATGCGTAGGGTCTGGCGTGAAGATGGTGATGGCGTCCCCGGGACTGAGAGCGTCGATCGCTCGCTTGTAGGCTTCCGGATCCCGCTCGTCGTCGTTGGGGTAGCTGGTGAAGCTGGTATCGAGGCCGTTGTAGGCCTCCGTGATGTTCTGGCGCAAGTGCTGCTTGATGGCCCCGAACTTGTTGCCCGAAGTGCCCACCATGCTCAGGTTGCCGACTTTGCCTCGCCGCCTCAGATCGAAGAGCGTGAGGCCTACGACTCCCACTTTCTTGTCGCTCCCACTGGCCCCGCCTCCAACGAAGCCTGTGGTGTACTCTCCAGTCCCCACCATGCAGACATTGAGCGGCGCCATAGTGAGAAAGCAGCTCGGCTGGTGGTCTTCTGTCGCAAATAGTTATCCTGTGGGTAGCGTTGGAAGACGAGGTGGAAGCTGGGCGATTTGCACTTGCCTGAATGTGTGAAGTCTAGGAGCTTGTCTCAATATACCTCCCAGCACTGCTAGAGCTTGTCAAATGCCGACAAGCGGCTAGAATGACTGGAGGTTTTAGTGGAGCAACGATGTCCCGCAGCGAGGTACCTGCAGAACCCGATGGGGGTTGCTGTGAGAGAGACACATGATAGAGGAATTTGGGGGGTCTCTCGGTTGGAATGTTGCGGCTGGAAAGCGAGTCATTATCCCACAAATCCAATGCGCATGCTCCAAGGAACGATTGAGGGGAGGTCGAGAGAGAGCAAATGGTAGTCGGCGGTCGGCATTTGGCGGATAATAGTTTCTCCAGCTTCCCGCCGAACCTCCAGCGCTTCCTCGTGACATCAACAAATACCCTTTGTGGCATGGTATGGTTTGGTATATTAGGTATCATTCTGTTACTCCCCTCGGCCCATACCCTGCCGCCCAGTCAATCGGCTTGGCTGCAATCTCCATGTCCAGGACGGTCCGATCGGTATTTGGTATCTGCGCTGGACGCTCTCGACCTCAGTCTATACCTCTAGTATCGAAAGCCATGTTCATCCCGACTGCTCCGTGCCATAGCACGTGGCAATGAAACAACCACAGCCCAGGATTGTCTGTCTTGAATCTCAAGACCGAGAAACCCATACCCGGGATGTAGACCGCATCTTTCACCACCGGGGTCGCGAGGTTCAATTCCAAGTCTCCCGCTCGGCCACTATCGAAGGGGTTGTATTGTTCGAATGTACCAGCTCTTGACGGTCTATGGATTGCAAGAATGTGGAAGTCATGGCCGTGCAGGTGAAATGGATGACCTTTGTCGTCTACATTATTTACGACAACTTCGACCCAGACACCTTAATGAGTTCGCACGACCACTTGCTCTGCGTCTTGTGGCCAGTCTTTTCGCTCCAACGACAGCAGCGGCGCTGAAGAATGGGACGATGGGTTCCATGAGGTATGGTTAATGAATCCTTTCGGTCGGTACTCATCCTCGGTCAGATACTCAATGGTTGAGTAAAGCAGGACAGTCTGGTCGGCTGTCGTGTCCAAGCCCCCCGTAAGATTGCTAGAGCCATTGACCGCAGCAAGGTCAATCCAGGACACCTCAGGCGCTTTCAAGTTCCTGGTGTTAACCTGACGAGCACCTCTCCTCTTGTGATCCAAATCCGGCGATATTGGGAATTGCTGCCTGTCTGTGAGAGCTAGATTAGGAAATTGCATGTTCTCTCGATCCAGAGCGATAGTGATCCATGCGGACTCGTACACCTCGCTCTCTCTGCGCTCCAGAATAAGGTCGACTCTTTCGCCGGGATAGAGAGTCCCGATGTTTTCTGAGCTCACTGGATCTACAGAATTCCCTCCGTCAACTTGGATCAGGGTCATGAGATACCCAGTTGTCGACACGCTGAAGCCAGTCAATGATCCGGTGTTGATGATTCTGAGCCTCGTGCGGCCAGCTAGGGTCAGATGCGGTAGAACAGACTCTTTGCAGTCAAGTGGACGCGACTGCATTGCCTTGGTGCAAGCGAAAAGTCCCACGCCGTTGACGAGCAGGGAGTCTGGTGCTGGCTCTATCTTGAATTCCTTCCAATCTTCATACGACTCCAAAACCTCAGCCGCGCCTTGGTGGTACCAGTCGCCGACCATCAGTACTTGCTCGTCCTCGACTCCATATCGATCAGCCTCACTTGCTGGATCTGGACTATAAGAGATCCGAAAAGCCCGTCGGCACGTTGCATGTCCGAGTGGCTGGCGCAACTTCATCAGCATCCCTGAAAATGGGTATAACGACAAAAGGGGAACATTGCACATACCTGTGCCACCGGAACGTGCCGGCCTGCTCGTTCGGTATGCTCAAGACGGAAGTATGGGCGTGGCCAGGGAGGAGATTGCTCTGCGTAAGACCCACGACGCCATCCATCTGATTCGCAATCTTGAGACCGTGCCAGTGAATCGACACGCCTTCTCGCCCCGCGAGCTGATTGCGGACAGTAACGCGAAGCTCGTCGCCGCTTCGAAGTTCGATCGTAGGCCCCCGCCCTCGATTGACGAGGCAGACTTGCTTCAGCACGCCATCCGGGCGCTCTAGCCCTTTGGTAATGTTCAATTCTAGGGCCTCGGTGCGCGGCTCCCTGTGAATGCGCTCTTCTGAATGCAAGCGGACCGAAAACCCATTGGATTCTTGATCAGGATGATGGACTACCGGCCCGTGCCCAAGATCGATGCTGCCAATTGCCGGTTCCGCTCCTGCGGACAGTTCATCGCTAGACCAAGTCGCCGTGAATTGAAGCCTGGAGTAGGAGAAGACGAACAGGATTAAAGATACGATGACTGCAGCTGTCGGCACCAATGTTTTCCACTTTGTCGGGTTTTCCATTTCCATGCGCCCAAAGTCAGAGAGCACGTGAAGGCTGCATTATTGATGAGGCGCCGAAACACTGAATGAAGCCTTCTTGTCAGATTTCGTCCAAGTCAACCAACATCTCTCCGCACGAGCTGGGGCGATCCGGCGAGCACGGACAGACCGCAGGTAACACAAGCATGCAGAGTTGTTATCGTCCTGCATTGTATACAAGCTTTCGACATTCGAAAACTCGTTGATCATTTCTATGCCAGTAATAGTTTTCGCTGTCTTCCTGCCGGAGAGTATCTGAGTGTCTACACGTGCGCTTGCTGACAGGCATGTACTGGCCATGCAGGGGTTTCAGCCCTCTGCCTAAGAGCTAGAACTGCCATTTCGGGAAGTTAGGTATGAACAGGGGTTTGACGCTGACGACGGAGTGATACCTCGCAATGCTTGGAAGAACCTTATTCATCCAACGCGTGGCAATGAGCGCTAATCAACAGTTGCAAACTATGCAAGGCAAAGCCAAGTCAGGGCTTCTCGATATTCAGTATCACTTATCACTCATGAGAGGCACGCTGCAGGCATGGCGACTTGATCTCAGCTAGATACAATGTCATTACGCTTGCCCATGAATGATACCACCCACGTATTTCGCCAAAGCAAGCATCTTTTCCTCCTGGAGACGTCGGCCGACGAGCTGAATGCTGACATGCGCACCGTCGAATACATCAGGGTCATCTAGCAAGCCGTCAGTCACAGTGAGGGTGATGTACATGGGAAGAATAATACGTACAACTTGCTTGCGTCTCTCTGTCCACCTCGTTGGCGGGCTGGAAATTGTCGATCGTCTTGTCAATGTTCCTGTCCACGTTGGTAATGGGTATCGCGACGCTGGTGTAGTCCAAGACATTCACCCAGACCGAGTAGCCGTAGTAAGTGTATTTCGTGGGTCGGGCGGCGGGGAAGGGTGCTAATGGAGCAATGATGGCATCCACAGGCTCACCACTGCTCGTGAGAGATGCCGTGCTGTTCCAATACTCCATGTAATCCTTTTGAGCCTCGCGTTTGAGAATGTTCGTGGCCATGATATCAGCAGCATTAGCTTGTGGTGCCTCAGCAACCAATGCCTGCGGAGCAGCCTTCTCGCCCGAGAGTGCAAGGTCCGTTCGGCAGTTATCGCCCCCATCGAAGTCCCAGCATTTCTCGCAGATGTCGATAAGCTTGTCATGTGAAGGGGTGGGCTTCCAGTCGATGACATCGTGACCTTGTGCTTTCAGTGCTTCCACTACAATGCTAACCGCTCGCAATACCGGTGGCATGATAGTGACATTGCCGTCATCTCGGAGCACCCCGAAAGAAAGCTTGTTGGCGACTCGCTGGATTGGATCTGACACGGCGAGCTCAGCTTCCGGACGCCAAGGGATTTCATGCACCAATGGATCGTGTAACCAGGGCTTTGTGCTTAGTAGAGCTTGAATCACCAGTTTCAATGCGTCTGGCGTAGTTGCCAACGGCCCAACGACACTAAGCACACTGTTTTGTCCGTCCATGCTGTTCGCCATTCCCTCGTATGGAAGCCGTCCCACGGAGGGTCGAATGCCATAGAGACCGTTGAATGCGGCAGGGATTCGGATGCTGCCTCCTATGTCCGTTCCAAAGCCAACGCAGCTGCCTCTGCATCCAATAAGAGCCCCTTCGCCACCTGAACTGCCACCCGCAGTTAGATTACGGTTCTTGGGGTTTTGAGTATAGCCGATGATATTGTTCACAGTCTCCCCACACATTAGGGTATGGGGCACCGAAGTCTTGCAATACAGGGTTGCCCCAAGGCTGCGAAGTTCACGGACCATCTCTGATTCGAACTTCAGTTCCTTTCCCGTACCCTTTCTGCCCTGGAAGGTATCGAGCCAACCTATGTATCCCATAGATGTCTGAACATTACGGACGTGGAATTGGTCCTTCAACGAGACCGGCAATCCGTGGAGAGCGCCGATAGGCTTCTTGTGCTGTGCGAAGTACTTGTCCAGCTTCTCGGCCTCGGCGATGGCTTCCTCGAAGAAGATCTCATGCAGGCAGTTCAGGAGTTGATGTGCAATGGCAGCCCTGTGACAGAAGGCCTTGGCAACCTCCACGGCAGTCCAGATACCAGATGTCGTGTTCTTGACAATGCCCACGGCATCAGTCTCGGTGATCTCGACTTCCCTCTTGTCCAGATACTGCTGGATGTATCCGCCCGTGATGTCTCTCTGCTCTTCTGCTGACGGAATGGCCTCGAGCCTCCATTCCTTTGGTATCAGATTCAAGACGGATTCCGCCTTATCTCTGCCGATGGTTCTCCAGTCCATCTTGCTCTGTCGTGACGTGTATAGTAGAGAGTTCTGGCGTGCTGAGGGATGTCGAGTGGTTCAGAGTCCAGTTTTAGAGGGGAGGGCAGGTATGATTAGGAAGAAAGACGAGGTGGGTACAGAGATACTCAATACTTGCCTGTCTCACGACAATAACGATAAAGCATACTGAGATGCACCTTTCCCGAAGCAATCTGGTGGGACGTCTGTAGAGCGGGAGGTACAGCTGCTACCGCCTCACTTGCCGAGCTCGGCGGTGGAGATGTGAAGCATTGCAGCCATGGACGATGTACTGGAGGCCGATAAGTCCAGGATCGGAGGATAGGGATGGCGATAGGGAGAGTGATAGGCAGAGCTATCAATCTCACACTCTGTCTGTCTCTTCCTCTCACAGGAATGGGATGAGGCCTGCGGCGACGCGTTGAGGTTATCAAGGGAAGGACAATGGCTTGAATGGATGGGCTTGGTGGAGAGATATGGCCCGTGCACAGGCTGTTAAACGCCGCCGGCCAAATGTCACCACTCAACACTCTACATGGAGTATTGGAGCTGGCACTCGCGACGTGCCAGGAACGCCACCCTCGACATCTCCAACTCACCTGGGAGGAGCGTAACTTTTCTTCCGTAGCTTGGCTTCGCAACCTTATCAAGCACGCCGGCCTCAGCCTTCACGACGACCGAAGAAGTCCTCGGTATTCTATGGATGGTGTTTCAGGAGCTGTCGGTTGAGGAACGTCCAACTGCCTGATCACGAAACGGGATACATCAAGGCAAAGCTCAAAACTTGCGTATATGGACTCCCGCGGCTGTGGCGGTAGGATCCTCCACCGGCTGGATGGCGTCCCTAGAAGTTATTTGTATCGATCATCCATGACAAGGGCAGATCAGCTGTCTCACAAAGCCGTCCACATGACAGCAGGCGCTCCAGAAAGCTGCTCGCGAGTCGGCGCATACGATCAACTACGCAGGAGTGACGGTGCGGTGAATATAGAAGTCTTACAGCGCCTTTGTTGTTGTCTTCCCGAGGACCCTAGCGAACAGCAGGGCAATAGCGAGTCGGTCCTCGTAGCAGTCCCCTAACCGCCGTAGGCGGCCGACGAGACACTCCAATATGCGAAGACGCTATCCGTCTGCAGTGCCTTAGGCTGGCCTTATCCTCGGTGAATCGACCAGGCGGAATATGACGATGCTGCGAACTGTTTCAATCCTGGTAGGATGACCGGTGGTGTGAGCGATACGCCCTCGAGCGCTTCCCAAGAACTGTGGAGGTCGCGTTCCCCCAAAAGATAAAGACGCATGCTGCTGCAGATAGCTGCGGAGAGAGATGCCTCGGGAGGCGACTATGACCCTTGCCATCATTTGCCTTGTTCAGCTGATGCATGCAATCTTTTACGCAGACCCTTCCAAGCAGGCGAAATCTTGTTTCTCGCGATCTTCGCGCACAACTTGATGTATAACTGCGAAGGATTCGCGCATGTGATGGCGGCGTGGAGGACAGCTCGGTCAAACTCTCATGACGCGTAGTCGCGTCACTTCGCCTTGTTGTCGCGAGTTGGAGTTGGCCACAATGCACATGATTGCATTTGCACAGCACACAGGCTGCAACACCATGAAGATGGTCACCCGGACGAGGATGACGCAAGCATTGCTCGTGCAACGTCGTGAGGTGGAGGGGGAATTTGTTATATAAGTTCTGATCTGGAGGCTTTCTCTTCTGCTGCTACAACAACAATCATCCAGATCGATTCAGAGACACCTTGAAATCTTTGTTACCTGACCAAGCACACCCAACACCGCCAACATGACCGACAATCTGTAAGTCCTTGTTGCATTCTACTCTTTCAACTTGAGTTTTAACAAGTCTTAGCCGCCAGAGCGCTGGTGACAAGCTTGAGTCCAACATCAAGCCCGACAGCCAGAAGTCCACGCTCGAGCAGACGCAGGACTCTGTCAAGGGCGCCGCCGACTCCGTTGCTGGCACTGTCCAACCAGGTAAACCTCCTCGACTCGGCAGTCTTGTAAAAGATTATCAGCTAACCGGTACGCAGAGGGCGAGAAGTCTGTCACCCAGCAAGCATCAGACACCGTCTCTGGATCTGGTGGGGATGCCAAGAAGGAGGGTGAGAGCACCCTCGAGCAGGCCCAAGACGGCGCCTCGAGCCTCGCCAGCCAAGCCAGCGAAACCGTCTCTTCTGGTGTGGAGCAGGCCAAGGGAGCCCTAGGTCTCGATGGCCAGAGCGAACGTACGTAGCTAAGGCGAGTGCGTCCTTGTGAATGGTGATGCTGACAATCATTGCAGAGAAGTAGGTCGCTCCTTCGGCTTCATATCCTGTGGATGACAGCATTTCGACCTGAATGGAATACTTCTTCAAGGGCACTTTCGGCCACGGTTTCCAGTTCATGGGCTCGATAGAAGAATGCTCTGAGGACCCGATTTACAGCGTCTTCGCACGGTAGAAGGTTATTGTCTCCCCAGATCCCAGCAAAAACCAGGGCAACAGCGAGTTGGATAGTAAGACGCTGTAATGATTTGATGAGATATCTGCTGCGTTAGTAGACCGCCAGCACAAACATGAAGTGGTCATATCCTATACAATGTAATCAATTCCCGCTCTGTATATCGTCCGTGGCCCCGTAGCGTTACAGATGTCACAGAATAGTAGAGTGTGTGTGAAAGAAGAAAGAAGGTGAGGCCTGGGGTCTGATTTGCCTGAGGCATTTGTGGTCCGTGCAAGAGCTATTGGCGAGATCGGGAATTCCAGGAAATGTTTTGGCCGCTCTTCAACGCCGTGCGCATCGTCTCGTGCAGACAACTTTCCATACACTGTACATACTTGGGTGTCCCTCTCATCATGCTGCGAATCGCATTGCCTCGAGGCGCGGGCGCGCAATATCAAGCAGTCAATGCCGTCAGGTCGACGGCCACCACCACCACCGCGTGCAGAGCAGCTCCCAAAGCCCCGCGAAGCTTCAGCACATGCACTACTGCGCCGACGAGACCCATAGCCCGACCTTCACCTGTTCACCCACCTCTCTCACTACCCGCATTCACATCCCTTTCCTCGAGAACCTTCGCCAGCACAGCCAAGATGGGACGCAAAGAGAGCGATGCCTTTGGCGAGATCGAAGTCCCCAGCGACAAGTACTGGGGAGCGCAGACCCAGCGCTCCCTCGGCAACTTCAACATCAATCAGCCTCAGGACCGCATGCCGCCGCCCATTGTGAGGGCGTTTGGTATACTGAAAGGTGCTGCCGCGACGGTGAACATGAAGTTCGGGCTTGACCCGAAGGTTGGAAAGGCCATCCAGCAGGCCGCGGCCGAGGTTGCTTCACTCAAGCTCCTCGACCACTTTCCCCTGGTCGTTTGGCAGACCGGCTCCGGCACCCAGTCCAACATGAACGCCAACGAGGTCATTTCCAACCGTGCGATCGAGATCCTGGGCGGTACCATGGGATCCAAGAAGCCGGTGCACCCCAACGACCATGTCAACATGTCTGCCTCTTCCAACGACACGTTCCCAACCGTCATGCATATTGCTGCTGTCCTGGAATTCGAAGAGGCTCTTCTGCCAGCGTTGAAAAACTTGCACTCCGCTCTGAAGAACAAGGCCGACCAGTTTGAGCACATCATCAAGATTGGAAGGACACACTTGCAGGACGCTACACCTCTGACCCTCGCCCAAGAGTTCGGGGGCTATGTCAAGCAACTGGAGTACGGTATTGTGCGCGTGGAGTCTGCTCTGCCTCATTTGCGACTGCTGGCACAAGGTGGAACTGCCGTCGGCACCGGGCTCAACACTTTCGTGGGCTTTGCTGAAGACATTGCTTCAGAGGTCAGCAAGATGACCGGCAAGCAGTTCACCACTGCACCAAACAAGTTCGAGGCTTTGGCTGCTCACGACGCTATTGTGGAAGCCCATGGCCAGCTGAACACTTTGGCTACTTCGCTCTACAAGATCGCACAGGATATCAGATTCCTCGGCTCTGGTCCTCGATGCGGTCTTGGTGAGCTTAGTCTGCCGGAGAACGAGCCTGGCTCGTCCATCATGCCTGGAAAGGTCAATCCGACTCAGTGCGAGAGCATGACCATGATTTGTTGCCAGGTCTTTGGAAACCAGGCAGCCGTCACGTTTGCTGGTTCTCAGGGCAACTTTGAGCTGAACGTCTTCAAGCCAGTCATGATTCGAAACCTCCTCCACTCTGCCCGCCTCCTCACCGATGGAATGAACAGTTTCCGTGAGCACCTTGTCTTAGGATTGGAGCCCAACGAGGCCAAGATTGCATCTATCTTGAAGGAGAGCTTGATGTTGGTCACCTGCTTGAACCCGGTGATTGGATACGATATGGCATCCAAGGTTGCGAAGAACGCACACAAGAAGGGCTGTACGCTCAAGGAGAGCGCGATGGAGCTGGAGGCCCTGAGCTCAGACAAGTTTGACGAGATTGTTCGACCTGAACTCATGATCTCGCCCAAGGAGTACAAGAAATAAGGTATTTATGTAAATCAAGTGAAGACGGGAAACTAACCGTCGCCATACTTCTCACACCACTGTTTGTCACCGGCGACCCAGTGCTCAATTAGAGCCTGGATCTGTTGTCTCTTAGGATCAGCATTTTGCTCGACTGTAGATAACTTGCAAATTAGGCACTCACCGTGACATTCTTTGTCCCTGCTGGAGCGAATAGTTGCGCCACTACAAAATGCTTCGAGGAAGTCGCGAGCGAAATGCTTTGGAGTCCTGCCTTCAGCCGCTCGACAGCGTGATGCGTGGCCTGATCGTCTAATTAACTAGCTAAGGCCCGACTCGTTGGTCATGACTGCCACTTTCCAGATCGTCAGGAAATTGTCTCTCTTGCAATGAACGTCTTTCGATGGGGACCTAAGGGACATGGCTGCCCTCTGTGCCCGGTCCAGCCTGATATTCTCATTCTTTGATTACATTTAATGTCGGAAGGAGAAAGACTCACCTGGACTGGATATGGATTGAGCGCTATGATTTTGACGCTGTTCAATAGATTTTTGGCCTTTCTGCTGCGCAGCGTGTGCCAATGAGCCGTCGGGTGGTGGCATACTTGAGGAGAAAGTCTTGATACTAACTTGCCAGCCAGGTCAGGATGCAACTTGAGTTTCCTCATCTGTTCCGCTGCTCCACTTCGGAATGTTTGCTGGCTTTGTGGTCCCAGACGCTCTCGAGACAGGTCTTGAACAAGCTATTAGTACTTGTCTGGAGACTACGATGGATCGAAGGTTCCTTACTGGCCCTTGGGAGAACACACCAACTCCATCGCCACGTGAAGAATTCAACGCGTTACGCAACAAGGATCGCACCTTAAGAAACGGCGAAGTACGATTGGAATCAAACGAGAAGACACCAGCGCATCAATGGTACCTGTCCCTGGAGACATCTGACTGGTAGGTCCGTGCACGCATTCCCTTTCAAACAGCTTCTCTCTTCCCTCCCGTCCTCTCCCTTTCCAGAGCCGCTCCGAACCAACACAAACGCACTCTGAATCAGCATCGGAATCGGCGCATCTTCAGCAAGCCTCTTCCCCATCCACCACAACCCACGCAGACAACTGCCGCCAACATTCAGCCTTCGACTTCGTACAATGGCTTGTTCAGACTCTCTGGAAGCAGGCTTCAACTTCAAGCTACAGCTCTACGTCGTGTGGGATTGGACTCTTGTCCTGATCGGTGAGGCATTCTACTACGATGGCACCCCTGGAGGCGCGAAGAAGTTCCTTGAGGCAACTGATCTGACCCCAATTCGCTTCGCGAAGGGATGAATGGAGACCCAGGGGGTCTTTGTGGCGTATGTTTCATGCTGTCACGGACGGGAAAAGACAATGCTCGAGCATTTGCGCGCGCTCGGTCTGGGTAGAGACTGGGAGAAGCTCGAAGGCTTCTGCGAGAGGAAGAGAGAGAGAGAGAACTTGGGCATTTGATCATCCGAGAGTTCGATGTGGGTGGGACCCTCGTACGCATGGTCGATTGTGGATTGCCTGGAGATCAGTACACGGTTCTGGCATACCCAAAGGAGATGGTTTCCTCCATGACAATGTTAAGGTCAACCTTTGACATCTGGACGAGGCTTGCCGACAAGATGGAAGTCGTGGGAGTTCTTCAGCCATGCCGTGACGCGGATCATGCGAAGACCAAGGCTGTGAAAGCGAAGCTGTAGTGGTAACAACGGATGTTCATGACGCATGGAAGGGAAGTACGCCATACAAGCAGCCCGGTGAGGAGTGCGAGCCTAGTGACGGTGTCTGTCAAGATGGTCGTTGAGTACACGAGGAGACTGTACTCATTCTTGGCGGGACTTCTCTGCGAGAGGGAGAGATTGTTCCTGGTAGGTGTGTCCTGTATTGACTTTGAGATAGAGGGGCCTAACGGTGATTACCAAGTTAGGCCTGCATTACATGGGAATAATGTGCCGTGCCGTACTCGGTTCACTGCTTATGTGAGCTGATCATTATGATCGATTGGTGGGAGGGGCAACGTGAGAGTTTAAGTTCTCTAGGCGTCTTCTCGTCGTGACGCGGTCCACTTTTCTTCTCACCATCTCGTACACCGAAAAGTGCCGACGATGTGGCTGTGGCCATCGGAACGTGACGTGACGTGAGAAGAATGATGATCATGTTGCGTACTAGGCTCCGCCGACTCGAGAGCGAAAGGCGTGCGCTACGTGGTAGGTAAGCGCGGCAGCTCGTAGTAAGAAGCAGCAGCTCAGATGGTTCGTCCCTTGCCTTGTGTACGGTACCTTACCGTACACATGCTCTGGATCTCATCTCACGATTAACAAAAGGTGAGCAGGTGCGGATGACTCGCTAACAGTAGGTTCTTTGTCCCTCCAACAAGCACTTCTTCATCTTTTCAATCTCTACCACGATTCTTCTTCCTACGAAGTGACGCAGACAACAACCACCAATCTTCTACCAACCGCCGCAACACCCAGCATGGCGCCGACGATTCACTGTGTTCGCCATGCGCAAGGTTTCCACAACCTCAATGTCGCCAACCACTCCATGCACGATCCCTTGCTCACTCCCCTCGGTGAAGAGCAATGCCGCCTTCTCCAGAAGAACTTTCCCTACCATGACAAGATCGACGCGGTTGTAGCTTCGCCTATCAAACGGACAATCTACACTGCTTTGCTCGGCTTCGGAGACACTATCAACAAGAAGAACCTGAAAGTCATTGCCCTTCCCGAGTTACAAGAGACGTCAGACTTGCCATGCGATACGCCCAGCCCGCCCGAACAGGTTGCAAAGGAATTCGCGGGACAGCCGGTGGACCTGAGCTTGGTGAAGCCGGGCTATGATAGCAAGCGAGGGAAGTGGGCACCAACTTCTAAGGCAATCGAGATACGGGCAAGAGAGGCAAGGCAGTGGTTCATGCACAGGCCTGAGAAGGAGATTGTGGTCGTGACTCACGGTATGTCCACGCATCTCCACTGCACTCCTGATCACCACGTGCTGATATGAAACTTGATCAGGTGGCTTCCTTCATTACTTTACCGAGGACTGGAACGATAACCACCGGTTTGCCGGCACTGGCTGGGCCAACACAGAATACCGCTCCTACACCTTCTCCACATCTGACCCCGAGCAAGCCCACCTCATCGAGACTCCCGAGTCTAGAGAGCGTCGGAAAGCGGAAGAAAAGCCACTCGACAAGGAAGAATATGTCAATCTCGAGCGAACAGTGAGCAAGGAGCGCAAGGAGCGGCAAGCAAAGACTCAACAGACACAAAAGATTCAGGCAAAGGTATAGCCTTCCATGCTGTTGAGCGTTTCCGAAGGTGCTAGTTTGAACACTAATGTACCAGGCTTAGATGAAGGCACGATCAAGGGACGACATTGTGAGCGGGTACGGTGCTTTCCTATAGGACCTGGCAAAGTTCACGAGCCTGCTTCATTTTGGGATCATAGAGGGCCTAGAGCATGAGTATAACGAATGACGGCATAGAGGATAAATCAGAATTCAGACCAAGAAAGATAGAAGAGAAAACCTGAGAACGTCGTGCAGGCATCACACCATCTTCTAACCCTATTGACACAGTAACACGCACTAACGCAAGCGGTTGAGCTGGTCAAGACTCTGTGAGAGAAACTCCAGGGGCCATAGAATTTTACATGTGAGCTTGGTTTGCAAAGGGTGAAGACTCCTATCCATGCATTTTAGGGTATCGGATGATGCTAGCAATCGAAAACTCCCATGCGATGCTCTCAAATACGCTAATTCGCTGTTTTATTCGTGCTTCTCAATTCTTGCCATCAATCATTCGTTGTCGTCATTGTACTGGCCTAGTGGGCTGCGCGGCATGGGCTCAGAATGGCTACTGCGTAACGTGCCTGCTCTTGTCGTCTTCGACCCACTGTTCTGAGGTACTGCGAGAGGCTGACTCGGCGGTGGTGAGGAACGTACCTCCGGGTATCTAGCCTGGACAGCATTACGATGCGGCAGGTCGGGAGTCGAGCTGCGTGAGGGAGTCTGTTGATATGGCGGGCGCCGAGGTGGAGATGGCGACATTGGCGAGCCTTCTCTGGAACGGTGTAGCTCGATGGAGGGCCGAGCAAGGCTCAGTTGGGGAGCAGGATGTTGCAGCAGCAGCTCGTCGTACTCGTAGGCGTCATCATATGGCAGGTCGTGCGCAGAAGGAGACCCATTTGGTGAGCAGGCTCCACCGTTTGCATGTCGTATGTAGTCTTCGCTGTGCCGCTTGATGGGAGACTCGTCATATGGGTCAAACCCAACCCTCTTAGTAGCATCACGGCGGAGACGCTGACGAAACTCCTTGTCCGCACCAGCGCCGGCCGTCGAAGACTCTGATAGAAAGAAGTTGAGTAACTCATCTTCAATTGCTAGGTGAGACTCTTGTCTGAACTGTTGCAACGCAGCAAGCTTCATGAGCATCTCAAGCAGTGATAGGCTGGTCTTGATTGGAGGTCCTTTGCGTTTGCTGGGGGACAGATTCAGCGTTGATGCCTCCGCGGGAACAAGGTTTCGAGTGGCTCCGGGAGAAGCTGTTGGAGATGAACGTAGCTTCATAGCAGAAAACGCACTCATCAACCCAGACTGTGAAGATTGATTCCAGCTCGGTGCTGGCCGCTCGTCATCCAAAGGTGAATCTGAGTCGTCCTCGTCCTGATCTTCGACATAGACCTCAAAAGCCATCCACTCCGGGTCCAGGTCTGCGGGAAGGCGCCAGGCATGACGATCTTCCTCGCGTCCATTCCCCTTCAAGGGCGTGGGCGGCGCGGATTGCCGGTCGATCTGTGCATTTATCTCAGTCTGGTCTTTGTGCCCTCCACGAGGACCATTGGTAAGGCTCTCTACCCCTATGCTTGCCTGAGATGGAGAGCGTCTCATCATACGACGTGGTGGCTCAGCGTGGACGTCGCGTTTCAGCAGGAGGACAGGATTATTGGTGCCATCGTCACTACCGATGTTCAAAATCTTTCCTCGATCTGCGTAGAAGACCTTGGAGATCTCGTGGCAGGGAATGACGTCCGCGATACCGGCATTGGAGACATCATCGAAAGGTCGCGAGGCTTCCTCGTCAGGGTCGTGGTACCTACCATCGTCCTGGTCTTCCACTACGACGAGCTGATAGGCGAACTCTCCAGCTTTAGCTTCCGCCGGTATTGTGCTGGCATAGCCATTTGGGACATCGTCTGAAGTCTGACCTGGCAGATCGTAGAGCTGTTCGAGCGGCACTCGCCAGAGCTTGATCCGAGCCTTGTGTATGACTTCTTTCCATGTTGCTTGACGAACCCGCTCTCCGTCTGATGCTCGTGAAGAATGGCCCGCAAACAGCATGTACAGAGTCAAGACATAGGTGGGACCGACCTGTTGACGGTTGCTGGGGTCGTTAGTGTATCTGGTGTCGCTGGCGGTGAGAAATGTAGATGCCTGCAGCAAACGACTTGGGCTGATGGTGCCGGAGAGCTTGGTAGACAAGTTGACACCTGACGTGGTAATTGCGAGGTTGATCAAAGGCACAGCATCTTCAATGAGGTCAAGCAAGGTTCTTATCTGCTGGATGATTTCACGAAGCTCATGATTGATTTCGTCGCGAGATTTCTTGCTTGTCCGCTGGAGTTGAGCATCCTCGCTTGCGTTCTGCAGGCGCTGACCGAGCTTTTGCATCTCGTAACGGAGGTCCTTTGTCAGTGCGACGGCAGACTCCAGCGACGTGTTGCCTCGAGCAGCAATCAACTCGATCATGTCAATCGAAGGCGCGATGACACGGATCTTGGACTCCAGGCGGAGCTGCAACTGCATGAGCTCCTGGCGCTCCTTGCCCTTGGGCGCCTGTTTGAGGAGACGGCCGCATTCTTTGATGGCGAAGCTGGTCGTGATGGTGATGCCCGATCTGATGGCATACTGCACCGCCTGATGAGTGACTCTCGACAGCAATTCGTCCATGACTGATTGTCGCCGAAGGATCGTGAGTTAACCCGTTCTATGCCCAGATGCAGATATGCGAGTGCAGATGCAGTACTGGATCACACATTAGGACGAGTCGCGTAGCGGCCGTGATGTTGTGAGAAGACAGGATGTACAGAAGAAGAAGTTGAGGGCAGACGACGTTGGTCGGCGTGTTTGTACAGATTCACGTCAGATACGCGAATTCCCGTGCCCACTAGCTCGGACTTCCCGCGCCGCCCGCCCGCCACCTGCACAAGCTAAGCCTCCGTGGGGCCTTAAAAATGAACTGGACCCGACCACGTCCACCTTCACGTCACGAGCCACTCTCATTCTCACCTTCCCATTACCACCACCTCCGCCTGAACCCTTCACCGAGCGACGAGGACCTCATCTTCGCTTCTCTGCCAGCCTCGCCGACGAATCGACCTCTCACGCGCACCACGGCTGACTTGGGCCCAGCATGGCTAACGGACAGCAGCCAGACTCGTGGGAGGATGCCATGCGCGACGAAGACCTCGCCAACCAGACGCAGCAGAATCTGAATTTCCAGGGCGGCGCTGCACCCGGCAACACCTTTACACCAGGCGCACAAAGTTTCACGCCCGGAGCTGCTTCGTTCACGCCAGGACAGCAGTATCAGCAGTACGGCTATGGCCAACAGTACAATGGCTATCCACAGTATGGTCAGCAGCAGGGATTCGGCCAATATCAACAATACGGCTACGGCCAACAGGGTGGTCATCCGCAATACGGCCAGCAAGGATACGGCCAACAGAATTACCAACAATACCAACAGCCGCAGCAGCAACAGGCATATGTGCCTCCTCAGCAACGGCAAACGCCCATGATTGCTCGACGAGGCGAGGCCTTACCCTCTACGCAACAGCAGCCCGCTGCCCAGGCACCCAAGCCAGCGGCTTCCGCAAATGGAAGTGGTGCAGCTCCTGCAAAAACTCTTTCTTTAAGCGCAGCAGATACTGGTGCAGCGGCTCCAAAGGTTGAGAAAGCCGGTGGCACCAAAGTTCTCTCCCTTGGAACTGCAGCCACACCACCTCCTGCGAAGAAAGAAGAAACTGCAGCTAAAGAAGCCGTCAGCAAAGATGCGCCCAACGCCGGTACCAAGGTCGCGGCGGCCAAGGCAGTTGAGAAGACCGGAGAGGCCACAGCCGCCGTTAGCGGAAACACTTCTCCCACGCAATCCGGCAGATCCTCACCTTCCCGTGCAGAGCAACGTGCAGAAGCTAGACGAGCTGACCTGGTAGCTCAAGAGCAGGCCGCAGAGGTAGATGATGAAGCACTTCAAGAGATGTACGGCAAGGAACACGTTAACGTTATATTTTTGGGTCACGTTGATGCTGGGAAGAGTACTCTGGGTGGCAGCATTCTGTACGCAACCGGGATGGTGGACGACAGAACGATGGAGAAATACAAGAGGGAGTCCAAGGAATTGGGACGTGAGTCATGGTACCTATCATGGGCTCTTGACCAGACGAAGGAGGAGAGATCTAAGGGCAAGACTGTTGAGGTCGGTAGAGGCTTCTTCGAGACCGAGAAGAGACGGTACTCCATTCTGGACGCCCCGGGCCACAAAACCTTTGTGCCAAACATGGTATCTGGCGCATCACAAGCAGACGTCGGTGTTCTGGTCATTTCTGCACGAAAAGGCGAATACGAGACTGGTTTTGAGAAAGGTGGACAAACCCGTGAGCACGCTATGCTCGCGAAGACCCAGGGTGTGAACCAGCTCATTGTGGCTGTCAACAAGATGGACGACCCTACCGTAAACTGGTCAGAGGACAGGTACAAGGAGTGTATTGCAAAGCTGACGACCTTCTTGAAGGGGCTTGGCTACAACCCAAAGTCAGACCTCACATTCATGCCGATATCTGCACAATCGACTTTGGGAATCCGGGATCGGGTACCAAAGGACGTTTGCCCATGGTCCGAAGCCCCTTCGCTGCTCGAGTACCTGGACAGCATGAGGGCTCTCGAGCGCAAATTGACCGCCCCTTTCATGATGCCGATTGCTGCCAAGTACAGAGATATGGGCACCATGATCGAAGGAAAGATAGAAGCGGGTGTCATCAAGAAAGAGAACAAATACCTCATGATGCCTAGCAAAGCTGAAATCCAGATCTCGGCACTGTATGGCGAGACTGAGGATGAAATTCCTCACGCCACTTGTGGAGACCAAGTCCGCATCCGTATCAAGGGCGCCGAAGAGGAAGACATCTCAGTCGGATTCGTGCTCTGCTCACCTCGTCGACCGGTACACTGCGTGCAGTCCTTTGAGGCCCAGATTCGTCTACTTGAATTGAAGTCTATCCTGTCGGCTGGTTTCAACTGTGTGCTCCACGTGCATTCTGCCACAGAAGAAGTCACATTTGCCGCGCTCCTCCACAAGCTCGAGCCCAAGACGAACCGCAAGTCAAAGAAGGCACCAGGCTTCGCCAAGCAAGGCATGAACATCATTGCTCGACTTGAGATCACAAGCGGCGCAGGAAGCGTCTGTGTGGAGCGTTTCGAGGACTACCCGCAACTTGGTCGCTTCACGCTGAGAGATCAAGGACAGACGATTGCAATTGGCAAGATCACCAAGCTCATCACTGATTCTACGCAAACATCGTCTGCCTAAGTGGCTGACGAATCTGAAATGACGAAGATGAGGTATGGTGTCGACGAAGGGACAGTTGTCTCTGGATAGGCACGACAACGAATGAGGCATGTGAAATGTACTGGCCGTTGCCAGTGCAACTGCTTATCTTCAGGTAGAGGAAGAGGAAGCTCGCAGGTAGCGCCGAATTCACTTCAACTCGTCGAGCTTTGCAAAAATCTCATATACTATCAAGGATGAGTCCGAACTTGCGGGCGGATGCGAAGTGGGCTTGGGGTCCAGCGTGTATAGGGGTCACCCTGAATATAACCCGAGTCAAACCGAAACACAGAGATTGAGATTGCCAGTGTGCCAGGAAGCTGTTGACGTGTATAGGGGACAAGGCATCCACGCGCAACTTCAGGTGGTCCTCTTGCATCGCAATCCTCTTTTTTTAGCCCGTTCTTGCTCGCTCCTTGACATGTAACCCTTTGCGCTCTTTCCTCTTTTCACGGCGCTCTCTTGCAACAATCCAAGCCATGATGATCCTTCTGACATGGAAGCTTCTGTCGCTCTTTACAGCGCAAACACTATCGCAGTCGGTGAAACATTTGGGCTCTGCTGGAGGAGATGGACCTGAAGGAGGAGTCGGAGACCTCCATAATCCTGTGTTAAAGCCACAGACTTTCATGTCAGTCCTCGAATCATGATCGGGTTGGGGAATAAAAGCTGATAGTGCATTTACTTTGCCAAAGTACCGACGCGCTCATTCCCTTGGAACCAAATACAACTCGACAGCTTGCGAAGGGCAAGCCTCCTGTTCTGGTAAGGGATCACACAAATGTTACGACAGCGTGCCCGCCTCCGAGGCGCGTAATCATCGACTCTGCAAATGGGGCAAGGCAAGAAATGGTTGGCTTTGGATTCTCATGGACCGACTCATCGGTAGAAGTCATCAACCGCTTGACCCCGGAATTGCAAGACCAGGTCATGAGAGAACTCTTCAGCCAGGAAGGCAATAACATGGGCATCATGAGGCACACGATTGGTTCTTCAGACCTCAGCGGAAGACAGTACTCTTTCGACGACAATGGACCTAGCTTCAACGAAGGAGAACCGGATCTGGAATTACAGAATTTTGACATTGGAGAAGATGGCAGGGCAATGGTGGAGTTGATTGCTCGTATGGGAAAGTACAAAAGTGATGTCTTCTTGATCGGTGCGCCTTGGAGCTATCCCGGCTGGATGAAACATAATGGTCTCTTCGTGGCGCCGAATTTGAATCCCGAAGTGGGGGGGAGTTATATGATCATGAATAATTCTTTCGACGCGCAGTATATTCCTCAGGCGGCGAGGTATTTTGAGAAATGTACGTCCCTTCGTGGGTCGGACTGTTGCCTTTGTACAACAAAAAATGCTAACACGTTCATGACAGATTTGGACGCCTACAAGGACCATGGTGTATCTATCAACGCACTGTCATTACAGAATGAGCCTCTGAATTATCAAGGTACCTTCCGTTACCCTCAGACTGGCATGGTAGCTGACCAGGTAATCAGGCGGCACCACAGCAATGTACCTTGACCCAGCGGATGCGGCAGCTATACTCAATCACGGCCTGGGCGCTTTGCTGAACGATCGCAACATCGCTCTCTTTGCGTACGACCATAACACCGATCAAACAGCGTACCCAATGGTCATGATCCAGCGAGCTCCCAAGTACGTCGACGCAGCGGCATGGCATTGCTACGCATATCTTGCCAATTACTCCGTCATGGACGACTTTTATTATGCATATCCCGACAAACCGCAGTTCATGACTGAGTGCTCGTCATACTTGCCAAAGACAGGTAGCATCGATTGGCAAGTGGCGAATGCTTTCATGCCCAGTATCCAACACGGGGGTTCTGGAGCGAATATGTGGGTCTTGGCCACTGATCCGGATTACGGGCCTCACTCTCCGTATGGAGGATGCGCTGGGTGCCAGGGAGCGGTGTGATGAGTTCAAGACGCCATTCTTGACAATGCTGACTTGTTCTAGGTCATCGTCAACTCATCCTCGAGCTACATGAGGACGAATAATTACTACATGGTCGGCCAGTTCAGTCGCTTTATTCGTCGAGGCTCCACAGCCTATAACATTGTGAAGGGCAACGAGGGGAGCCACCTTTCCCCCAACCAGTTTAACACCTTTGCCGCGCAGAATTTAGATGATTCTTGGGCGATAGTCTTCGTCAATAATATGAACAGAACGGAGAACGTCCGCCTATCCTTTACTGGGAGCGACAGCGTTTGGGAAGGTGTCGTGCCAAATGCGACCGTAACGACTTGGATTTTACCGTGCGATAATGTCATGAGAGGCGACAGAGCCGCCAATGCAACGTCGCCTGCGAGCTACCCGTTTGCCAATGGAACGTCTCCGTGGAACGGGCCAACGGGCACCGGGAGGGCGTCGAATGAAATTTGCAAATTGCCGCCGGTGACCACTGCGGCATCCTCATCTGCAAGCTCGTCAAGTACGCCGCTGGTGCCAGTGCCAAACCAGGGGCATGTGGTTGAGCAGAACGTGTTGGGTCTCGAGACCAACAGGGAGAATCGGTATTGCTAAGCTCGGTGATGATGCGGTGCCTGGAGCTCCTGACGTTTTCCAATGGTTCTTTTTCGAATCGATGCAAGCTCCAAGATGGCCAATTGGCTTGCGAGTCTCGCACATCGAAGGGCTATCTTGGAGTCGAACGTCCCTCGTTCTGCGCTATCAGACTCGTCGTGACCATGGTTTTATTAGGATTCTGTGGACGTAAGCGTTGGAGTACAGCCGGCTCATATTGCATCAGTCAATCCGCTCCTGCTTCGAACGCCTCTCATTGATGCTCACCTCCAGTTCGAGTCGATCAAGACCCGCCGCCGTAAGCGCACCAACTCGGGGCTACCGGATTACATCGCCCAACAGCGAACTCACTAGAGCAAGCGATTGTTCTCTGCCTTCGGTAGGCTGGACATGCGATCCCCCAGCCTCCTGCCCGACCACATAGTCGTTCGCCCTGGGTTCAAATTCGCCTTCGAGCCTCCCTAAGCAGTAACAGAGCTTCAACCTCCGAATCATCGCCAGCTTGCCGGGATCCAGAGGTCATACCAGCGGGCGGCTCTCCATTCCTGCGAAGGAGGGAGACAGTCGTCATTGATCAGAGCTCCGGAGCCGAAAGCGAGAGGACATCTATAGTGGCGATAGAAGGTCGATAGTGCCTCTTCCCGAAGCTTTCTGGAAGCGCAGGCAATAGCAGGCTCCGGAGGACATTTAGCAGAAATGTAGTGCTTCTCCAGGATATCGCGATCATTATCACATCAAAGTTCTTGAATTCGCTCTTGCATTTCAGCGTGGTCAGTCCATGTATCAGTGTGAATGATATGAGAAGCAAGGTGGGGACAGCAGAACGGTAAAATCGTGCTACCTATCCCCACCCAATCTTTTACCGTTTTGCTGTCCGGAGGAAGAGAATGTCTACGGACGAGCCTTTCGATCAAATACGGCTTGTTTCGTCAACTGTTAGAAAAGGCAATCTATAGATGGCCACTTGACGCTGTGGTCTGTAAGCGGGGCGGGCCGTGAGTATAGGCGCAAACCTTAAACTAGCGCCATCTCCGCGGAATCTTGCCGTTCCAAACATCTTCAATCACCAGCGACTTGAACGTCTTTCGAGACCTCAATCAATGCGATGACACGGAACATGTTTGGCCGGCTTTTTTTGGGCCGGCCTTTTACATGTAGAGAATTCAGGATACTACAGGCAGCCAAATGGTCTGGCCCGCGACAGTTCCACTCTTTCCACCGCGCGCGCCAGAGCGTCCTTAGTCTGCTTGAAGAACGAGGTTTTGTCAATCAGATCGCTGGGTAGGAGCTGCTGGAGGGTAGGCTTGCGCAAAAGCAAGACTGATATTGCAACAGTGATCGCGACGCGCTGGATAAACTCCTCAATACCCGCCAAGTGGGTTTCTACGCTGGAATCGATCCGACCGCGCCCTCGCTCCATCTCGGTCATCTTTTACCGCTTATGATGCTCTTTTGGCTGTATCACCATGGCCATCACACAGTAAGCCTAGTAGGCGGGGCGACGGCAAAAGTTGGCGATCCAAGTGGTCGTCTCACTTCTCGAGTGAAAACCGCGGAGACAGTCACCCATTCCAACTTCCAAGCCATGTTTGTCCAGGTTCACCAGCTTTGGGTGAGTGCGATTCGATACGGAGAGCGGCATGGTCATGATAAACGTGGTGTGGGCAGGAAAGAGCTGTTGAACAATGCCCAGTGGCTGGACAAGCTGAATGTACTTGAGTTCCTCAAAATCATGGGAAATGGCATGAGACTGGGCACCATGCTCGGGCGGGATACGTGAGTGAGTCCTTACCACAACGAGCGGCGCGAACAGTGTTTGACAAGTCGCTTTAGGGTTCGCAACAAAATGGAGAAGGGTGACGGCATGTCGTTTGCCGAATTCACCTACCCTCTCCTCCAGGCTTGGGACTGGTGGCAGATGTACCAGGAGCGCGGAGTTCAGATTCAGATTGGCGGAAGTGACCAGTACGGCAACATTGTCGCTGGAATCGACGCTGTCAAGTACATCGCGCAAAACCAGGAGTCACATGGTCACGAGCAGTGGCTTGACCGCGATGGACGGTTGAAAGAAGATGTATCGCCCATGGGATTGACGGTCCCCTTACTGACCACTTCGAGCGGCGAGAAGTTCGGCAAGAGTGCTGGAAATGCGATCTGGCTAGATCGACACCTCACCTCGCCGTTCGATCTCTATGGCGTAAGTGTGGCAGTACGCTTTTCATCTAACCCTTTCTGACTTCAACCAGTTTCTTTTGATGTCATCCGACGACGATGTGGAAAAATATCTGAAACTCTTTACGTTCGTGCCGACGGCAGAAATCGAGTCAATCATGGTAGAACACCGAGCAGACCCTGGCAAACGCAAGGCCCAACACCTTCTTGCCGTCGAAGTGCTGGAGCTAGTACATGGGCCTGAGGAAGCTTCCAAAACGCGCAGCGAGCACCAGGTAATGCGGAATCCAACCATTGCCTCACTCTCAGAGAAGTCGCAGACCACACCGACGTCGGGCCAATCTTTGGACTCGCAGCGAATTAGGCTGCCCTTATCGCTCGTGCATAAAGCACCGTTTGGTCGCATCTTGTATCACGCTGGTCTGGCGGCGACCAAGTCCGAAGGTGCACGCACAATCAGCAAAGGCGGCGCATACGTAGCATCAGTCTCACGAGTCGCTGCACCAGGAAAGGAAGGCGAGCTCAATTTTGTTACAATTAAAGATCAGTCGGCTTCGGACATGATCACAGATGGATTGCTCATCCTACGCATTGGAAAGTGGAAAGTCTACGTGATCGAGGTTCTGCCAGACGACCAGTTCGATGCACAAGGTCGGGACGCGCCTGGATGGATGGAATACAAATCTGCTTTGAACCGCTAGCTACGCTCGTCCGAGCAGGCGCATCTCGGCCTAACGAGTATTCTCGCCGTCACTGCGTTATCTAGGCGCCAACAAAAGAAGATACGACTTCTAGACCGACGCTTCCTCCCGTGGAAGCCTCAACTCACTCGCACGGTCTGTTTCCCGCCGTGGATGTGAAATTGTTCAGCTTCATAGGAGAGAAGATGTGACCAGATTCGAGACAAGCTCAGACGACCCAGCCTCTTGTGCATCACGAAAGGCGAAGCAAGGGATTGATGGGACGAGCTCGGGCAAATGTTTGCAGTCTGTGTAAAGGACTACTCAATGCCGAACGCCTTGCTATGTATTACTTCTCTTGAAGCAGGACCTGGTATCATAAAGCAGATGTCTGGACCTAGCCAGTAGATCAAGGAAAGAAAAGGAAAGGAAAGGAAGCTCTCTAAAACCACAGGAGCCAGCGCAAGACTCTTAAAATGCCAATCACAAGCTTTTTGGCACTGTTGAATAGAACAACAACGAACCATACCCACCACATGATGCCCAGCACAAGCCATTCGAGCAGCTTGAAGCCTGCCCGACGGAAGAGTCTGAACTGCTTTCTGCGCTGTCGGAACATCGCATCCACGGCCTCGTCAACACGTTTGACTTCCTGAGGTTGCTTCGTGGTGAGCTCGACATTGAACGCGTCCGCTTCGTCAGAGGTCTCGTCTACAATCTTTGTGAGCTGCTCCGACGCTCTATGCGACAACTCTTCCAGCTGAGATCCAAGATGCCTCGCAGTTTGATCCTGAAATTGCTGCAAAGTTTGCTCAAAGCTGGTCAAGGTAGTCGACAAGACTTCGGAAAGCATCCTAGCAGCCACAACGTTCTCTTCTTTGCGCCTGACACCAGAGAGATTCCGTCCTGCAGTGTCTGCCGCTTTGGAAAGGAGCGGCAGCGGCGGATCACGGACCTTGTCGCCTTCATGGTAGATTGCGTGCGCCTTGACTCCTGATGCCAGCAGGAGCGCCCGGACGCGGGCTATGTCGTGCCCAGTTACCTTGTTCGTTTGGCGAGGCTGAGTCTGATCGCTGATGCTCCAATGTCGCTTTGCATCATGTCCAGATAGCCCGGTCACAAATAGCCCATCCGATTTTCTAGGCTGTGAAATGGTTTCGTTGGTGGACACAAGCGAAAGGTCGTTTTGTGAAGCCGACTTTCGTTGGCCATAGAATAGGTCTTCGGAGTTTTCTCTGTCAAGGTCAGGATTCGAGACGCTATCATCGTCTGGTAAGTTGATGCGAGGCGGCACCAGCAGAGCCGAGTTGCCAGAATAACCATGACCTCGTTGCTGACGTGCATTTCTGTTCAACGGATCACTCACTTCCGGCAATGCCGTTTCTGTATCAAAGCGCCTATCTCGGCCTGACGGGGACTTAAAGCTGGGGAGATTGGAGGTGAAGTATTTCTGCTTAGGTCGCTCGCCTTCGAAAGATGCTCTCGGGCTAATCTGACCGTCATCGTCTCCTTGGCTTTCGTGCTTTGCAAAGTCAGACTGATCAGTTTCCGCATCAGATGGCTCAAGCGGTGTCTTCGTGTCTTCGTAGTCCACAGTAGTCTCGTTGGCCTTGTCGCGGCTGCCACGGAAGCGATCGCCGAGCCGAGAGCCCTCGTAGCGCACCAACTCGGTGATTCGGCCACCTTTGAAAAACCGTCTTCCGCCAAGCGCACCAGACTCTCTTGAACTATCCAACGTGGATGCCGTCGTATTCATACGCCTCAGACTGCTCGCTGAACTGTCTGTAGTGTCGTTTCGCTTGAATTGAGATGGTCTCGCATAGTCCAGACTCGACCTTGGCACTCCGGTAACAGTGTCTGCACTCATTACAGGTGACAGAGACTTTCCGTATCCTGCTGCGAAGTCGGTCTGCTCGATGTTGTTGCGTTCCTTGCTTCGTGAACGGAGTTTGGGTAGGTGGGATCTCTTTGGTTTCTGTTGCGTAGGCGCTGACCGCTTGCTCTGTGGTGGCGGCGAAGCATCCATATTTTTCGCCGCGGAATTGACAGCCATCGTAGACGAAGCTGGTACATCGGAGAAGATTTCACCCATGGAAGACACTCCGTGGTCAAATGATCCCACTCGCCCATCCGCCGACTTCGACCGCCTGGGACCGCGCGCGTCAACAGAGAGCCGGCCGTTCGCGAATGAGTCTCGTCGAGCGGTGTCCATGCTTGTGCGAGCATTAGGAAAGGGCAGATTTCTCGAGTCCCAATGGTCTGGTGAGACTAGCTCAGGCGATGGCAGTTCGCCTTTTTCTTCCTTGGCGATCATGCTACGCATATGCCGCTCAAGAGGGCCAATGTTCTCGTCACCACCGTCATCGTTGCCAAACTGATGCGCTGGCGGCAGCCGCCCCTCGTCGCTGGAGACACTTGACGCACTGCGTGATCGATTGACATTGCCCCTTCGCAGGCGACCGGGAATTGGAAGCAAGTGTCGGCGGCGCGACCTGAACTTTTCTGGATCCTCGTCGTCGAGTTCTTCGCGTTGACTATGATTTTCCACTTGCGTCTCTTGGACACGTCCGGACTCTCGACTTCGTCGGGGTACGTCCAGGCTTGCCCTGACCATAGTTGGGAAGATTCGTTGTCCACGATTGTCTTCAATGATTGCTTTATTATCATTCTTTTCAATCCAATAAGTGTCGGCAAGTAGCTCTGCCGGCTCCATCGTCCATCCATTTTCTGGCCGAGTGATGACTGAGCTCGCTGTATTTGACCGTGTGTGGTGCTTCGCTGGCTCGGGTTGCGCTGCTTCACCTTCGAGTTCTCCGGAAAATGTCGGTAGGCGAACTTGATCCTCACCAGGACGGTAGGTTGGGTCCTTCGACGCTGCTTCCACTCCGTCGATCCAGTGCTTGATCCTGTCTGTCTCTTGCCAGGCATCTGGGGGCGCTGTCCATGGACGTCGTTCTCTGTTGCGGAGGCGTCTGTTCCTCAGCGCTTGCAGAGGGTTATAAGCTCGCCCAAGCTGTCTCATGGTAGCGGTATTCGTAGGCACCCTAGTCACGTGATAGTGTGCACTGCCTGGACTGCTGGTGACCTTTGCTGTGTAATTCTCAGGAGCCGAAGCATCTGGTAGCAGCGGCGGAAGATGTTCAAGCAACCGCCTGTGCTCACTAGCCAGCTCAAAGTATCTCCGTGCCTTCTCCGCTCTCGACAGCGTCGCCGGAGAAAACGAGTACAGCAGATTCTCTCCGTCAAGGCCATTTTCGGGTCTATCTGTGTCCTGCAGGCTTGGCCTGCCAGTGTGTGGAGGAGCCTGCCCCACTCTCTGGATCGACTGACTGTTGCGTTTGGCGCCAGACGACACACATCTCACAGTCCCATGCGAAGAGTTCAGAGCAGATGCCACTCTCCTTCCTCCTGCTGGAGATATTGGGCCAGGAACAGTGCTACTCACGTGACGTTTTCTGCTTTCGCTTAAGTTGAGCGCCATCTGTACTAGCTGTGCAGGATCCATCCCCGGTGAATGAGCCTTGTTGATCGGCTCAGGTTGAGCCTCATTGGGGTCATAAGGCGACAGCTCACGCGACAGCGGTGAGCTGCGCTGGGAGTCCGCAGACTTTCGATTCTGTGAAAACTGCCTCTTGTCCGATGCAACGCGGCCGTCGACGGCCTTCTCCTTCCCATTCGCGTGACCATTGGAGAAGATAGTGTCCAAAAGGAAGCCTCCTGATCTCTTAGATCGACGTGATGCGCTGCCGTCGCTGTGTCTATCCTTGAAGCTAGCATTAGGAGTCTCGAGCAAAGTCCGTCGCTTTCCCCTCTCTTGATCCCTAATCCGCTTGTCGCTACTGCTGCTGCTTCGTTTGCTGATTGAGGTCCTTGACCCGCCCTGCGAACTCGACTCGGCGTGATGTTCGGCGTTCAGCTTCGCGAAGCTCACATCCGCCGCGGCGGTCGAGGGCTGGGAGGTGACAATGGCATCGCTGTCGTCGTTGTCGTTCCTGGACATGACAAGCCACGGTACGCTGCGCTTGCTGCTGACCCGGAAGGACTACTTCTGGCTTGCTCCAGAATCTTGTCGGGGCTGGAGAAGAAGCCAGCTCATCGTGTACTGCAAAGGGAGTCGCTTCTCTCCGGTGGCCAGAGTATGAGCGCGTCTCGTCGATGTGATTGCGCCACGTCGAAGTCTTGAGCGCAGCGTGTGGGGCATGGAAGAAGATGTAGTTGGCGACGAGGACGTCCTAAATGTGGCCAGCGAGATGCGGCGGCATGTGAAGGCATAGCCCTACTAAGCGAGCCGCGGGTCCGTGCCGCACCACATCACGCATCATCTCTCAACGCGCTTTCCGAACCACCTTGTCTACGTCTACCACTCATGCTTACTGCTGCATCAGCTTGCTCTACCAGATACACCAGGCTACTTCCATAATCTTGGACCACGCTTCTCGCCAACCTCAACGAGCGAATCAAAGGGCTGCGCTGCCGACGTAGAGACGCGTTCTTGTGACTACTGCTTTGACTTCTGGGATACATCGTCTACAGGTGGTTGCGTCCTTGGCAGCGTTGCTTTCGCGCCTTGTGCTTTATTGCAGATCTCCAATTCCACCGACTGTCATGGTCTTGAGAGTGATGTACTCTTCAATACCATACTTCGACCCCTCGCGGCCAAATCCAGAGTGTTTGACGCCTCCGAAAGGCGATGCTGCGTCCGAAATGACGCCAGTGTTGATACCCACCATGCCAAATTGGAGCGCCTCAGCAACTCGGTAGCATCTCTGGATGTCCTTGGAGAAAAAGTAACCCGCGAGGCCTACATCGGCGTCATTGGCAAGACTCACGACTTCTGATTCGGTCTCGAAGGGGAACAGGGCAGCAATTGGACCAAAGGTCTCCTCAGAGGCGATCTTCATGCTCTTCGTCATGTCGCGAATGACCGTAGGCTCAAAGAAGTTGGAACCGAGATTGGAGAGTGGCTTTCCACCAGCCAAGACCTTTGCACCACGGGAGACAGCATCCTCAACGTGGGACTGCACTTTGCTAACAGCGCGGTCATGGATGAGCGGCCCGTGGGTAACAGCATCCTGGAAGCCAGGGCCAACATTGAAGGCTTTGACCTTCTCTGTGAATGCTTCTGCGAACTTGTCGTATATATCCTTGTGCACGTAGATGCGGTTGGCGCAGACGCATGTTTGACCGCTCGAGCGGAACTTGCTTGCGATGGCGCCAGCCACAGCGGTGTCAAGGTCGGCATCGTCAAATACAATGAAAGGAGCATTTCCACCCAGCTCGAATGACAGTTTCTTCAGAGTATCAGACGACTGATTCATGAGAAGCTTGCCAACGTTGGTAGAACCTGTGAACGATACTTTCTTGACGTCGTTGGAGGAAGTAATGGCCTTTCCAACCTCGACTGTGTTCTCAAGGGAAGTCACAACGTTTACAACGCCGGCGGGAATTCCAGCGCGGTGTGCGAGCTCTGTGATTGCGGCGGCGGTGAAGGGAGTTTCGCCAGGGCTCTTTGCGACCACTGTACAGCCCGCGGCCAACGCGGGGCCAATCTTTCGCGTGATCATTGCAGCGGGAAAGTTCCAGGGCGTGATCAAGCCACAGACACCTACGGGCTCCTTCCGAGTATAGATCCTGTTGCTGCCTACGGTTGCCGGAATTATGTCTCCATACACTCGAGGAGCTTCCTCGCTGAACCATTCGAAGAAGCTGGCGGCATACGCGGCTTCACCCTTGGCGTCATTGAAAGGCTTACCATTCTCCCAGGTTATCAACTTGGCGATGTCCTCGCTATTCTCCACCATGAGATCGTACCATTTCCTAAGCATCTTCGACCTCTCGCGGCCTGTGGTCTTTCTGAATGAGGACAACGCATCAGCCGCAGCCTTAATCGCCCTGTCGGTATCCTCCTTGTTCATTTCTGGCATTGTGCCTATGGTCTTCCCGGTGGCTGGGTCATGAACCTCAAACGTCTTGCCTGACTTGGCGCCGACCCACTCGCCATTGATGTAGCCTTGTGATTTTAGCAAGCTTGTGTCTTTCAGGTCCGGGACAGAGTGAATTCCTGCGGCAGCCGGCCTCGACAGGAATCGCAAGCGGTCCGCCTGTCTGATCTGCGAGCGGAGCACGGCATTGGAGGAGAGGGTCTTGAGCAAGAGCTTCATTATGCGGGACGTAGCCTGCGGCTCTGCGATTCGATGGGATGTCGTCCGCCGGTCACCAGCAAGTGAGGAGGGAGAGGTCCACCGCGCTGGGTAAGTAGGGCGCCGCCGTTGGCAATGCTTGTCGGACGGTAGAAAGTAGGAGCTCCGATTATTTGTTTCTGCCGACGGAAAATGGGTTAACGATGATGACAGAGCAGAGCTTTAGTCATTAGCCGACGGCCGGGCAAACCTTGACTGACGAGGCCGAAGCCGGAGGGTTTTGATAGTACATGTACCTCAAGGTTCCTTACATCACATTACCTAGTAAAAGGCACAAGAGCGACTCCCCGCCCGGCCCGCTCTCCCGATACCAAGATGTAATGTATGTACTCAGCCTAAGTAGAGTATAGGAGAAGATATCAGCAGTAGAAGAGAAGGGAGAACGGGTGGTCCTACAACGACCAAAATCAGAGGAATCGACAATGGAGATGTCGTATAGATACGCGCTGGCCACACTCTCCCACGGCAAGTTGCAAACCCAACGTACGGTATGCCTGCTGTCCAAGTGCTTCTCTGTGATCTGAAAACTACATTATCATCAGCGCATTCCTCGGAAACACAGCGGCATCCGATGGCTCATGCTGGTCTCGATTGCAGCTGCCTACCTTACGCAGGTCTTCCCGGCCTCAGCACACGCACACTGCGCAAGACATCATCCGTCCAAGAAGCGTGGTACGACGGGATACCAGCTGTTGGCGCCTTGTACCGCACCAGGCCGGAATTCGCCCACGTACCTAGACAATTATTCCGTTCCTGCCTCCGAGCATTGCTTCCCTTGACGCTGTTGCGTTGTTCCCGTCTTCTCCGACTCCCATTCTGCTCCTCTTGTTCGCCCTCCTGGCTACATGTATGCAACAGAAGAGATCGCAGTTTTCTCCTGAGAGCAGATGCTCTGCTTTCGCTTGTCCATCGTTATTTGGGACCATTGCAAGCATCTCGCTGCTCTAACAATCTTCCGACTGGGTGGTTTGCTATTTGCCTTTACCTGCTCCGCGATGCCCCATTCACAGCAAAATATATCTACATCGGCCAGTCGCAAAGATCGCCATACTACAGATCGCGGTCTATTTGATCCCGCCTCTGCTACGCCCAGATTCCTCCACCGACTTCCTATGCCGAGCGAAGAAGAGCTTCGCTACTTCGGCCTGCAGGCGGGAGATCGAGCGCGCAGTCGAGGTTCGCAAACATCTCGAAGCAGTATTGAATATATTGCACCAGGCCATGCTGATATCGACCATGAATCCAGATACCGAATGTAGCATCTGTCAGGAGCGTGTCAAGGACCCGGTGAGGAGACTCCGCACCAAGCTTGACGGTGACTGATCTTCACCAGGTCGTGACCGAATGCCAGCATGTTTACTGCTTCGAGTGTATCTACCAGTGGTCCGGCCGGTCGACCCAGTGTCCAGATTGCCGCAAGGACTTGTACGAAGACCATCTCACGAAAGACCAAACTGCTCCCGTACGACTACCATCTCCAGCGGAATTCTCTAGTTCCGAATGGGTGCGAGCCAAACGCGATGTCCAGAGTCCAATCGACAGTGTCTTCTCCAAAGATTGGAGGCCAAACGCTCCTTCTCCAGTCCCACAGTCCCAAGATCGCGAGTCAACGATTCTGGACTGTCAGGAAGCACCACCGTCACGGCATCGTCGACGCGGCAATCATGAGAGATTTCCAAGCTATGGCTCGACAGCATATCAGCGTCTCGATTCCAGTCCCCCTCGAGCCGTTCTCCGCCAATCCAGGGCACCCCATCACCCGACCATGCGCTCTGCTCCACCAGCCTCGTGTCATCCTACCCTCTTCCAAGAAGATAGAACAATCCCTCGAACCTCCCACGACAACAACCTCCCAACAGTCCCGATCGAACGCGAGCCCCAATCCAGCACCGACGCCCTCCTTGTCGATTCGGACGAAATGCTCGCCCACATGTGGCAGACCAGCCGCGCCATATCGATACGCACGCAAGTCACCGTACGTTGTCGCGCGATCGCCAAGTGCGTCTGGCGGGAATGGCGAAACCTGCTACGCCTGCACGACGGCCAGTGGATTCTGCCGGGAGATCTGCTGGCTGCTCTGTCCCATAGCTTCGAACAGACGGTGGTGGACTATGGCTGGGTAAGCCATTGGCGAGAACTACCACCTGCATTCACACAGATCATGAAGAAGACTGCGCAAGCTGTCACTGACTTCAGTTGATGCTTGCGCTGGCATGGATCACGACACTTTTGTTATAAAATTGCGCCTGCGAAGCGAAGCACGCTCTGCGGCGAAGCCCTTTTAATTTGTGTTTTACCCCGTCTACTGACAGCTCATGCCCCTGAGATAGCTTCCAATCCTCAAGTGCGCCTGAACTCGGCAAGAGTGAGAGGGTGAAGTCATGCATCGGTCTCGCTCTCGCTCGCTCCAATTCATGGGCTGGCTGCCATCTTGAAGCTGTGCAGAGGCTTTCCGCGGACGCCAATGTCGATCTTGAAGAGTGCGCCCTCAAACTCCTTGGACCACGGGTACTTCTCCGGGTCCTGTTCTTTTGCAGTCGTAATGAAGAGCTCGGTGCCTGCGATAGCCGGACAAGTCACACACCGAGTCGGCACCTCGATTTCGGCAACCACATGACCGCTCTGGTTGACTCGCACCACCTTTCCCGTGCCAAAGCAAGCCACCCATAGATGCCCCTCTTCATCTTGGCAATGACCATCGGGAACTCCACCCTCGTACGGGCAGGTGAAGAAGACCTTGCCGTCCGCGAAAGACGCTTCTCCGGTCTCTGGGTTGTACGGATAAGCCATGATTTTACCCGAAGGTGAATCGGTGAAGTACATTGTAGTGCTGTCCCTGCTCCAGGACATGCCGTTGGGTATTGTGACATTCTTCTTGACGCGGTGCAGGCCGAGGTCGGCATCCAATCGGAACAGCAGGCCTTCGTCTGTGAAACCCTCGCCTACAAGAGCTGGGTCGTTCATGGCACCTGCACGTCCCATCAGTACATCTGCCAACAGCAAAGAGCACTACTCCCCCTCTGCTTACCGACGAAGAAGCGACCTCGGCTATCGACAGCGCCGTCATTCGATCGCATCCTCTCCTGCAGGTTCTTTCCCTTCCCCGGCTTACCACCTCCATCGTCCTTCCGCTCCTCATCGGTCCACATGTCTTTGATGATCCGATGTTCTCCGGTCTCTCGGTCGAACAGGCCATAACCGCTCTTGCCCCCAAAAATCTGACCAAGCGACGAGAGTAAGCGAGCGAGGATGAAGCCGCCGCGCCGTCTGCCGACCATGTACTTACAAATTCGTCCTCATTGCCCTGAATATCTGCCGTGCAGCCGATGCTGAATTTGAGATCCCACTGCTTGTGAGACGAGGGGCCTTGCGTCAGATTGATGGTGTGCAGCTTCTCCTTCACAATGTCCACGAAGCGCAGGCTGTCGCGGCTCTTCTCCCAAAAAGGGGCCTAGGCGCACGAGGTGTATAAAATCAGCTCGCGATCTTCAATTCAATACTGCCTCCTCAGTAACTGTGCCGCACTACTTACTTCGCCCAGTCCGCACGACAAGTGGAGATAAGGCTCGCTTATCTTGTATTTCTTGACCTCTGCCATGCCTCTTCAATTGTTGTGTTGGTGTTCTGGAACAGCAGAGGCAGTAGATGCAGGCTTCCCGATGTGCGAGCTGTAGTCGAGGCCGATGGTTTCTTCGGGTTGATTGCGGGTCAATTCGTCTCCACGTGGCTTCCCTGCATCATTCGCCCGTCATGCCTTTCGGAATCCCAACAGAAAGGCACGATATGGGATTCGCGGGCCATCAGTTTCGACTTTCTCGCCGGAAGATGTCGACTCGAACATTCGTCAGATGAAACAGGCAGAGGTCATTCTTGCTCTTGTGTTGGTATACATCGCACGGAAGGCTCGGTCATGGATTCTGAAAGTTCATATCAAGGCTTGAATAATGGAACACTACAAGCGTCTTTCCACAGCGGAATAATATTGTCCTCTTCCCGAAAGTCCGAACACGAAACGGGGCAACAGAGTGTCGGACAGCGCAGAATCAGCGGAGTGGTCGTCGAGATAACACTCGATCTGCGAAGACGCTGGACATCCGCGGCTCCTGCCTGGCGTTTCTCCCACTCTGCTGGCTGCACGACGCGCGGGAAGGTGATGCCCCTGCACTCTTTGATAGCACGCCTTTCGTCATTATTATTCCCTGGATGCGCATGTCGCGCTTGTATGCGAAGCGTTCCGATTCGAGTCGCAGCTCCGAAAGACCGTGCATAGACCCGGATGATAGGCCTGGAAGAGACTTGCAACGCAATGCAATAAGAATGATGTCTGGAAAACACGTTCAGCGGCCGCAAGCAAGCAAGCAAGCAAGCAAGCAAGTCGTTGCAACAGATTTGCCACATGGCTTGCTCGGGTTCGTCTCACATGCCATTCATCATGGCCGATCATGCTAGCGTCGACATGGCGTAACCACGTTTTCGCCTCCATATTGATGTTTCCCTGCTGATGACGGGCCAACACACGCCTCCAAGTTCCACAGGCGAACTCGTGTCTGTGCTGGTGCAGATGTGACAGCACAGCGTATGGTGACAAGGCAATTTTCATGCAGGGACAACAGTTTCTAGTCGCTCGTGGCGCGGTTTAAACAACTCCCGCAGTATCCTGTCGTGACACCTGTCTCACCTGCCCTCCACGAGGCCAACCCTGAGACGTTTTACCACATTCCCAATCGAACGGGTCTGATTTTCATGGATTGGATGCCGTGATCGTGAAACGCTCCGGACGCCGCGGTTTCAAGACCATCTCGGACTCCGCATTTGCACAATGCAAGTCCAAGCGGAAGGTATATGTATCATCAACGGTTGGGACTGCGCTGTGGTCTGCGGGATAACAACATTCCAGATTTTGCCTCGTCAAAGTGGAGTGTGGTGTTACCAGATTTGTGCTAGCGTCGGTGTAAGGGTAAGCGCCGCTCTTCGAGACTTCTCTTGGGAAATACTACTCACCAGGCGCAATCTGGCTATTTACCCGGCGCTACCCCCTACACCTGTAAGATACGTATTAGCCGCCTTGCTCTATTCGTATAGCCGTAGGATCTCGTTCCGCTACCTCTGCTACCTACTACTACGGTATCTCGCCGCTCTATAGTAGTAGTAGCTGCTACTGTCTTCGCCTAGTACGCAGACACTGAGGCACGTAGACATTAAGGTACGCAGACACTACGGCACGTAGATACTAGAGTAGTACGTAGACACCGGGGCACGCAGATATTAGGGTACGTAGAGAATAGTACGGCACTACTAGCGACCTTTATATAGTAGAGCCGTAGACGTGTCTATACTGCGAGTTAGTGCGTGCGCGTCGCTTATTGTATCTTACAGGTCTAGGGGGTAGCGCCTGGTGAATAGCCAGATTGCGCCTAGTGAATAGTATTTCCCCTTCTCTTCCTCTCTTCACACCCCGCATCCGCATCCTCTAACTACTAGCCCGTTCTGTTTCGCTCTTTCGCGCCTAGAGGCGCCTTTCAGTCAGACGGTCCGGGTCGCCTGCCCTTACATGAAAAGCTCGGTCGCCAACCTATTCGGCATGACGGTGTTCGAGGCCCGTTTCACTCCTCGCTTCACCGCCTAGTAGAGATACTCAATCTCTCGTCCGTATGCCATGCCACTCCTTGTCCTCTTAGACCCCGTCTTCAGACCGGGACCAATGCTCGCTCGCACATGGCATGCATCCCGCCGGCTAATGTTGGTGCACTACACAACCGTGCAATCGTGTCGCGTCTGATGAATGCGAAGTACTTTCTGCAGTATGTCGATTCATGCATGTGCCAATAGAAGGCTATCCGAGCGGACAGGAGTCGTGTGTGCTGCGCCCACGATTAAGATTTTGGTGCGGTCAGTCTCGAGACTGCGTGCCGCCTGACACATTCGGCAAATGCCCGTGTCGAGACGCAGCACGCCGCGTTTGATCCCGAGGACGTTCGGTCGGCAGAGATTAAGCTGCCATAGCGCCAACGTGACTGACCGCATCATCAACATCCTTGAAGAGTGGGCGGTCGGCGTCGAAACGTTGGCAGCACTAGCTGAAGCGCTAACAGCGGCAGCGTTCCGTCAGCGCCGCTTGGCCACGTGTTTGGTCACACTAACGACAGCCGGAACAGTGCCCCGATCACGCTTCTGGAAGGCGAGATGAGCGCATCGATAGCGTGGCGAAAGCGCAGGTCCGGTGCGCGCGCGGATACAGTGTTTGGATCTCGACGGCTGCCACCGCAAATGATCGTGCGCTCTTCGACGAGTTACTACCCTGGTATTGGCTAGGATCCTCTCCGTAAGACGGCAAGTTCCGCCGTGGAAAGACGCTGGACCTTCATCGCATCTCAGAGCCCAAGTGCCAGCGCTGGACACGAAGGAAGACACGAGGGGTCGGAGCAAATACCTGCAAAGTCTGACGACGTGGACGTGGATGGTGGCGTGTCCGCTGCAGCTCGGAAAAAGCAGCTGCAATGGCAGTGTGGTGGGCGTACAGTAGTTTGCAGCGACTCCAGCGCACGATTGCGCACACCGACCGAAACAGCGTGTGACGAGAGCGCTGATAGGTCGCACGCAAGAAATCGCAGCGCTGAAGCCAATCAGCAAAAAGTCCGTTTTGAGTGGGTTGCAACGATGCGCTGGCAGTGCGTGCACATGACCAGAGCAATATGCGAGTCGTCGAGGCCCGCAGGCTTGGTGAGCGCGCGGGCAGTGGAGGGCTCGAGATGAGGGAAGCAGAGACCATCGTCGCCGCGCTTGCCGATGAGGTGGTGGTATTATTGTATTAGCGTTGCCGTCCACTGCTCCTCAGCAACGCTTGCTTTCTTTTCTTATCCCAGGAGTCAATTACCAAGCTCGAACGAGGACGAGAATACGCAACCGAGAACCACGAATTTGGGTGTCCCGGCAACAAGGGCTGGAACCTGATCCCTCCACCGGCCAATCTCGCGCGAAGCTATCGCGTCTTCTGACAGGGTGCGAGGCGTCAATGTTGTGATCTGCACATGGCGCAAGTTGTTGCTGCCCAACATTATTAATGTGAATCAACAGCAGCAAGCACCATCTCACAGCCATCACCATGCACGCAAGCGTGTCGTGGGCCGGTGCGCGGAAGCGCTGCTTGGTCGCTCGCTTGTCTAAGTGGGTGAGTGGAAATAACATCGCACTTGGTCGTAGCGCATGTCTCCGCATGTGAGATGGTGCTTTTTCTTTGTTGACGAAGCGACGAGTGGCCGAGCAGGGTACACTCTGGCAGGTACTGTAGCTGCGGAGGCGTGCCTCATCGATCAAACGGCCGTCTTCAGTCTCAGCAAAGTGCCGTGCGAGATGGGTCATGGGTAAGTACCTACTGCAGTAAGCTGAATCTCATACTTCCAACCGCCAAGGCTATGCGAACCAACAGACGATGCTCTGTGTCTCCGACGGCTGTGCGCTGTCGCCCTAACGAGTCTGCGCTCCCACGGACCGGGCGTCTGATCGGTGGTCGCAGCAGCTGTCTGCGTCACCGACCACGAGGGAAAATGTGTGCTGAGTAGTAGTAAGGTAGTGGTGGGCGCGAGATTGGGGCTGAGGAGCAGTTGAGGCGGCGGTGGTGTCATTCCACCCTTGACCAAGCGAAATGTGGCTTGAGATGAGGCGTTCTCCCGTGCGGCCGGGAAGCTAGCGGCAGAGTACTGTACCTGAAGTCCCAGCTCCAACACCGTGGCACTCGTCAACCCCTGCCGCTTGTGCATTTGCATTGCATTGCATTGCGTTGCATTTGCATTGCATGGCATGGCATGGCATACATGCAGTAGCGCCGCCGGCGGCTGCATGGGCCACTGCTGCTCAACACGCATACGCACATGTACTCTGCTCTGCATGCTCGCTCGAGTGTTGGCTCGCTGCGACAGGAGGAGGAGAAAGAAGGAGAAGAGGAGCCTCCGGAGAAGCAGTCGTGCCAGCAATCCCAGTCCCGTCTATCAATAGAGCCCCCGCTAGTGTCGGGCGACAGCAGTTCACACTTTCAAGGCGGCCTTCCCCGGCAAAGTAAGCTGCGGCGGCGGCGGCAGTCGTGGGAAAACAAGATTGGCCCATTAGCAGGATTGGCGATTGGTGATGATGTGATTGGTGCACCGTGTGCGGCATGGACGATTGACGAAGCGGCGAAGCGGCGAAGCGCAGAAGGAGCGGAAGTAAGGTAGCGGGCCCGCAGCGGTGGAAGGAGCGAGGCAGGTGGCAGGCAGGAGGGCACTGGGCAGCTGGAGACACTGCATTACTGTATCCACCTGCACTGTGTCATGGTCGTTCGTCGGGATCACGGGATGATGATGATGATGGTGGAGGGAGGGGAACAGGCGGGAGGGTGTCTTATCTGCCGTTGCCGATCCCTGGCCCCGGTAGCGTGCATCCGTCATCGAGCGCGCGCAGGGGAGCGGCAGCGACAGAGACTAGGGTGCGCGCTAGAAGGCTGTCCTGACCTGTTGGTGCTGGTGCTGGTGCTGGTGCTGGTGCTGGTGCTGGTGCTTGTTGCTGGAAGAGCTCGTCTCGTCTCGTTGCGTTGCGCTGGGCTGCGCTGAGAGCCAGCCAGGAGCTCTCCTCCTCCTGCCTGGTCTGGTCGGTTCTGACTCCCCTCGTAATAATCACACGGCCCACTGATATATCACTCGCCATACCCAGAGGCCCGCCCGCCGGACGGAGCTCGACTCTCGCCAACCACTCTCTGCCAACGACACCCCCACTCCATCTCGGCGCTCGTACCTGTATCTGTATCTGTACCTGTACCTGTACCTGTACCTGTACCTGTACCTGTACCTGTATCAGTATCTGTATCTGTACCTCCGGATCACTACGACTGCCGCACGCACGCACGCACGCACGCACGCACGCACGACGCACACCCGCCCGCCCGCTCACCACGATCGCGACGAGGCGAGAAGAGACGACTGGGACGACTCAGCCAACGCCAACGCCAACGCCAACGCCAACGCGGCCCACATCACATCCACTGCCTCTCCCGTCTGCAGCCAGCATACCGACGTCCCCTCGTCACTGCACCTGAACCCTCTCAGCCGCGAGATCCAGTAGGTGTCCAACACGTCTGCTCAGGGCTAAGGGCTGCGTTGCGCGTGTCGCTTCTCGCTATGAGCTGCGCTGTTGCTCCTGCCACTTCACATTGAGGCAGCTGGCGTCCGAACTCTTCAATTCCCCACCCTTCAGCTTCCTTCCTCGCCGCCTCCCAAGGCCCCTTCCTCGCTCACGCGCCTCGATCCCACTCGATCGGGGGCGTTCCGCTCCGCCCCTCGCGCGCCGTCAACGTGGCTGTCACCGACATCCGACGACATCATCACCAGTACGCTCACTACCACGGGCCCTACGTCTACCACGCCGCTTCGCCCTTCTCCCATCATTGCAGCCCCAGGTACCATCATTCGGTCACGCCGTTAGGACGTCGCAATATACCGGACCCTCCAACGGCCAAGTCGCCACGCCCATGGTCTCAACAGCGTGACCTGCAGGGAGACTACGGGAAAGGTTTCATGTCAGAGCGGCCGAGGGAACACGGTCCTTCGGATAGTTCTATTGCAGCTCGTAGCGAGGCTCCATTGCAGCACACTCACTCCCCGCCGGTCTCACGAGAGCACCAGCACCAGCACCAGCACCAGCACCAGCAGTATGGCCCATCATCGACCGCACAACCTCCGAGCGCAGCATCTTCGCCCGCTCTACATCGACGCGCCGCTGGTAATGGCCGAGCAATGGAGCTTCCGCCTCTCCCGCAGGCGCCGAGTGCTTCGGGCGGCAGCTTCTCCCCAGCCTCCAGGTCGGCAGGCGTCATGTCCATCTTAAATCCTACCGAGCCCGACGACACTCCTCAAGGCCGCAGACGCAAGGCCTCGCAGATGGATCCGCTGCATCCGTCCATGTCGGTTCTACCGCCGTTGGCAACTGGCAACCAGCCACCGTACTCGACCAGCCGCACTTCCACGCCTTCCTCGATGGGCATGGCTGGTTCCACCGGCTCATTGGGCGATAGACCTCCCCGGAGAATCTTGACTCCCCGATCGCCATCTTTGCATAGAGCTGCGAGCCTCAAGCAGCTGCACAATCCTCCATCAGGGACGTATAGTGCTCACAGTGCTCCCTTTGCGGTTTCTCCACGTAGCAGGACTTATGCCGTCGAGCCTGGAACTTCAGGAGCTCCGCCATTGCCAACACCACCGGCGGCTCTGAGGCAGAGCTATGGGTTTCCTGCGCCAGCGCCAGCGCCATCCGCCCAGCCAACTGGTCGAAGAGCTAGCAGCGGTGCTCCTCCGCGTGGAGTTAGACCGACGTCGGAAAGCACGAGTCCAAGGTCTTCGTACTCTTCTTACAGTCAGGCTGGACAGGCCTCTCCAGCAGCATATGCTGCTGGTACATCTTCGATGCCAACACTGTCAGCCGCATATTCGAGCGCATCGGACCCCCAGATCAGCGGTCCCGCGAGTGCACCTGGATCGGTTGGGCCGGATCGACAACGGGCGATGGGGTTTCCACTATCCTCCTCGGGTGGCCAGAACGTGTACCAGATGATGACGTTGGAGACCACTTCGGGCACTGTGCAACTCCCTGTCGATGTGCAAGCCGCTTCACGCGTGGCGGACGAGAAGAGGCGAAGGAATGCGGGCGCGAGTGCTCGTTTCCGACAGAGGCGGAAGGAAAAGGAAAAGGAAGCATCCACGACCATTTCGAGGCTTGAGCAACAGGTGAAAGAGCTCAGTGAGGACATGGACTTCTACAAGCGCGAACGTGACTATTTTGCCGGCGTGTTATTACAAGTTCCTGGGGGAGATCGCCACTTTCCACGACCGCAATCTCCCCGCCATCGCAGAGCTTCTTCTCTTGGAGCTATTGCAGGCGCCGGAAATGCCGGGTACATTCCCATACAAGAACAAGCAGCACGCAGTCCTGAGGACGGTCGGAATGTCCGGCGGAGGACGTCGACTTTGTCGTTACCACCACCACCTCCACAGGTTCAGGGGCAGCTACCTGGTCCGCCAGCATATCCATCCACCTATGGATCTCAGAACTACATGCAGCCGCTTGCTCCGCAGCCTCCACATCCGTCATTGCATCAAGGGGGGCCGCTCCCATCGCCTTTGACCAGAAGCCATCTGTCTGGCCCACCACCACCACCGGCGCCTCCTCAGCTCATGCAAGCTCCCCCTCAGACCGGTCCGTGGAATCCTTACGCTGAGCGCAAACCACCCGAAAGCTCGAATCGGGGCAGAGACGGTCGGTGAGATTCCCGAACGATCGCAGGCAAGTCAGGGAAGATCCTGAGCTACTTAGTCGTAATCGCTCGATTCATCCTCCCATCAGAATGCACGCACGGCCATGGATATCTTTTCCCCCACTGATGACCCACGAAAGGTCATGCCTGATCTTATTCTTGCGAAATGTTTTGGAGACGCCAGCATGGGATCTTTCATGAGCGAAGCATGGCAGTCCTGGCGCAACACTGTCATCATTACCATATTTTTTCCCCCTTATTCTTTTTCGGCGTGCTGAGATACCCCAACTCGTCTTTGCAATTTTCGGCGTTCTTCATAGAAAATTGAGCCATAGATCTCGCGATCTCACATGTATCTGCTATTGCAATACAGTGATCTATACTAAGTTGCTATGTCACGATCTACTCCGTACACATGCGGAATTTCCTCGTGTTGAGTTTCATAGCCAAGGGATCCATCGTGCCATAACGTTGTGCTGAGGCTGCGTCGAAACAGTTAGAGACTAGCAGAACGCTATGGCGGGCAACAATGGGTTGTTCCTGAAACTTCGGTGGGTCTGTTGCTTGCGGACAAGCAACTAGGTTCCTGTCGTTCGAAACTCTCGAACAGTCCCCTTGGCTTGGGTACGATTGACTGTGAGCTACCATCCATGTCATGTGAAGAAAAACGCGTAAATCGTTTTTAGAAAAATCAAAACGCCACGAGCGAGATGGAACGAGTTGGCTGGCGCATGACAATACCATATTGAGTCAACCCTTTTCCTTCCTCCATGATTCTTGTTGCCTCCTAACCTCTCTCTCGCTCTCTACTCATGTCTCTCTCTCTCTTATCATCAAGGCGGAGGTTTGCCGATACGAAATCTAAGGTAGCTACTAGCCTCAACCTCACTCACTACCTTACCTTTTAAGCATTTGCCGTCGTCTAGACCTCCTTCATTCGTAACGTATAAGACTGAGACTCCTTGCTCATATATAACACCCGCCACAATGCACCCATCACAATAATGAAGGTATATCGTCCCTCCTGCTACTGCACAACACTCACTATCTTACTACTCATTCTTCGTTGCAACGCATGCTTGCTATCTAGGTAGACTTTCCACGCGCGTGCCGTGGGTCAGGGCCAATTGGAAAAGGCAGGGGCATCCTGGGTTCCGGAGCTTACTTCCCTCTTTCTCCCGTAGAGGCAGAAGTTGTTGTTGCCCTACCACCAGGTAAGGTATATCTATGTAAATGTCACCTTTATTATTTTAACCAGACGTGGCTGACACCCAACTAAAAGGCTCTCTCTCTTTCGTGGTCATTGATCCCCCTTCTGACGTTCTGCCTACCTGCCTACCTATCTGCCTCATAATAATCTGTGCAATGACTGAGACTGACGGTTGTCATCCGTACATGCACGCCGTCTCAGTAGTCACCCACCCTTGTCCCTTATCATCATCATCATCATCATCATCATCATCATCATCATCATCATCAGCCACGACTCTGACTCTCGCCCTGGCCTCTTTCCACGCCTTTCTATTGGCGGCCTCGTTTCGTCAGGGAATCAATCTTTTCTTTTGCGCACACGCGAGCGAGCGAGCAGCAAATCGGCTCTTCCGCACTTTTCGAACGGGAATAAGAAAGACCGTGCGTCCATGGCTGCCATGCTTTCCCAGGTGGATTCAAATCCGCACTGTGCGCAGGTGGTGGATTCATACCCGTTGGTGGAGCTCTCGTCGGCTCGGCATGTGGTGCGCCACGACCCGTCCGTCCGTCGCAGATCTCGATATTTCCGGGTTGCTTGATCACACCAGGCCTACATGTAGTGACTTTATTGCCTTTGACGACGCCATGCTGATCGGTGCTTCTCTTTCTCAGAGGCATGAGTTCTTATGAGCGCAGATGATGAGTCGAAAGCAAGGTGATATCCCGGTCACGGAAGGGCTATGCTATCATCGTTCAGGAAGAGGTTGCCGGAAGTGATCAATGCCGATAACAACGCTCCTCCTGGATGCACGGACTCGATACTCCCATTCACTGGCAGTCGTAGAATGCTCATCGGACGAGTCTTCCTTGTCACGGTATGCTAATAAGTCTTTTCATCTCTGGTTTGCCATGGACGGATCTCGCTGCTAGTGGGTACGACAAGCAGCATAACGATTCGTCATTACATTACAATGGTCGTCCACGAGCGATGTTCGTATTCGATGCGAGGCAGTGGCTTGCCCACGGTGCGTGCATATGTCCTGCCCGCTAATAAGACCGGGAAATCGTGGCCTATCTCTGTAACGCAACACCAGCCCCAACGTGGGAATTCCTGATTCGAGCTTTGTGAATGATTCAAATGTTTCGCTTCTGATGCGATTCGGGCAGTAGCTGGTCACAGTGCGGCCGAAAGCAGCCAACTCAGAGGCGAGAGGGCAACCATGGCGACCAGATTCGCCGGCCAGGTCCCGATGCAGTCATGATCCTTGCCGCGAAGCATCTCTGTCAGTGCTTGAGCTCTGGATACCATGTGCTGAACAGAACACATCTAACGATCATGCTTGGGGGATTGAAAGATGTCGAGGAACAAAGGGATCGATTGTGATGGTATTGCAGCCGTTTGCAATGCTGGCAGATGTGCGTACGATTAACTGAGAGTACTGTCATTGCTGGTGATAGGACGCGATCTCCGCAAGTCCTCGGGTATGATCACTTTCCGCAACCTCCAGCAGCCCTCATACTCAGAGGCACGAAAGCTGCGATATTGGACAAAAGATCGTCCAGATCTACATCGTCTGCATCTTTTGATGAATGATGGGTCGGCTTCCGCGTTCGCGTGATTGTTCGCTGCCGTGAGGGACGGGCCTGCTTGGGTTGCTCCAAAAGCCAATCCAGTTCATCTGCTTCGTCCGTCGTAGTCGTGTCTTTGCTTTCCCTCTTTTCCGTCTCTTCCATAGGCCTTGCCGCGCGAGTCCTCGTCTGCAGATTGATCTTGTCCTGCTTGACGACTGCTCTGGTGTTCTTCAATCTCATTTTCCGCGACTCCTTCATGGCAGGCGACGGGACGCTCGAGACCTGATGTCGTGTAGGATCGTCTTCTGCATCGTTGGTGTTGTTAGGTAAGCGTACTAAACTAGCTTTGTCTTGCGTGGCCGGCCTCCTCCTCGTGCCCGCGCCAGCTGAAGGCATGGCCTTCTGGTCGGAATTCAGACGCCTGGCTTCAGTCTCGCGATCATTGATGGAGACCTCCTGGCGACCTGCAGCCTCAGGGGGGATGCGACCTGACTCTGCGCCATTCTCTAATCTCGCTGAGCTGCGATTCTGTTTTGCTGTCTTACGTGGTCGTTTCGGTCCACCTTTCTCCGAGAGATGCTGAGATTCCCTCGATTCAACGTGATGTTCTGGTGGTGCCTTCTCTAGCTGTGCTTTCTCTGACTTCTCTGGGGACATGCTGCCGATGATAGCGTTGGTGCTCGTCTCTTGTAAAGCTCGACGTCCAGTTTTCGGCTTTTTGTCGAGGTTGGAATCATTCGAAGCAGCCTCGTTTCCGTCGACGGCAACATCCCTTTTGCGCTTCGAGCGCTTCTTTGCTTTCCTTGTGCCCTCGTCTTCTTGAGATATCGCAGCGGCTGAGCGTGCGCGTGGGTCTCTTGCAACAGGGATAGGTCGCTCAGAACGAACATCAGGCTCCTGCTGTAAGCTCTGCGTAGCCTCTTCTGGGACGGCTTCAGGTTCAAGGGCCAAAGAGCTGCTGGGTTGGGGTGCCTGAGGTTTTGGCTTGCGTCCTCTGCGGCGTTCTTGCAAAGGCTCCGCATCTCGACGCTTCTTGTCTATTGGGGCTTTCTCTTCAATGAATCCTTCCGTCACTCGAGCCACAGCGGATGCAGCAGCACGCCGTCTAGGCCTACTGCTTGTCTCGTGGACATCGTTCTGCAGACTCTCCTGCTTCGCAACCTCCACCACAGGAGCCTTCTTGGGTCTTCCTCTTTTCTTCTTTGCTGCTTCATTGATCACAGTAAAGTTCTCTTCTGCGATCAGCTTCGGAGGAGAGACCTCCTCCTCGATGTTTGTGTCCAACCTCCTCCGTGTCCTGGCCTTTTTCTCGCCCGCTGGCTCATCTTGACAGTGGGTACTCTTTGCACGAGTCCTCTTTTCAATCTTGCACCTAGTACCGATCTCTCCCTCGATTCCACTTGCTAGTTTCCTTTTCTTCGTAGCTGGCTCAGTTGACGAAGTAGCTGCGTTGGTGGTAGGTTGGAAGGGTATACCGAATGAGAAGCCGAAGTTGGTCGAGATTGTTCGCACACTGTGTTGATATCAGCGAGATTACGAGTGCATCGTACTCGGACTCGTACGTACCCAGCACCTCGTTGTCGTGCTAAATGTCTCTCTATTCTATCCTCTGGTCCCACGTCAGTCCAGAAAGTTGTGCTGTAGGAAGTGCAACGTACGTTTAATAGGTGTTGCCTGAGACATATTCTGACTAGTCAATGCTGCTCAATTGAAGCGCTTGAGGTATGGAGACTAGACAGTGTTCCAGCCACGAGAGTGTGAGCTGTTTGTTTGGACAAGACTACCGGTTTCGGATGTGGAGCTCCGCTGATTGAAGTAAGCCGAGAAGTCATGGTACTTTTGGTGCCTGAGGCACCACTTTGGTGCATCGACATCAGATGGACGGGCCTTGGGTCCACGAGCGAAATTCCTGTCGAAAGTAAACTAGAAAGTTGTTGAAGGCCATGATATACTCATGAGGGAAAAGCTGTCGCGTGAAGCGTCCTTCGGATATTTCTGGGGTTATTTATTTCCCTCCCAAAGCCTTCGGAGGGTATCTCCTACGGTTTCTTTGCCTCGATCTCGCCTCTCAGCTCGGTGCCTCTTGTCGTCCTCCAGCCGTTCTTGGATTTCCTCAACATATTCCTGCTGAGCGCGGCTTTCGGCAGCGATCAGCTGCAGCTCCAGCTCCCGGTCTTCCTTCGACAGGCCCTGGATACGTTTCTTGATCTCCTCCTGCATCTCTGGAGAGAAGGAGCTGAAACTCGTCCCTGTTCCTGCCTCTTGCGCCTTTTGGCGTGCTCGTGCCCACGCACTGTCCTCTCCTAGCGCTTTTGTGGTCGTGTCTGGCTGGATGAGCGGAGGGAGCTCAGGGGATTCGAGCCCCTGCTCCTTTGCCTCCTTCGCAGCTTTTTCTCGCTCCAACATCTCGTTATAAAGCTTGTCAGCATGCATCTGTATCCGTTCTTCTTCCTCCGCGGTACGCTGCAAGGCCAGGTAACCCAAGGCCTTCAAAAATCGATTTTGCATAGTGTAGCACCGATTGAAAGCTTTATTCTCTTCCCTGCACATCGTGAACCTCTTCGCCCAAGAGCCATTTGAGAAGCATTCTTTCTCCGCGATTTGGTAGTCAACGCAGTTCTCCAGGGCTGCTCGCCCAATCGCCGCTTTGCGATCGTTGTATGCTTCAACCACAGCGGCCAGCCGATCTGCGTCTGATCTACCGGCAGCCTCGACATCTGCTTGGGGTCTGTAGCCTTTCCAAATGTGCGCATATCGACCATCCTGAAACAGCGATTCTTTGGGAACAACTGGTTGACCATCCTGGATGGCTAGGTCTTGTTGATGATGTGCATCCGAGCCTGAGTAGGCTGACAATTGGGATCTGTACGTATTCGGGGCGGCGTCTTTCGAGGGTGGTGCGGAAATGGAGGGTGTGGGTGTGGGTTGTCTTGTGATGGGTTTCGGTTCGGTATCTTCGTATTTCAATGGCGACTCCTTCTCCAAGAAGTCCCGCAACGATGGGTCAAGCTTTTTGTAGGGATCATTAAGCGAGTCTGAGGTCTTGGTATTCCAGAACCAGCCCATCGTGTGTTGGGGGGTGCTGCGTGGATAGGCAGGGAATGCGAGGTATGTGAACGAGAGATATGCCAAGACATCCATCCGGGTTGTCGGATGAGTTGGACCGGATAGCTCAGCGCTTAGTCATTTGCTCTGTGTCCGAACGAGTCGCAAGAGATGCCGGGCCGGCGTCGCGCATTAGCCTAAACTGAACCTGAAGAGATCTATGCACAATGCTAGGAACAGGAAGGCGAACTTGATGCTTCCTGTATCAACAATGGAATCACCGAGCATTTGCTAGCGGCACCTGCAACCGCTCGTGCCGGAGAGTACATGTACCTTACCTTATATCCCGCGCCTGCTGAGGACAGTGAGGACTGTTTCCATTACCTCGATAGGTAAGGTACTGTGTTCGGGTGGAGACGCGTCCATCAAGGTGTCCGTCCAGGTGAGCCTTCCCACAGTCCACTGAGGTCACAGTTCCATTTGCAAGATTCTCCAACCACCAACCATTTCCGATTTCCCAACCTTCCGTCGGTCTCTACTGAACCACAGCACACATGCAACCACATCTCACCGCAACATCGCCGCCGGACTGCCTTCTCGACACAACCCTCTTCGCCAGCACCGCCAAGATTTGCAAGCAGCATATTATCACGGGATAGTCTATCACGGAACCGAATAGTCCACGACAGGATAGGCCGGGTCCGTTGCCATGGATTCCACCCGCTGCGCGAGCGGCAACGAATTTGACGGGCGCATGGGGCTCCGTATCTCATCCATTTTTGTTATCCTCGTCGGTTCAGCACTGGGCGCCCTTTTCCCCGTGTACGCAGCAAGACACAGAGGAGTAGGAGTACCGGAATGGGCCTTCTTTGCAGCAAAGTACTTTGGCTCGGGCGTCATCCTGGCAACCAGCTTCATTCACGTGAGTTGACAATTAACCCAAATATCATTTCCCGTCATCAGATGCTGACTGGATCTAGCTCCTCGCCCCAGCCCACGATGCACTCACCAACGAGTGTCTGACTGGCCCTATTACAGAATACGACTGGGTGGAAGGAATTTGCTTGATGTCCATCTTCGCACTCTTCTTCCTCGAGCTGATGACGATGCGCTTTGCAAAGTTTGGACATGAGCATGGCGCTGCTCACGGGCACGACCACGAACACGGGCCTCTCGGAATGACTGCAGACTCAGATGCTACCGTATCCGATATCAAAAACCAGGAAGGCAGTACTGCGGAGCTGAATATGGCTTCTCGTTCCACCCAGTGCCCTTCCAGCCCCTTCGTCCCAGGAGACGACCACCTCTCGCACTCCCGTGAACATCCACGCTCCCCGGGACCTGATCCACACAGCAAGACATTTGATCCGGAGTCGTACGGTGCACAGATGACGGCGGTCTTCATTCTTGAGTTCGGTAAGTCTGCACGGCACACATCCGATGCGAACGTGTGAAACGTCTGACGGGATTCTAGGAGTAATCTTCCACAGCATATTCATTGGATTGACTTTGGCCGTTGCTGGATCCGAGTTCACCACGCTTTACACTGTGCTTGCCTTCCACCAGACATTCGAAGGACTTGCGCTTGGATCCCGCCTGGGCACCATGGACTGGCCGGAAAGTAAGCGCTTCACACCTTATCTGATGGCATTGGGCTACGCACTTTCCACGCCACTCGCCATTGCCATTGGCCTGGGGGTGCGGAAGACCTTCGATCCGAACAGCCAGACTACGCTGGTGGTGAACGGCGTTTTCGACTCCATTTCCGCAGGCATCCTGATATATACCGGACTGGTGGAGCTGATGGCTCACGAATTCATGTTCTCCTCGTATATGCAACGAGCCCCGCTCCGGGTTGTCCTTGGTGCAGTCGGGCTTATGGCATTGGGAGCGCTCCTGATGGCGCTGCTCGGCAAGTGGGCATGAGTTGGTGATCTAATTCCGTGGCAGCGTGCAGCGTATTTTTTAGCGACAGAAGCGTGATACATAGACGAATCTTTGGAAGCGAGTCGTATCGAATCAACAGCATATCATGTAGGGTATCTATTCCTTGGATGTCAGATATTGCATAAAACGAGCGTGCGAGTGTCGTCAAGAAGAAGCTTGAAAGACTTGTTCCCTGCCACACTGCCGCCGGCTTCGCCGCTGTCGTTGCTAGCAACTCCAGGCGCTGTCATCTCCTTTGAGACAACGCATCGGGGACAATTTTGAGCAAGGACACCCCTTCTCCCGGCTGTCAATTTGCTCAGACCAAACCTGGTCCCTGGTGCGCATGGATCGTGACGTGCGGTACCTACCTGTGTGGACTTTCCCCAAATCCTGGGACCTGGAACATTTCGACTACGGGGGACATGCTGGAAGCAAGACGTGGAGGAGATCATGCAGCATGACATGACTAGTAAGGTTCCGCTGTGGCAGAAACGACCTTGGACATGTGGCAGAAGTCAGTTCATACCGCCACCGTAGCACGGCAGTCGTGGCGTCTTGAAGTCAGAAATGATGCTTCTTAGGTGCAAGGTATACTGACCGTGGCCGGATCTGCTGGCATCCAGATGACGCAGGAGGACGCCTTTGAAGGCCCAGAGGCACTCGTCATTCGCTCCGCCATGCTTTCTAGGGCTCGGATAAAGTCTAAGCCCTAGGCTGTACAATATGTCCCCGACGGTCCCATGGAATCGCAGCTAGTGTCATAGACCCTTTCCCAGAGACATGGCCAAGAGTCTGTAATTCGCGGCTTTTTGGTCCTGCAAATGTGTCCCGGACACTTGTTGGAATACATACGAGGTGTCTCTGCTCGACGGCAATGCTAAGAATTCCATTTCCCAGTCCGCTATTCGAAGAAAAAAAGCAGATCTATATGGATGGATACAGTGTGGGCCTATCTATGGTGGACTGCATGGAACCACGCTCCTTGATCCGCGTTCACACGTCTACGGAACCAACCCTATAACGAATCCTCAATCTTGATCATCTCCTCCATCTGGGCCAGGATACTCTTCTGCACCGCGTCGGTCGGAGGCTCATAAGGTCTCCGAGGCAGCAGTTTCGCGCCCGCATTCTCGATACCGGCACTCTTGGCGCTGGTGATGCCGGCTGCGAACTTGGTATTGGCAATGCCGGCTTTGCTGAAGGTCTCCGCCCGTGCGGCAATGCGGTGCAACTTCATAGCTTCATCGTGCTTGCCCTGCTTGTAGAGCTCATAGATGTGTCGGATGGTCTTGGGGAAGACGTTGGCGAAACCGGCGATCGTGCCGGCAGAGCCCACGGCAAGGCCACCGATGAGGAAGTCTGACTGGCCTCCGAAAGTGGCGAATTCGGTTGCGTCGAAGATGGACGCCAGTCTCGTAATCTTTCCAACAGAGGCGCAGGTTAACTTGGTTCCCACAATCTTTCCTGGGTATCTCTTCGCCAGGTCCGTCATGACGTCCGATTCAATGTCGATGCCGTTGCAGACACCCGGGAAGTTGTAGATCACGATGGGCAGCGGGCTCTTCTCTGCGACTTCTTCATAGAAGCGCTTGATGACATTGGGCGTCGTCTGCTTGCCAAAGTATGCACACGGAAGGACCAGTGCGTAGTCTGCTTTGGCTGCCGCAGCATCGCCAATAAACTCCAGGACTTGTTTCGTCGAGTGACCGCCAACGCCGGCCATGATGGGATAATCTGGCCCGACTGCCTCTCGAGCTGTCTTGAGCAGACGAGCACGCTCGTCTCGTGTAAGCATGAAAGTCTCCGCGTTGGTGCCCAGGATAACGAGGCCGGTGAGGTGTTGGCTGAGGTACTTGTAGTATTTTGTTTGTGAAGCTACGTCCAGCTCATCTTTGTCGTGGTCGAAGAATGTGACGGCAGGCGCCCAGACACCGGCTGGCGGCACGCTAGATCGAGCACGGTCGTTCATTTCAGCTGTAAGAAGGTCGAGGTGATCTGTTGCTGAGTTGCAGGTCGCTGAGGGTCGTCAGCAAATATATGAGAGAAATACAAGAAGTCAGCAGGTGGCAGGTGGAGCTCAGCACTGGGCGAGCATTTACCCGCCGGCCAGGCGCACTTTGGCCGAGCCGGCTGATGAGATGCCCTAGCAATACCTCCGCAGCTCCAAGAGATACAGCGTCTTCGCGCAGAGGTACTAACCAATCCAACGCGGCGCATCCCTCGTTGTGTATCAAGAATTCGTAAGTCATTCATACTAGGTCATCTCGAGAGACGACCGCTCAGATATTACCAATAACAACCATGAAGCGCAGTTTGCCGTCTCCTCGTCCCTTCATTGGACGACTATGTCTCTCCTCCCCAATTGCCGTGTCCACATCATCCTTCCCGTCGTCAATATCGTCGCTGAGCAGACCTTCGTCCAGCATCAAGGTAGAGCTCTTCCATCCCCATGACTGAGAGAAGTTGAATTTATCCGGTGCGGATTCGTAGACTGACAACATCCTTCCGCCTCGAGATGGGCTGTAGATTTTGAAGTACGTCCGAATCGTCGGCCTTGCGTCTACGTAAGGCGGGAGCGCGGGGACGTGAAACTTGTTTGAAGTAGGTTCGGAGGTCTGCGATTCCGTCTCCAAATCTAGCTCATCGTCATCCAAATCCGGTGTAAGGCTATCGTCGGTGCTGACAAGACTATCTGTTCCATGTGGCGGCGACGAGCTAAGGATGTCCGTTTGTCCCGTTTTATGGTGTCCGCATGCCAGTATACTGCGCATTGTGCTTGCCCCCGCAGAAGTGCCAGATCCACCTTCCATGTTGCCGCCAAGCAGGGAGCCGTCTTCGACTCCTGCACTGCCGCTGCTTTCAGCTCCATCACCTTCTGGCCCGTCAGATCCTACCACTGTACGTCGATACTGCCGGCGCTCACGTCGTTCACTACGCATGACCATCTCACGCTCCAGTTGGCCAATGCGCTCGTCCACACTGCCTTGCGCCAGCACAGCAGTCCCTGCAATGACTTCTTCGGTCTCCCTTTCTTTGGCTCTGTGCAAATATACGCCAAGCTGCTTGCTCCGAGAAGAGGCTATCTTCTGGATGTAGACATTCCACAAGCTACCGGCGTAGAAAACAGTTCTACTGTAGAAGCGCTTCTTTTCTTTGAGAAGCCGTGGATTAGGAAACTCGGCAGCGAATCGGAAAGGTGGATAGTGCGAGAACGTGGCAGTTGGCTCACTTTGGCCTGGCTCTGGGTTCTCGAGTGAAGGGCGAGGCTGCGAAGTAGCTGCGGAAAAGTCCGCTGCCCATTGCACGTCTTCCGGCTGAAGGTTCGCGCTCATCCTGCTCGCGTATCTCTGCATTGTAGTATTATTCGACGTGGCGATGATAGGTTCAGCACTCGCGCCCATAAGTATGTTGCAGTCAGAGCTGGGGATCCAGAACTTCCGTGGCTTGCCATTGCCGTCCCAAGAGCCACTCTCAATATCTTCTCCGTCCTGACCCTCTTCCGATGTCGCCTTGCGCTTGCCCTTGGCGCGCTGTGTGTCCGAGCGCGACGCGATAGGCATGGTCGTGTCCCGACTCGTGCTGACTGCCGTGTCTTCGGTGTACTGCACGCTAAGTCCAAGTTCTAGGTCAGTTTCTCGTACATTCATAACCCTCTGGCGCAACTCCATCTGCTGCCAGAGGGCATTACTTATTACTTTCTCCGGGAGCACTGGCAGTCCAAGACAATCCCTCGCTGTCCTGATATATTGAAGCCGCTCGAAGTCCAAATGAACGTAATGTATGCCCTCATCCAAGAGAACCAGCAGCGGTTCCACGTCCGGATGCGTGTACAACGCGATCCACTTCTGCAAGCTCTGCGGCACACCTCTGCCTGCATTGGAGCCATGTCTTCGATAAACGGTATCAAACCGCACCGCCATGAGGTTTGCAGCTTGAGGCACCTTTTGGACTTTGCGCTTCCTTCCTGGCTCCAGCAGACCAGCAGCTGCAGCCTGTGTCTGCAATCTGCGGTCCAGCAGCTTCTTGGCCAAGATCCATCTGTCCCATTCATTGTCGATGAAAAACCCATCACCTCCCACGATTTCCCTCACAATGTCGCCGGGTATGCCGTCCCAGTGCCTCGACGGCATTCGCCATCCGTCTCTGCAGAGCATCGACTTCGCGCTGGCGAGGATCTTTTCGCCTGCACGACCGTAATAGTTGTTGGTAACCAACCTGATGAGAGGCGACAAAGTTTCCGGAGTCATTTGACGCAGCATGGACTCGATAGAACATTCTATGAGGTCCTGTATTTCCAACCAACAGCCTGTTGCGAAGAGGCCCACGGGATTCTCGTCTTCTTCGTCCAGATTGGCACAGCCATAGAGTCTCTTCAGGGCTAGGTCGAATGATCTTTGAGTAATCGACCCGTCGATGTCTTCCGGATGGACTGTCATCTCCTTTGCGTTCGCCTCCAGCCATGGTTCGCTCAGAGCACTTGCAAAGAATGGCGAGCGATCCAGGATCAGGCGATGGAGCCTGTAGGGCTGGCCGAAGGCGTGCACAGTGATATCGGAATGTCTGCCACTGAGAAGACCACGCGAGTAGAGATGCTCTGGCAGGGCGGTTGTCTCGGCTAGGTGAATGGAGCGGGCATAGGAAGACGGCTGGCGAGCCTGCGCGACGTAGGATGAGGTGCGAGAATGGTCGGGCGAAGTCGCGGCCTGAACAGCGAACAGCCTACTCAGTGTTGTCAAGGTTGTCGACTCAGTTCTCCGAGCTCCTCGACCAGAAGCAGGTGGTGTTGTAGGGTCATCCGCATCTTTCTCCGCTCTTTCAACCCTGGGGATCAGACGGGCATCAACCGACATGCTCGCCTCGGTGTCGTACTGGTGCTGTTTGAGCGCAGAAGGCTGAAGGGCAGGGTGGACTTGCGAGCGGTCGTTGTTCGCCGGCTCAGTTTGCGCAGAGCGGGCCAAGCCGTTGGAAGGCGTCTCTGCAGTCGTTGCAGAGCCGAAGATGGATGCGCTGCGTGAGGGAAACAACGCCCCGGGAAGACTGCTGTGCCTGCTGGGACGTGGACGAGCAGTATCACTATGCGAACTGGACATACCACTAGCACCGACTCTTGGACTGCTGGGACTATCCGGCTGATGTACGGAAGATGCGAAGGACCATGCGGACGGAGGCAGTGGTGGGGAGTCCTTCTTGGACGTCATGCTGGAGGTCGTGCTGCGGTGCTGCGGACGATCGCCTGGTTGCTCGCTCTCCTCCGTCTCGTACAAGCAGGCATCGAAGGTGCTACTGCAACGTCGGCAGGTAGTGGGCTTATCGGAGCGTCCCTCACTCCCTCAGGTCACTCAGGGCACTCACAAGTGCGCAGCTGATGCAGATGGAGGAGCAGCGGCCGGCCGGGCCCAGAGCGTGCGTCATGTGCATCTATCCCGCTGTCGTCTGTGCATCCGCATCCGCATCCGCGTTCGCGACCAGCTTCCCAGGACCGTATCACGGGTAGGAGTAAATTCAAGGTAGGGAACGGCAATGCGAGCCTCACTGCTACTGTCCTGCGACATGCCACGGGAGACGTTTCTTGAGGTGTTGAGACGGAGGAGCTTGCCGAATGACATCGCCAGCTTCTGTTTAGACTCTCGCTAACGGATCTTCCCGCCCCGCTGAGCGCCGTGCCGCCCTCGTGGTGATGGGTCAGTGCTTCACCAATAGCCTTTGCCCTGTTTGAATGATCATTGCACTCTCATCCTCCCTCGCTCTCATCAGGTGCATCTCTCCCACCACGCCCTTCCACCCATGGTCTTGATTCTAGGCCTGTCGCCCATTCGGACGCGCCTTGCCATCAAGGCAGACAAATTGCTACAGGAGGCATTTGTCTGCCGGAGATGTATACATCAGCGAGCACCGGCTCCTCCGACACACAGATCGAATCGGGCGACGCCTTTTCTGACGGCCTTTCGATCCAGAGGTCCCGCTCAGTCCAGGAGTCAGAGCTGGAGTGCAGCGGCGTCTCCAAGCCCTCCGCCAAGTCCGCTTGCCGCCCTCGGGAAGAGCCTTGGGGAATCATCCGGCACCAGATCGCAGCCGAAAACTAGAGTCAAGGCCTCTTCTTGGCCGGAAACAAGTTCAAAGTCCGTCGCGTATTGGCTACTGGGCTCTGCAGCAAGCGTTTTCGGAATCGTAGTCTTCGGGGGTCTTACTCGTCTGACCGAGTCTGGCCTGAGCATCACAGAATGGAGGCCGGTCACAGGTTCATTCCCGCCACGAGACGAAGAAGCTTGGGAGCAAGAGTTTGCGAGATACAAGTTAAGCCCGGAATTTAGGATGCTCAACAGCCGAATGAACCTGGAAGAGTTCAAACAAATATATTGGATGGAGTGGACACACCGGCTCTGGGGACGAGTCGTGGGCATCACATTCTTGGTCCCTACGATGTACTTCATTGCCAGGAAAAAAGTCGACCCCAGAATGGCATGGCGGCTGGTTGGTATCTGCGGCCTGATCGGCTTCCAGGGCTTCATCGGATGGTGGATGGTCAAGAGCGGGCTGAAGGACGATCTGTTTGAGCAGGGCAAGCACCCCCGCGTGAGCCAATACAGATTGGCGGCACATCTAGGAACCGCATTTATTGCGTATCTCACCATGCTTGTGAACGGTATGCGCATTCTGCAAGAGCATCGACTTCTACGCGATCCTACAGAAGGAGCCAAATTGCTTGAGACGCTCCAACGACATGAGCTGAAGCCTTTTCGACGATTCGTTGGAGCTCTGTCCATACTAGTCTTCATCACGGCGATGTCTGGGGCCCTGGTGGCTGGACTCGATGCTGGACTTATATACAACGACTTTCCATGGATGGGACAGGGCTTGCTTCCCCCCAGGCGAGAGATGTTCGATCCCTTCTACTCACACACTGAGGATCAGAGGGACTTATACTGGCGCAACGCTCTCGAGAACCCTGTTCTGGTTCAACTTGATCACAGGATCCTCGCTACGACTACCTTCACTGCCATCATTGCTCTCTGGGGCTATAGCCGCTTCAGCCCCGCAGTCCGTGCAACTCTCCCCAAAGCAGCCAAGGGAGGGATGATGGGCGTAGTGCACATGGTCAGCCTGCAGGTTATTTTGGGAATTACCACTCTCTGGTACCTTGTACCAACACCGCTCGCTGCAGCTCATCAAGCCGGTGCTTTAGCCCTGTTGACCACTGTCTTCATGTTGGGAAGCCGAGTCTGGGTCCCACGGCGGTCATGGAGACTGGTTCAGCAAGCTCTCTCGAGGACTACTAAGAAACATATCTCCGGTCAAAAGGCGCCCATAGCTTCAGCCCAGGCACTCAATCCTTGACGAGGCGCATCCGCTCGAGTACCCACGCAGAGATTGGAGTCGCAGCGATTTTGTCCACGGAAGAGTGGCACATTCATCGATGATGACCTTGTACAGACGGTGTGCCATGAGCATCTCAACTGTGTACGATCATGCAGTGACGATGTACTGTAACACTATAGCTGCAGACAGACAACAGTCTTGAGTCTTGCTTGATGCTTTTTATTGGGGTCAACCACTCTAGTGCCCTGTGTATGTGCCGTGCGCCCTCTATACTCGAGTGGGTATACGAATGAAGCGGCACTGTGCCTGCTCTGCATACTGTCCTCGCTTTTCCCATATTTTTTAATTACCGCAGAGCAACTCCTAGGTCCCCTTTAACGCCATCCTTTTCTGTGCTGAATCGTACCTCAGATCAAGTCCTGTACCATCCGTAGGTCGTCATATCATGCCAAAGTACAGTCACCCACTGCAATCAATGCCGCCACCATTCCTGATCAACATTAGCCAATTGCTTCATACTCGGTTTCCCAAAGTCTGCCTACCTTGACATCCCCCACGGCGGCATTCGCAGCATCTGCTCCCAGCGTCGCTCCGAATCCGAACATGGCAGCGTTGAGGACCTTGCCACCGTACATGCGCACGTAGTGATGGCTCTCGTGCTTCTTGGCCTCGTGGTTGAAGAGGGAACGATCTTGCTGCGGAGTGTCCTTGTCGCTCGGCGGGGTAGGCACGTTTGGGCTCTGGACGGACATGTTTGACGTAGGCGCGCTGCAGTGGCCAATGGCTTCGTGACTGTAAGTTTTCCTGGCGAGGCGTGGGAATTGCGGTGGTGTTGAGTTTGTCAGGTGGGTTTTTGGAAGGTTTTGTTTGGCGAGAAGGTGTATCTAGCTCGGTGACGTCGGGTGCATGTGAGGATGAAGCTCGACCTAGCCAACTTAACATTGAACCCCACGTCAGCCCTGTACACACCGCATTGGGATGCGGCTAGACCGCTTCAGGACTGCGACAGCAACGAGCCAACTCTTCTGTCCTTTTTCACGGGAAAAGATTGCCCGCGAATCTTGCGTTCAGGAGTCATGACGCCGCAAGCCAGAACCCGTCGGGAGACATGCAGAGACCAAGATGAAGCGAAACTGTCTTCCTCCACGGACTACTTCAACGCGATCGTCTTGCCCGCGCATCCCTCTCTCCTCTCCTGCTTAAATACTGAGCCGCCCATCTCCCGACTCCGCTTCCCGACAGCTCTTCGTCGCCGATACCGTAAGTAGCGGCTCTCTCTTAATGCACAGACAAACCCAAATACCCATCGCGAGAAGAGACATCAATCAATCAGTATTCCTATAATCCAACATGAACGGACCTGGCTATCTGGCTGTTGCAATCCAGCCCGGCTGGAACACCGACGAGAGCATTTTTCACGACTGGTATAACACGGAGCATGGCCCCTTGCGACTTCGGCTTCCGTTCATCCAGACCGGAGACCGTTACAAAGCTATCGACGGTCAGAAACCAGCGTGGTCGGCCGTCTACGATGTCTCCGATCTCTCGTGGGTGGAAAAGCGGATCTACAGCCGCCTGCGGGAGGAGCGGTCGCTTCGGGAGAAGGCTATCATGGGAACGTTTGAATCCCTGGACCGCAAAATCTACAGCTTGGTGTCGGTTCGTGGCGAGTATTCGGGCCCGCCTCCCGTGACCATTGCGGCGTCGATGAGGCTGAACGAGTCTGATCTGGACGAGTTCAACAGGTGGTACGAAGAGGAGCACACCGATATGGTCTCCAAAGTACCCGGCTGGCTCCGTACTCGACGCTTTCGAATGGTTGTGGGAGGCCTTCAGGGTATGCCGCCCGCGGGGCAGGTCGAATGTCTCGCAGTCCACGACTTCAAATCGCCAGACGGTCTAGAGTCGCCCGAGGCCAAGGCAGCGCGCGACACGCCTTGGCGGACCAAGATCATGGAGAAGGTGCTCTGGAGTGACATTCGAACGTGGGGCTACCATCTCAGCTTTGAGCCCTTGGAAGAGCCCCCTTCGTCAGTCATTACCACGGATAGCGCCGAGTTACGTTTCCAGCTGGAAGGCAACCCAGCAGATCCCGTCGTTGTCTGTGTCAACTCCATAATGACCAATCTGCACATATGGGATGAGGTTGCCAAGGCGTTGATCAAAGGCGTGAACGGGAAAACATATCGCGTGCTGAGATACAACTCACGAGGCTACTCGCAACAGGCCGAGAAGAGTAATCACACCACCTTTGACCTCCTGGCGGACGACCTCGAATACTTGCTCCAACGACTTGACTTAGAGAAGGTTCATGCGGTGATTGGTGTCAGCATGGGAGGAGTTACGGCCATTAACTTCGCCATCAAGCATCCGGACATGCTAGAGAAATTTGTAGCTTGCGACTGCAATCTGGCTTCGAGCCTGGCCAACAGCCAAGCGTGGGCTGAGCGCGTCGCGCTCGCAAAGTCCAAAGGCATGCCAGAGCTGGCCAAAGTCACGGTGGAACGCTGGTTTACCCCCGCGAACCACGACTCGCCCAATGCGAAACAGACACTCGCGATGGCGGAGCAGGCAAATATTGACGGCTTCGAACAAAACACGCACGCCCTGAGCGATTACGATCTCAAGCCGAATTTGTCAAAGATCAAGGCGCCGGGATTACTGATTGCCGGGCAAGGCGACGGCAAGATTCCGGAGGCCATGCAGAAGTTTGGAATCCCCCACACGACGTTCACGGCGATCCCGAACGCGGGTCATCTCCCGTTTCTGGAAAACCACGAGGCTTTCATGGAAGCTCTCGCGGCTTTCTTGTGAGCCATCCCCCTCGTGCGCGCTGTAGTGCGTGGCCACGGTGACGAGAGCATCATCCTGCCATGTTTGGCAGGCGTTGGGAAAGGGCTCCTGTCGCTGATGATCCAAGGCTGTCTGTATGTGTGGATGTGGTCCCAGCTCTCCTCGTCAGGTGAAAAACAAAGAAGACGAACGCGACATAAGTTCTCTTACGTCGGAATATTATTATCTCGACGGCCGGCTGCTGCCGCTGCCGCTTGTTTTCGCGCTATCCTAGGTACTCGCCAGTGCCGTGGTTGTTTTTGGCTAGGATTCTCGGCAAGACAATAACCATAATGTTCGGCTGTTGGAAAGATGCTTGCGCATGCGAACACATTGCTTATATATCCTTGCGAAATCCCAGAGCTGTCGAACTTTAGTTGTCGAACTTATTATCCAGACTACTACCGGATATCCTCCTGATATGATACCTACCTATCATACATACCTCGTTTATTAGGCTGTGGTGTGTTAGGTACCCTTTTGATTTGATTAGTACCTTTAGTATCCCCGCTAAATCCAGACCTCGGGCTGCCATCACCCATGCGCCGCCCGACTTCACTTCACTTCGGCGGCTACACTAATAAGGTACTGCTGCTTTGTCCAGCGGGAATACTCACACGAAAAAACTGGATAATAAGAGCCCCCATTTGCCTCGAGGGACCAGAGCACCGATCCTACAACAACCTGTAACCTAAAACAGCTGCCGGAGTCAAGCTTGCATTTCAAGAAATCAAGTCATACCCAATCAAGGTCGTTCCTAGAAACAGCAATAGCAATAGCAACAGCAACAGCAACAGCAACAGCAACAGCAACAGCAACAGCAACAGCAACAGCAACAGCAACAGCAACAGCAATGGATTCCTCCTCCACGGCAGGCCGAGCCGACCTCTCCAACTGGCGACAAAGCCCACACAACCAGTGGGCGTTCGTGAACATAGGTAAGTCCAGTGCCCCCCGAAATCCCTGTAGTGGGACCAAGTCGTCTCGTCCTTGCACCACTAAACTCCTCCTCCTACTCCTACAACAGACAAAATCTTGAAGACAGAAACGGTTGGAAAATCCGATGCTCCAAGTCCTCTACCGAGCGCGCCACGAAGTTTCGACGATTTCCATGTCCCGTATCAAGATTCTACTCTGGATCTGCCCGGATGGATCGAGGAGGGTCATGTGGGTGGGTTGATGGTTCTTCAGCACGGCAAGGCGCTGTATGAAGGTTACTTTCGCGGAAATGATGCCAAGTCGAGGCATATTGTCATGTCCATGACGGTAAGTATCGCTCGTATGGTTTCCGATCTTCGTACAGCGAGAAGAATGCGTCGGCTTCTGCCGGACTTTCGGCCATGAGGAGCCAGCTTGCTCGTAGGCAGAGATGTGGTGATGGCAAGCTCTGAATCTCGTATCTGACAGCAGCCCAGAAATCCGTGACGGGCCTTTTGTTAGGTATGCTCCAGCAGCAAGGCAAGCTGAACGTTAACGACCTCGTCACGAAATACGTGCCCGAGGTATCGAATACGATCTACAACAACGTCACCATTCGGCAATGCATCGACATGAGGTCGGGCGCCAAGTACCATGACGACAACCACGAATACCGCTGTGCCGCGGGTTGGAACGCGGAGAAAGGCGATGAAAAGTTCACCAATCTCCATGACTTTATCTCGAATTTCGACCCGATGCGTGCAGAGGACGATCGTTTCGAGTACGTCTCCGTCAATACAGATCTAATCGGCTGGGTCATCGAGCGCGCAGGCGGCAAGAAATTTTCCGTGCTGGTCCAGGATCTGCTTTGGAAACCTATGGGCGCAGAAAGCGATGCACTGGTGGCTGTCGACAAAGAGGGAAATGCTCGTGCTGCTGGCGGACTGTGTGCGACTCTGCGAGATATTGCCCGCATTGGACAATTGATTGCAGAGGGTGGGCGAGGCGTGGTGCCATCGGACTGGATCAAGGATATGGTTGAGGGCGGTGATCTCGCCGCATTCGCCAAGGGCAGCTGGGCGACGGGATTTCAAAGAGCTTTCCAGAGCCCAGCATATCGGTCTCACTGGATCTCCGACAGCGCGTCGGACGTGACGATGGCATTGGGAATTTTTGGTCAGATGCTGTTTGTGGACCGCAAGAACGGGATCGTGATGGCGAAGACAGCTTCGCAGGCTGATCCGTATGACTTTGCTATGATCGGCTTAACTGTATTGGCTTTCAAGGAAGTCCAGAGGATTCTGACTTCTTGAATGCTGTTCAGTGGAGGTTGTTAGCACCATGAAGCAGAAAGTCATCGGGGCTTCCCTCGGTAAACAGCTTCGTGGAACTCGTTCTCGGTGTCTCCGAACACGTGATATGGAGTGAGCTCAGGAACCTGGATTTCTTGTGTCAGTCCAACATGTTCCACGCCGGCTGAATCCCATTATTTCCATGTGGACGTATGGCAGAATTCAGGAAACGCGTTGGCTGGCATGCCCAGACGTGCCTGTGGGGGCAATCCTGGTAATTTACCCTGACAAGTGTGTGAGACGAAGTGAAGCCAATGCTTGACATGGGATAGTCTGGGTTTTCCTGGTCTGTCACGGCGGAGTGTCAAGATTAGGTTTGACAACCAGAGACATCAGCTTGCGAGATGCGCTGACATGTGAGAATCCGTTTGGCGGACATGTGGATGTGAGGGATTGTGATTGTTGTTGGGGAGAGGTCCGCGTGGATGTGGATGCGAAGATGGTCCGTGGCTTGCCGCCAGGGATGGCAAGCGACACGAGGCGTTCTTGGCGCCGGCATCTGAAGGTCAAGATCCGTGCACCAGATGTACAGATCTGGCGCGCTGGAGAAGATGCGTAGGCCGGTGCGGATGGCATGCGAAGGATGATTTGGCGGCAGCTGAACAGCGCTCTGAACAGAACAGCATCCTTCTCGGATCTTATCTTGAGATGATGAAAGATACTATACCTTATCGGTGTGCCAAGGCTGGGATTGCGTTTCGTCGCCACCCGAGGCGAGGAAGGAAGCGGGCACACGCGTAGAAGGAAGGAGAGCAGCACCAGCACAGACAAGACAGGAAGGAACAGCACAGCACAGCACAGCACAGCACAGCACAGCACAGCGCACACCGCAGCACGCCGGGCAGCAAGAGCAAGAGCAAGAGCAAGAGCAAGAGCAAGAGCAAGAGCAAGAGCAAGGGAGCAAGAGCAGCGGGTGGCAGTCGCGCTGATTCGCCTCGCCGTTCCTGCAGTCCGCGCGCCTCTGCGCTGCATCGGGAGCCGAATGCTGTTCTATCCTTTGCACAGTGCTTTGCTTCTTGCTTTCTTTTCCTTTCATAACTAGCGGAGCATCGCACACAGCAGCATCGTCACCAGCATCATTCCCATCTCCACCTCCACCTCCAGTCGTTCCCGCAACCCGGTCACTCGCCCATCTGTGAATCCTCCACCCTTTACACCTCCACCATCTACCCTGAATAGGGATCCCTTAATCGGCGTTTCAGATCACTCGCTCTCTGGAAGCCGCCCAATCGCTCACCATGACCACTCCGGTCGACGAGCGGCCAGAGCCGACCTACGTCCAACCCTCATACAATATGAGCAACCCCACAGCCCCCATCCACGAAGCACGCGGCAACAGCCTCGACCGGCCCTCTTTGCCTTCGTACAATGTCAACAATGCGAACCGGAACGCCAGCCACGACAAGTCTTCTGACGAGGAGGGCACCGTGGTCGGCGAGACCGAGGACCCCGCGAGAAACCAATCCCAGGACCACTTGAAGGAGAATGATGCACCAGCAGGAAGACCGCGCGCTGGAAGCCATTTGACCGTCACCGAATACGACTATGAGCCCGGGGACCCTCTCCGTGGTGTGAACTCGCGTTCCCAGACTCGCGAGCGGGCTCACAGACTGGACGACGACTTGGAGATGCTCAAGATTGAAAGACAGATCTCTCGCCAGCAGGAGGAGGATGATGCGTTATCCAAAGTCAAGAGCAGGGGTAACGACACATACCGCTCTGACGGCAACAGGAGGAAGCGTGACGATCACATCGACGAATTCGACATCGCTACCAACCCTGTGCATGAGAAGACGCAGGTCTATAAACCCGTCGAGCATCCTGCATCAGCTTTCGGAAAGTTCCTCAAGAAGGTCCATCAGTCCAATGTTCTGGTGCGATGGTTTACCTACATTGTGCCCCTGATGCTGATTCTTCTGATCCCCCTGCTGCTCGGAGCACTCAAGTTCAAGACCGCTACCGTCGGAGGCGTGACGCTGACATGGTTTATGATCTGGTTGGAAATCGTCTGGCTGTCTCTGTGGGCCGGCCGCCTCCTCGCCAAAAGTCTGCCAATGCCAATTGGCATGGTTTCGACCTTGTTCACCAACAACAGCAAGAAATGGCGCGACATGGGCAAGCAGCTCGAGCTGCCCGCGACTGTGTTCTTCTGGTGGCTGGCTATTGAGATTTCTTTCCTTCCCACCATGACTTATCACCAGAGAGACCATCCACACAACTACACGGCGGAATGGATGGGTACAATGAACAAGGTGTTGGTCTCATTGTTCGTTGGCGCGATCCTAAACTTCATTGAGAAGATCATCATCCAACTCATCGCCATCAGCTTTCACTTGCGGACTTACGCAGACCGCATCGAGATTAACAAGTTCCAGATCGGCTCTCTCACCAAGCTGTATGCTTTCTCCAAGGGCAAGATCGCGATGGAGGACTCCGAATTTGAGCAGCAGCCAGAGCCCGGCTCGGGAGCGCGCACTCCAGGAAAGCTCGTGGCTGATGCTGCACGGACAGGAAAGCAGGCGCTAAGACAGTTTGGAGACGTCGCTGGAAAGGTTGCTGGTGACTTCACCGGACGCACCGTCGTCAAGAGTACACATCCGACGCAAGTGGTCCTTGCTCTCCTGTCCTCGACCAGTGGTGCACAGGTCCTGGCCCGTCGGCTTTACCGTACATTCGCCCGCGAGGACACCGAAACCGTCGTTGCGGATGATCTGAGACCGGCTTTCGAGAACGACGACGAAGCAGACGCGGCCTTCACCATGTTTGACAAGGACATGAACGGTGACATTTCCATGGAAGAATTGGAGGCTGTCTGCGTGGAAATCGGACGAGAGCGCAAGTCTATAACAGCCTCGTTGAAGGATCTGGACAGTGTGGTCGCCAAGCTTGACGATGTCTTTATGTTCATCGTCGTAGTTGTCGTCATCCTGGTCTTCATCTCGCTCATTTCCACGTCGGCCGCCGGTGTCCTGACAAGCGCAGGCTCTTCCGTCCTGGCTCTGTCCTGGCTCTTTAGCGCAACCGCTCAAGAATTCCTGCAGTCTGTTGTCTTCGTTTTCGTCAAGCATCCATTCGATGTTGGCGACCGTGTCAGTGTTTACGGGAACACTGGATCTACCCTTACTGGAGACGACTACTTTGTCAAGGAGATCAGCTTGCTGTACACTGAGTTCAAGAAGATGGAGGGTCACATCGTGCAAGCGCCCAACAGCTACCTGAACACGCTGTTCATTTTGAACCAGCGTCGATCGGGCGGCTTGGCCGAGGCTGTCACCGTAAGCATCAAGTTTGGAACGACCCTGGAGCAACTCGACGGCTTGAGGACGAAATTGTTAGAGTTCGTCAAATCAGAGAAGCGTGAATACCAGGGCAACATCCTCACGGAGCTGCGGGACATTGTCGATGTACATTCGATGAAGCTCAATGTGATCTTCTTCTACAAGTCCAATTGGCAGAATGAAGGTCTTCGTCTGGCCCGCCGGAACAAATTCATTTGCGCAATGATGGTGACTTTCCAGGAACTTGGCATCGAGGGACCATACATGCGTTTTCCCGGCATGCGCGAGACCTTCCCGATGTATCTCTCGCAGGTTCCTCATGTGGGCAGCGCCGGTGCAGGCCATGGCGGAACTCCAGACCAACCGATGGGCTTTCCACCGGAGGGCTCTGTCACGCAGGATCCTCCGTTTGTTGGACCGGCTCACGGCGATGAGGTTGGCTCTCAGCCCCCAGGTTCCCGGACGCGAGGCGGCTCGATCATGAGGGGTAGCCGCGCTCGAGGGGAGACCCTCACCCAGATGAACAGGCGTGTGGACTTCAGCCTGGGTATGAGCAACGCGGCCACGCAGGACATGTCCGGCGACGTGTACGATGACCGCAACCCCAATCGATTGAGGATGGAGGTCATCGAAGCATCTCGTGAACGCTCGCGGGGTTCACAAGACCGTGTGAGAGGCAGCGTGGACACAGGCACATCGACCGCGCGAGAGAGCATTCCCGCCCCTGGCAATCTTGCTCGCCGAGCGACTGACAGCCGTTGGCGTAGCTCTGCCTCGCTGCACCGTAATCGCTTCTTTGGCCGGTCGGATCCCGAGCAGGACATGATGGAGAAGGGGCAGATCCACATGCAAGACATTCCCGAGGAGCAGTTCCGCAGTGGGCAAAATTCGGGAGGCCGGATCGATCCTCGCTCGGGACTCGTCTCGCCTCGGGCGTTCAGGATGACTACGGATGAGAGCAATCCAGTGCGTCCTGATGGACCGCCGCAACTGCCATCTCAGGTCTCAGGCAGCGGGGCGTTGGGCGACGTGTCGAACAATGTTCTACGGTCTCCCGCGCCGATTGGGAGGAGTCAGACAGAAGATTTGGGCGCAAGGCGCTAATGGTGAAAAAAAGTCAGAGACGCATGGGAATGGGAAAGGCAGGGTGTTTGGATAGAGTATAGAAAGACATGGGAATGACAGGACGAAATGTCGAATAGACGTAGAAGTATGAATGAGTGAGTGAATGTAATCTTAACGGCAGAAAAGAGGCTTGAACAGAATGCTAGCGAATGCTACTTGATCCCTCTCGCTCTCGTATTTCTTTTCTCTCTTGGGTGTCGATGGGTGCCTCTTGAGGAGAATGATGGGTCGTGGAGCGTCTGGGTAGGACCAGTAGGAGTCGTTTGGACTTTGGAGATGGATTGGAGAGGGGTGCTGAGAAGAGTGGCAGCATGAGTGGTGGACATGGAGGAAAGAGAAGGCCTGCGGTCGGCCGACATACATTATTACTGTCTGACGGGAGACGCTCTCGAGCAGAGAAGCGAGGCGCCCGGGCGTGCGGCGATGATGTTTGTGCGGACAGGCTCATTCAGAGTGGACCAGTGGTGAGTGGTCTTGGACAACGGGGTACCTGTCGCCCTTGAGGAACAAGGTATGATTTGTAATGCAGTCCTTGTCGTAGGCAGCGCCAGGGGGTTGAGCCATCGGGGGACGCCACGCACGTGATGTGTTGGGTCGATCGGACAGCGCTGTGCGCTACTTGATTGCCACTCGCTTGTATTGTCTGTCTTGTCTGTGTGTGTGGTCACTGGTCAGGCTGTGGACGGCCGTCGCACCGCAAGAGGAAAGGTGTGAGGCGACGATGCAGGGAGCACAGACGATATCGCAAAACGTGGCGAGCATGTGGGCAGAAGAAGCGTGGAGCAGGTCGCCGAGCTAGTACTTAGTGTATGTAGCAGAGCATGGTGAGCATTCGTTTTCTTGTTCCCAAAGGAGACAGCCGCACTCTGGCGCAGCGAACATGTCCGTTCCTCCGCGGCTTTATCGTCCGTCTAACGCCGGAATCTCAAATTTGATGTTTGACTTTTGTGCACAGTGTGTTCGATAGCCGCGGCGAAGTCTCCGGGGTCTCTCCATCAGGCGGGGGCTTGGCCGTGAGGACGTCAGACATGTCGTCAACGCGCACAGCAGCCGTCGGCGTGTCGGAGGAGGGATAAAACGCAGAGTGCTCGCTCGCACTGTTATTTCATCTATATAGAGAGCACGGGTTTTTGACGCAGGCCGACCAAGGTTCCCGTCGGTGATGAGTGGAGAGCGGTAGACGCTGACGGGTCTCGTTCCAGTTTCGTGTGGGGGAGGATCGGCAGCGAGCGAGTGTGGAGAGTTCGACTAGCGAGTTCTAGCGAGGCGTTTGGAAGAAGGAACTGCGGGAAAAAGGTCTGGCCCACGTGGCAGGAGTCCCCGAGCGGTGCCACACACACAGCACGACGAATGGGAGACGAATGGGAGACGACTGCCTACCGCATCCAGCGCCTCCTTCGCCGCCCAGAGCAGCCAAGAAGCCTCGCGCTGCGCTGCATTGAGAGTGCACTGCTCCTCCTCCGACGCGTCCACATCCACGACGAGAGCGTCGTGCAGCTAGTCATCGCCAACACCGAAGCGTAACGACGCCTCTCCCTGGGCCACGTGAGACAGTACATCTTCCTCTTCTCCCGTCTCGCTCAGCGACATCGATATCGATATCGACACCATCCAACGCCGACGATCCGCATCCTTCGCTGCCTTGTCCTCCTCCTCCCACGCCCACCTGTCCTCCTCTCCTTCAGCGACACAAACCGACCATGCTGGCAACTGTAAGACCGCAAGACGTTGCCGGGACGCAATGCCCACGAGATGCGGTATGTCTGGGCAACTGACCCGTCGCTGCGTGGTTCATGCCGGCGGATCTTCGGGATCAACATTGACTGACACGGGCCTCGCAGTCCGACTTCACCTCCTCCGCTTTACCACCACGACGCATACCAAAACTCGCCGTGCGGAATCGAACACCTGAAACTACCCTCCAGTCCGACACTGCGGCCTCCGCCTCCGGCAAGGAAACTCGCAATGAGATCCGCATCGCATCCCACCGATCGCAACAGACGTCGTCTGCGGGCATTGAACCAACATCGAGCGTCTTTGCATGGAAGACAACACAGAGTCATCAGCGCCATGGCAAGGCTCAAGAACAGCTCTCTGGCCACCGCCATCAGTCCAAGAGGAAAAGCGCCGGCGTGCTTGGCTTCTTCACCCTGAAAGAGCCCTCTACCTCAGCCTTAGAAGCGTACGCAGAGCATGAGAAGAGGAAGGCTGCTCAGAAGGGCAGCAACCCCGTCGCAATAGTCATGCCTGGTGTCTCATCCCAAAAACTGCCGGAACATGTACCCAAAGTCAACAGCAAGTGGGATGGACTCCCGGAGGCTGCTCACCGAAAGAGCGCCGATCGCAAAGAGAGAGACGATAGGTATGTACACCTCCACCGACGTCAACATTACTGCGATTGTAGCAGTCCTGACTCTCTTCCGCAGGAGCAAGAGGTCCTCCTTGATTTCATTAAGCACTACCAGCTCCGATTCCACAAGGCGGCCGTATGAATCCCTCTCCAGCAAGCCATCTGTCCGTCAGTCGCAGTACAAGAAGCGGTCAGTCTTCCAGGTGGCTGACTCTACGGAAGCCGAACGGCCGCATAGCCAACAATCAAGAAATAGTCGCCCAGCAACCGAGTCGCCGCTATTCCCCTCTACAGGACATGCAGCCTTCCGAGCACGGCAACGGACCTATTCCAACGAAGATTCAACGCCGCCACTCTTATCGCTAGAAAGCGACTTGTCTGAAGCTCCAGCGCTTCAGGCGCGCGGCTATTCCAGTGCGACAAGTACATCTTCCGATGCATCGCCTCGAACCCCAGCGGCAGACATGGGCTCTTGTCCTGTCAGTGACTCAGAAGGGGGCTTTTTCAGGTCTGCTAGTGTCGCCATGTCGGCATCTCCCCCGGCAACGACACGAGGACAGGACAAATCTGTCGGTCGTGTGGCGCCAGCAATTTCCCCAGCTCCTTCGAAGCAGAATGCATCCAAATCAAAAAACCATAACGCTCTTCCCTGGGATATGTTCCAGCCACCCTCGGAGTCTGCTTCTCTGGCCTTGTCATCGCCTCACGAGGCTACGAAGCGCAACAAGCGGTTCGGCTACAAGCTTGGAAGGAAGTAGTACCGACGACAGAAGGCGAAAGAGGGTCTTCTCCGGCATTGAAATCATCGAACCGCTCGAGTAAAGAGCATTCGACGCGTCGACGTACTGTACGCTGAGCGGGGATTGCGATCCTTCATCGTGCATGTTACGTATTTGAAAGTGCCAATTAGCGTTTAGCATTTAGCGTAGAGTCGGGGGCAATGTCTGATGATCATGATAAATGAATGCTATGTACCTTTGACGTATGCACGCAAGTCATCGCCACGGTTCATTCAAGCCAAAGATACCTTACCCGTACTTGTAAGAAAGAACACGCGTAGGGCTTCCCCAATTCTAGTCCGAAGCTCTATGAAACCTCACCTTGACTCCATCAGCGGGCCACGTTGACAAGCCGAACGATTTCCGCATCCTCGCCATCTCCTTGGCGTCGGCCGGCTCGACGGCATCGTACCGCTGCAGCGACCGGATCAACACATACGCCGCCTCCATGAGACCGTACTGCTGCCCTAGACACGCGCGCTGCCCGCCGGAGAAGGCGGCGAAATGGTACGCGGGGATCGTCCTCTCCGACCAGCGTTCCGGGCGGAACGCAAGGGCGTCCTCGCCCCAGAGATCCGTGCGACGTTGCATGAGATGGATGGAGTACATGACCGTCTGGCCCTCTTGGATCACAATGGGAGATTTCTGGTCGGGACCGCCGCCGACGGGGAGGGTGGTGTCCTTGGTTGCGACGCGGTCATTGATCGGGGCTGTGGGGTGGAGACGCATGGTTTCCGTGAGGAAGTTGTGGAGGTAGCGGCATTGCTTGACCCTTTCGAAGGTGACGGGTTGGTCGGCGGGAAAGGAGGCCAGGATGATGTTGCGCAGTGTGAGGAGGATGGAGCGATGGAGGGAAAGGCGGAGCAGTGCCCAGCCTAAAATCCGAAAACAAGTGTTAGACATGCGGATTCGGGCCTTAAACCGTGGTGTGGATGTGGAAGACTTACCCAGCAAGGCACCGATACCATCGCGACCGGCTTGGAAAATGGCCAATGTCTGGTCGTGTGATGCATGTCACGCACTGTCGGTGTTGTCCCGTCGTAAGGTACTGGTCAAAGAGAAGGAAGGAGGATGGAGTTGGAAGGAACGACGACGTGAGGTGAGGAAGGAGCTCTGCGACATGCAGCGCACTGACTCGTCACATGCGGCAGACGAGTCCATTTCCATCCTTTCACTCACTTTTGCAGCCCAAGTCAAGCACATGTGAAAGTCACGAGCACGGGGAGCCGGACAGGACGCATTTTGACAGCCATGGCAGCCGCCGACATGTCCCGATTCAGACGTATCCTGTTTCAGACATGTCCTGTTTCAGTCCAACATGCGCATGGCCGTCTCGCTTTCCCACGGCACATTCTTGGCCAGAAGCATGTTTAACCGCTCCAGTCGCTCGCCCTTTTCCAGCCATCGTTCCTCCAGCCACCCTGCCAACTGAACGTCTTCGCGAGGCAGCTTCTGCAAGTCGTGACGCTCCACATGGATATAGAATGTCCAGTCACGGTCCAAACGCGGCCGCATCAGGCTTTGCCAGAAGCTGGGTGGCGACTGGAATGTCGTCCCGCCCTTGGCGTACGCGATGGTCATATCGTAGACCGCCTTGACATGGGGCGCCCCTCGCAGCTTCTGCACACAGGCAATGAAGCCTTTGCTGCGTGGGTAGAGGAGGTGCTGGGCCACCGACTTGTTGTTCTCAGCACCCCACTTCTCCGCTTCCGCACGCTTGGAGGGGGTATATCGAGTGGCCTCGCTGTACGAGACCAGCCCTGAGATACGTTTAGTCGATGGTCTACGGGCGCACCTCGGTAGGAAAGGCTCCCATCTGAGATAGCCGACTTACACATGGGCCATTTCCGCTGCAGCACTCCCTGAAAGACTCGATCCATCTCGCGCTGGTCTACCGTCCACTTCCTACTCACCAGAGGCATACCCATCGCCCAGAGGCCCCACCCGAGGAACGGGATCCATTTCAGCTGCTGCTTCGCGAACCAACGGCACCTTCCCAGCATGCCACAACGGATGGCGGCTTCTTGGATGAGGTAGAAGTCGGTCCATTCGACATGGTTCGCGATCACGATGGCCGACTCTCCTCGGGGCAAGTTCTCGGCGCCCGACACGATGATCTGGGCGCGATTGATGCCGGTGAAGATGAACTGGATGCCGCGCCATACCGACTCGGCGATGCGCGAGGAGAGGTCGTAGGCCAGGCCAGGTGCGACGGCGGAGATGGGGAGCAGCGCAGAGAGCAGGATGTCGGCGAGGAACAGATGCAACAACCAAGGCGTGGTGAAGACGGCGACCCTCAGGCCCAGCAGCGCGTTTCCCACGACACCCAGTATGGCGACCATCGCGACCTGCACCACGCACGCGCGCTTCGGGAGACGAGCCGGGTTGGGATAGCGAATGTTGCAGAACGCAGAACACAGAGGGCGACGCCTGCACGGTGACGGAGGATGTTGTCGCACGACCTCACTCACCTGCTGAGACTTCTACAGTACCGCTTATGCTGGTGCTAGTCTGCTACTGTGCTGGGTGTTGGAATGGGTGTCCCGCGGAAGAACGGACGCTTTGCCTGATGGAGCCGTTCTAGAGCAGCCTGTACCGCCGCCGCGCCGTGTTTCTTTACACCACCACCCCAACCCTGTTGCGACCATCCATCTTCCATTGTTGTGCCCTCAGCAGCAGCTTTCTTTCCACATCCTTCTCCACCATCTTCTGTTCTCAGCCCCATCGCCGTACCTCACCTCACGCCATCCGTCGGCTGGTCTCCGTGCCGCCCGCCGTGCACTCTCACAGCCCTGTAGCAAGTACCTTATACTTACCGCAACAAGGGTTTACTGCTGCCCACGCTGCTCTCACTTCCCGGCAGCATCTGCAGGACGGCCCGCGATTCCACGCCCTGGCCGGGGCAGTCGGTCGCCTGTGAGCCAATATCCGGCGCAAACGCTCTGTGCAACGCTCTTCCCTGGGCTGCAGCCACCGCCCTTCTCACAGTGTTCTCGCTTCTGTGACAGCCTGTGATTGCGACTCGGCCGCCTCTCCACACTCACGGCGTACATCATTCCCTCGACCTGGGACGCGGATCCCACAGTTGGTCCATCTTCCCGCCTTATCTGGCCACACACGGTACTCGATCTCTCCCCGTCATCAGGAGGCCGTAAGTCCCCGCTTCCTACGAGCCTGCTGAGCGCCATCCCAGATCTGCTCGCCGACGGCAAGCACAATCAATCGCGACCACAAGACGCTGGTGTGCAAACCACTCGTGACCGAGCAGCCGTTTCAACTCTGGCAGCAGGGCTGCGGGTCCCTGCGTACGACCAAGGTCAGCATCTCTATTCGCTTTTGCGCTGCATATCCACCATGTTCCGGCGTCACTCATCATCTTGTACTGCCCTTCGGGTAACCATTGACCTGGCCTGCTGAACCTCAGAATTTGATTTCGGCCAGACGCCTTGACGACATACTTGACAAGTACCTCGAGATTTCAATGCAAAATGCCTCCTGCTCTCCCTCGACACATTTCACAAATCACTCGTCGTCTTGTCTTCTCACCAATACTCGCAAATCACCGCGTCGAGGAACTACAGCCTCGGTCCACTAACTCTTGATCAGGCACTACGAGGCCTGCGCAATTGATTGCCATCTACACAGGCGAAGCACCCGGCCATGGCAACTTACTCACCTGGAAACCACCCGATGCCTCACGGCTTGCCGCCGGTAGATCAAACAATGAACCAGGACGCGGACTACGGTAAGCCTCGCCACTGCAATGCATGTCGGGACACTATCTGCTCTGTCCAAAGTTGTAGCTTCGCTGGCCAGTCACTAACTTAAAGCTTCCACGCTGGCGATTACGAGCACCAAGTGGGCTACCGGCTCAGCGTGGATGTTTCCTTCGGAGCATTGTGCTTTGAGGTACATTTCGTTGTCTGGTACCCACAACCGAGTGCTCGAAATCGTCACGTGTGGCGGCAATCACTACAGATCCAAGTCCCACCAGCAGCGCAAAGGGTGGCTCAGGTGGTTTGGACATCTTCAAGAACCTAACTTCCGAGAAAAAGCAGACGAAGGGTAAGTGGCTGAATGCTCTCACAGCTGGTACGGACAGAGCTGACAATGCCACAGATGGCCAGCCTCCCAAGCGGCGCGGTCCTAAGCCGGACAGCAAGCCAGCGCTCACTCGAAGACAGGAGCTGAATAGGCAGGCTCAGAGGTATTGATGCTTCGACATGCCGTGATAACCATCTGCTGACGCCATCCAGAACACACCGTGAGCGGAAGGAGCTGTACATCAAAGCGCTGGAGCAGGAGGTGCTCCGACTGAAGGAAGCGTTCTCTCAAACATCCCGTGAGAAAGACGCCATGATCGAGGAGAATCGGCGACTCAAGGAGCTTCTGTCACAGCACGGGATCTCGTACGACTTCGCCAGCAATCCCATCAACTTCATGCGAGAAAATAGCGGCTACGGTGCAACGGAGTCGAGCGGAAGCATCTCTGGAAGTTACCGGGGCACATCAGAAAGCACCGGGTTCAGTCCTCCGCCCTCAGGCCACCAGAAAGGGCAAGCTCCAAACATGTCAGCTGTCCAGGCGAACCAGGCAGCACAGATGCGGAACATGGCGCAGCTGCCATCAAACAGGCTCGACTACGACCAGATCGGAATCGATTTCGTGTTGACGTATGACTCCCATGGCATGCCGGTGGACATGCCGGCTCCTTACCCATCGCCGCCACCGCAAGGCTAGTCGTTGCCAATCGACGTGTGCTTCGGTATGCCCCATGAGATGCAAGGTTCGTTGTGGCTGACGCTCACGTTATGTAGGCTCGAACGGCCGTGTATGGACCATATGCAATACCTCATGGTCCGTTCGCACAATCCCGAGGGTCAGCCATTCCACCATCCCATGGAGAATGCCGACGACGCCGAGCACGAACACATGGCAGGGCATGCGCTCATGGCAACGGCACCGTCATACTCGCACGTGATGGAGAAACCGGCGGAGAAGTATCCTCATCAAATGCCAGCAGATTTAGACAGTACATCTCTAGTGAAGCTACTGCAGCTCAGCTCACGGCTACCGCTAGACCGCGAAGGGGAGATCACGCCAGTGATGGCATGGTCGATGATTTACGGTCACGAGCGAGTAGCTGAGCTCGAGGCTCAGGACTTGGAGCGGATCAAGAACAACCTGGCGGGCAAGGTCCGCTGCTACGGGTGAGCTCGCGTCGCATCTGTCCCCTCGTTGAGCGTGAACTTGACTCTAACACCCGTGACGCAGATTCGGCGCTGTGCTCGAAGAGTTTGAGGTGCGTGATGCCTTGGGTGGTGTTCTGGCGGAGACAACAGCATTGCAGAACTCGGTCAGGCCATTGCCGCACAGCAGATCCCTGTTCACTAAGACATTCATTTATCGTTAGCATGCATAAACTATGAAGAATGACGCATATCGACAGAGACAACGACAACGACAGCGAAAGGTAACATGAGCAACCAATATAACACATACGTACCTTATCCTTCTCGTCAACACCTCAGGGAGCAGAAAGGAGGCACGACGGATGTCTGCCTTGGATGCCTGACACGAAATGGGGTGTGATCCGTGCACACGAAACAAATGTCACCCAGTGGGAACTTCTCACTTTCTATCTCTCACTTTCACTTTCACGACACGCGTTGTCTCGATCTCGCCCACCACAACAACAATGAATGTCTTGTTCTGGCATCGGCGTCATCCGTCGCATTCGGGTGTGTCGCATCTCAGAGTCTCGTGATGCCGCATTTAGCAGCAGCACAGCATCTCATCTGGGGTGCACGGCGTCCACAACCATGCCCGGCGGCTAAATCCAAGCGCTTCCAGCCTCTTGCCCGCTCGACGACGATTGGAGCCGAAAACCTCCGCTGTCTCGAGTTCCACACGGTATAGCAGATTCTTATTGCCCAAGCGGCTCTTCACACGGCCGCATGCCCAATGAGACAGCCCGTAGCAGACTGTCCTGTCCCACACAGCGACGACCGCCAAATATGGACTCGACTACATCTTCTCGTGGCCTCACCTCTCTGTTTGCTCATCATTCTTGTCACGGCCGGTTTCCTGTGTCTTTGCACGTCTCCCTTTCCTTCGCCTCGACCTTGTCGGGCGGCATCAACACATCGTTTCTTTCCCTTCTCCGTCAAACAACGCGATCGCACCAAGGCGCAGGCGCCTTCCGGAGCAGGCTCCTTCAACGTACACCTCGAACGAGGCCATGAACCTCCATGGCAGCAGAGAACGGCGGAAATCATCCCACAGGTCGCGAAGACCGTTCGGCAAGCTCACTTTGGATACCAACTTCGCAAGCCAAGGAAGGCCATTCCCGTACGAGTCGCGTGTTCAAGAGCTCAGCTTCGTCAGCTTCGCGGAATCGAAAGCTCGCGCGAATGTCTTCGCTCGACAAGAAGGTCTCAAACAGCAACTTGGCAACGAAGCGCCACTCGCTCCTCCGGCGCAGCAAATAGCGCCGACACCAAATGCGCAGCCATCTTCGAGGAAGAAGACCATTGTCAAGCCAAGTAGGAGTTTCCGGGCTGCGATTGTTCCTTCGCCAACCGAGCAAAAGGCCTCCGATGCTTCGCTGGCGCCTCCGCTCCACAGACGAGTCAAAGGCCTCAGACCTTCTCCGTTGGATCTCAACCAGGATGTCTCGCCCTCAGATCGAGCGATCACCATTGGCTTGGCTTTTGCGCCTTCTACTGCTCCCGTAGATCCGAAATCTCCTTCATCTCCTCCCGAAGGGCCCGAAGGGAAGGACCATGAGTCGATTGATACCCAGAAGGTGCGTAACGACCTATGTTGACATCTACGGAGATGGCATGCGTTGTAAGAGGAGACTTGCTGCAGAAGTCGTCTCGATTCCCCACACACGTGTGTCTTGTTAGGTGTCTTACCGTTGACCTATACCCGGTTCATTTTACTAATCGAAGCCAGTTCGGGCAGGAGGTCGCCACGCCAGTTATCGTGATCACTCCGGCGAAAGACCGCTTCTCGCCCTCTGACCTAGCATCTGGATACCGGCCAACTTCGAGCATATATTCTCGGTACACGAACCTCCTGACCAAAAAGAATGAGAAGACGCCTCCCGTCCCGCCCCTCCCACTCTTCGCAGCTTCAGGACCTAACGAGTCCATAACTGCCCCCTATCCGTATGCACGAGAGTCAGCCGCCACCACATTCGAGGAGGACCTCGCGTCGCCTCGTCTACGGGAGACTAGACTCATGTCAACGTGGTCCGACGATACTGTTACGCCTATGACTCGCTTTTCGAAGCGATCAACCGCTGGACTACCCACCCCGCGCCGAAGCAAGGGATGGTGGAACATCATCACCTCGCCCTTCTCTGCAAAGTCCTCGAACACGTCTTTCTGGAAATCTCCCTCGGCTGAGCAAAGCTCCGAACAACATCGTATACTAGACGATGCCGCACCCATGGGTTCGGACCCACATGCCGGAGTAATATTTTTGAACCGTGCCTCAGATGACGATGCACTACGATCAGCACCTGCTTCGGGGCCCGCGCTACGCTCTGAGACAGAGAAACTCAACCCTACTGGAGTCCCTAAGAGATCGGACACAGCGCCAGCCGCCTTAGACCCTAGTGCTCCGAAGGTGAACATCTATCAGCTACCTAGATCGGGTGAGGCCGCAGCATACTATGATCCCAATCGCCACTTCTCTAGCCTATGTCTGTCGCCGACCGCCTTGAAGACCGCATCTAGAGGCAGCCTTGAAGGCTGGAGCCCTTCACAAAGTGTCCACATTCCAAGCCGTCATTGCGAACAAACCGCCATAGACTGTCTAGGCCCAATCGCTAACGATCCGCGTTCCTCCAGAGCGGAGAGCGAGATATGTGCCAGCCAAAAGTCTGCGGAACAGGCCGAGATGGGGCCTAGTTCTCCCGTTGATGAGCCACTTGCTGCGCGACGTTCTGTTGCAACTGGGGTCAACATCTTCTCTACGCCATCAGAGGAAGAGTTGAGGAGTGCTGGACTCGAAATTCCGCCAGCCTCCCGTGAGTACAGACCACCTCCAGCCGAGCATCTGATGTCGCCGCTTTCTGCAACGCCTGTTGTTCAAGATGCTCACTTGGCAAGAATTGTCGGCCCTCATTCTTCATTTGGAGAGCAAAGGCAAGTAGAGGTCGAATCTGCTCCAACACCGTCGCACTATGGTCTTGGCTTTGCAACACTTGGAGCTGCGACAATTGCGCATCATGAACCAAATGAAGCGCGGGGTTTTTCTTCTGAGAAGCGAACACAGGCGAAGAGCTTAATGCAGCCACTGCATGCCAGACAATATTCCCACGGCCTGGGAATCACCGACAGCCACAGCGATCTTTTCCCTCCGCCCCAGCATATCAGCGAGAAGCCTCGCCTTGGGACGGATAAGTTTGGACAGCTCACCATCCGGAGCGTCGAGGAGCAGCGGACTCGGAGGCCCTGGTACCGTCGCTTCTTCTGGCTAATAGCCGCAGCGGTGACTACACTACTCCTTCTGCTGATAATCCTTCTGGTCATCTTCGTTCCACAACGGCATAACGACATATCCGTTCAATCGACTTGGATGAACTTGACGGGATTTCCTGTGCTAGCAACCGGTGTCAGCACGGTGATCCAACCTCACCGCGCTGACTCAAGCAGTTCCTGTGTGTCCCCTTCGGAGATGTGGAGCTGTGCAGTACCAGGCCAAAACAATAACAGCATTCCCGACTTCAGATTCGAAATCAGGTTTCGGAATGGCACCCTGCCCGCCAACGAGACGGCCAGACGCAGCTCCCGCGCAAGTCAGCGGAAGCGATGGGACCAAGCTAGCGCACTTCGCCCCTTTACGAAGAGGAGCGAATGGTCCGACTACCTGTACTCCCCATCACCCGCAGCGCCGTCTATCGAAGATCAGAAATTCCTTGGCCGCACGACCGACAACGTCACCGCGATCTATGAAGGCGAAGAGACTCCATTCTACATATCGATGCTCGAAGCCCCTTCGCTCTCGGGATCGTCGGACTCGAAACTGCGTCGCCGGGAAAGCAACTTCACCTACCCATACCCTACAGACTCGGCGGAGGAACAATCCCAAAACGTGTCGACCAAAGCCCCAGAATCCATACCGCCTCCCGCACTGAAATCGAACGGGGAGCCTGCTGTGCAAGAGCTGTACCCCCTGGCCACAGCTCAGCCATTGAAACTCTACAACCGCGGCACGGAAGACGAGCACTATGGATTCTACACCTACTTCGACCGCTCCATCTACGTCTCGGCGCCGGCCAACGCGTCACACAACGCCACGGCCAATTTCACCGGTAACGTCGCCCTGCACGAAGCCGAGACGGTCTGTACCTTCTCCCAGACCAGGTTTCGTGTCCAGATCTGGACCCAGAAGGGCAACGTCAGCAGCAGTCTAGGGCGGCGGTCTGCGTCGGGCTCCATAGCAGCAGCAGCAGCGGGCAATTCTACGGCTAACGACATGTCGTCGCCGGGTTCCTTTCCATACCCCGTGACGGTCACGATCAATCGCCATGGCGGCAGCGCGACCAGGAAGGGCGTGTATTGCTATGGTCTGGATGAGGAGCATCACGTCGTCAGCGCGGATAAGATGTGGATTGTCGAGGACCGGGCGGCCGGAGGGTCTCTGGTGAACCCGGCGGAGATTCCGGGCAATGGTACATCGGCGAAGAATTCCAAGAGGGACGATCAAATCTACGGAGGCATAGATGGAGGGACGGGGGGCTGTGATTGTCAGTGGCGAAATTGGAAGTGACGTGAGAATGGTGATGATGATGATGCTAAACCTAGAAACGATATAGCAGTTCTAATGTCTCTGTCTGTCTCTTATCTTGTCTATCACACCCGATGCCATCTACTCCTTAGCTGGAGCGTAGTACATACATATGGCTTCGGCGTAAAAGCAGCGCTATTCTGTGGTTCAAAACCCAATACTAATATCGTACAACAACGTGACATTAAGTTTGGCATTATTCGTCCTTCCGGGCGTGCTTGGAGTATTTCACTCGCAGTGTAGTACCGTACTACAGAACAGGCGTCAGTCGACATGAAGCAAGACCAAAGTGCGTGCAGGAAAGCAAGAAGAAGAACGACTCACCTTATACAGCACGAACGGAATGGGAATAAAGGCAATGCTGATGAAAGCGAGCGTGCTACTCGCCCAATCCACACCGAGATCCGCGTACATGGCGTTGGCGAAGAGCGGGAAGCCCGCGCCGAAAGCGGATCGGAAGAGGTCGTTGCCCGCGAGCACGGAGGCCGCATACTCCGGGTACGCGTCCGGGAGGTAGTTCAGGATGCACTGGAAGAGCAGGAAGGCGCCGATGGAGAAGAGGGCACTGCCGATGATGGGCACGATCCAGGGGACGTCGGGGCGCGAGCTCCAGCCGAACCAGAACAGGCAGATCGGGATGCAGAAGGCGCCGACGAAGCACGGCGGGAGGCGGAGCTCGGGTTTGAGGTTGCCTTTGTCGTCGAATTTCTTCTCCAGATAGAAGTAGAGGTAGGCGAAGAAGGGGGGGATCGAGATGAAGGAACCGATCAGAATTCCCAGATACGCAAGACCTTCCTCGCCCAAACCGAAGCCGTAAATGTCGACGAAGACGATGACGAAGGATTCGAACCAGACGTACAATAATCCGTAGATGAGGGCGATGTACAGATTGAGGAAGAAGACCATGGGTTCGGTAAAATTGAGGGTGAAGGGTCGGACAAGGGACATCAATGCGATATCCCTTGGTGTCATCTGCTCGGCCATGAGCTCGGGCTCGCAGATAAGCTTGTCGTTACCAGTGAGCTTGCGCAGGCGACGTGTGCGGCGAACGAGGATGTTATTGGCGCTGGTCTCGGGCAGCAAGAAAAAGAGGAACACCAGGCAGAAAGCGGACAACCACATGAGTTCCCAGATCGGCCAAGCCCAGGGCGCAGTAATCGTGTTGTTCGTTCCACCATACTGGACGGCGAATCCTCCGATTAAAGGTCCCAATGTTGGACCGGAAACTGCAGCAACACCCCAGATAGACATGGCATACGCTCGCTTCTTGGGGCTCCAGATATCCGCCAACGAAGCACCTCCCGTAGCCAGCACAGGAGAGCCAAAGAAACCCGTCAGGAATCGAAAGGCCAAAAGCATTCCGAAGTTGGAAGCAAGCGCAGTCGGTGCCTGGAATGCGACAAAGACGCATAGGGTTCCGAGATATATGGGGTTGCGGCCAATCTGAGGAATCTCGGACATGGGCGACCAAATCATCGGTCCAAGTCCATAACCAGCGACGAAGAGACACAGACCGAGCGTGGCGGCGACTTGGCTCACGCCAAATGTCGCCATGACGCTCTCTTCGCCGGCCGAATAGATGGAGCTGCCAATGTACACGGAGGTAGTCAAGAGACAGATCTCGAATGTGACGAAGGTCTTCTTCATGGTAGACCAGTTCTGCGGGTTCTCTGCATCGTTCTCCCCCCACCATGACACCAGATGTCTGTCTCTGCCCTTTTCTGGATCGACCTTGACGCCGGAAACGTGATTGATGTTGGAGTTTCCATCGTCAACTCGCGTCTGTTCGGAGGAAGAGCGGTGTGCTTGCGATTGTCTTGGTGGTGTCTCGAGTGCATACTGGTCTTCTCTCGTCCTGACACCACCTAGAGTTTCTGGTTCGTTCCCATCCTCAGGTGGATTGGTATCACCATGATGCGCAAGGTAGCCGGATTTCTTCTCATCGATGAAGCGAGTGTACAACGAAGGATCTCTCTCCTCCTCGAACTGTATGCGATATTAGAATTGGTTCAATAAACGGTAGTTTCAGTTGCCTCTCACCTGTAATAGTTTCCCTCTCGAGACGAAGCGTAGCAGATGGCCAAAAGCCGTGTCTCGGATGAGTTCTGTCATAACGCGGGACAGGTGAGCTGATCACGCCGACGACGTGAGAATGGACGGTATGTCAAGCAAGGGATGCGCTCCTAAGGCTTGTGTAGAACAACAAAAGGAGCATTGGAACAAGAATAAGTACTTAGAAATGGTTTTATCATCAACGGCCGCACTTTTCCTAAGCCCGCCGCGGCTTGCTTCTCCTGGAGAAGTGCAAAGTAACGGAAAGGCTCTTGTGGTGGTGGCTGCCAACCACAACCGCGCAATGATAATAATGAGCTCATCGTCTCCGTCCACGACCATGTCGATGTCACAAAGAGAAGGACGGGTGAAGAATGACGTCTTGCATTTGGAAGACAAGCTTTGTCGGCAGCGGGAGACTCCGAACATCCGGCACAGGGGTTCGCAAATTAGGATGGATTGACGCTAGTTGCTTGGCATACCAAACCTCCCTACTAACACCTCTTTTAAAGGCTCTGTATCACTACTACCATGCCTCCTATACTTAGAAATCATTTAGAAAGGTTAAAGAGACTAGGGAAATTTAAGACACTATATAGAACGCGTTTTTTTGACTATTACACAGGGGTTCGCAAATTAGGATAGATTGACGCTAGTTGCTTAGTATACCAAACCTCCCTACTAACACCTCTTTTAAAGGCTCTATATTACTACTACTATACCTCCTATACTTAGAAATTATTTAGAAAGGTTAAAGAGACTAGGGAAATTTAAGACACTACATAGAACGCGTTTTTTTGACTATTAGGATGTATCTAGAGACTAATACATACTTAAATACTTCTACTAGCTCTATAGCTATAAAGAATAGTACCCTACCTATATAATAGCTAGTAATTAGCTCTACTAACGTAT